AAGCACCTATTCTAGACAGGCAATTTCTTCTAAAGAGGCATAGAAATAACAGATATTTTGATAATTTTTGGTTCAATGTATTTTCTATTTTCTTAGATTTACCTTCTATCTTGAACTATTCTATATCCATTTTCCTCATTTGTCTTTGAGTTATCAAATCAATCTTTAATCATGAAAGTTATTCGTGGCTGATTGCTCAAATAATATAATGAGATAAGATATGACTTGAAGATCAGATGCAGGTTTTAGATCAGAACTAAGTTTTAATTATTTTTGAAAAAATATAAACAAAACGATAATTTTATTGTTATGATGTTCTATTTACAATCAATTTTAAACATAAAATGTAATTTTCATTATTCCTACCGAAAAAGATATTTAGAGGTTTTAATATTGTCGTTAAAACCATGAATAACAACATTTTCACAATCCCTATCTATTTTTTGGGCAAATATTGATTTTTAACAACGAGTTTTTAAACTGTAAACCATTGCTTATTCGATATTTTTAACGACGGATTCTAATAAACTGTTGCTAAAAATCTAAATGCTTTGGGATTTAGCGACGGTTTTGACTAAACCATCACTAATTCTAAAAAAACCTTAGCGACGGTTTAAAAACCATCATTAAATACGAAGCAAAATTTAGTCATATTTAACAATGGTTTTTAAGAATCATTGCTAAATTTATAATCTTTTAAACACTATTAAACGACGGTTTTATGGTTGTTTAATAATAAATTAACTGTCATTGAATTAACGATGATTTACAATAAAAAATCATAAAATATTCAACGAGAAGGTTTTTTCAAAATATAATTAGCAATGGTTTTTTACCGACGGTTTAAATGGTTGCTAAATATTGTTTTTTTAGTAGTGATGATGCTTAATTCGATTGTATAAATACTGGTTCCATCATTTCATTCACATGCTTTTAACTCAGTTGTCAGTCTCAAAATAAACTTTGGATTTGAAAGCTTTCTTTCTGAAAATAGTCATTTCATACTTAAATCTTTTAGGACACCCAATAAACTACTTCCTTAGATACTTCCTCTTAATAATTGCCCGCATTTCCTTCCTTACACTCCTTTCTTATTCACTTATTTATTTATTTGATAGGCACAAGCAGTCTCTTTCGCAGACTGAAGAGGAAACATTGGTTCCCTAGACCATCATTCAAGATAAAGTGATCAATTAAGTCCATATATTCATGGTGATTTCCCAACAACCGAACCACTCTTTCTTCCCTTTGATTCAGACCATGCATCACAAAAAATCCTAAATAAGAAAAAAAAATAGTGCAAATATATTCGTTGAACTCTTTAAGGCTAGATTGAACACACAATCATCGATTCTAGTGAATCCCACAGCTAGATATCCAGTAGAATTTATGGATTAGTTTAAGTTCACCAAAAAAAAAAAAAAAAAAACAGAAGAAGAAGAAGAAGAGATTACTGTAGTTTGACATGTTCTCCATTGTTTTTTTTTTTAAAAAAAAAATTAACAGCAATCTAGATATCCCTTAAATATTATTATTATTATTATTATTATTAAAAAGCATAGTTAGCCTGCTCCATCAGTCTAGAAGCAGCACCACTGACTAATGAAAACCTGGTGCAAGCAAATCATGCCAATCTTTTCCTGGGGACAAATTAACTTCCTGGTCAAGAAGTTAGGTGAACTTCCATACATTTTCTCATCGACCAAAATTATTTATACTAAGCCCATTAATAAATATAAATAGATTTCAATAAATTATTGATTTGGTTATAAACGAGCTGGTTTTGAAATAAATTTTTTTTCTATATGTAAAGTTTAAATATTGAAATCATATATATTGAAAAAAATTAGATTTTATTATTTTTGTTATAAACATGATTAACCATATTTTTAACGTGAGGTATGAATATTTGAAAAAAAAAATATAAATATATAGATAAATCGATGCATGTTATCTGGAAGAATATTAATTATTATCATAAGCATTGGTCATGTAATGTAGTAATGCGTACGGCAGAGGGTGCCACCCGTCATGCAAGTTTAATTCCTCGTTGAAAAGTTTAACCTAATTCCAAGTAAGTAGTTGTCAGAGCAAATGCCTATCGTTTTCTGGCACGTGGGGTATACATGCAGGGACTCCACTTCAATAATTAAATTTGTTCTGATTATCTATTCGATAATTAAATTACGTTTAAAATGTTAATTTTATCATAATTAATAGGACATTTATAATTATGAATTCATTATAAAATGATTTTGAAAAATTTATTATAATATGTCAAAATTTTATTGATTTGATTCATAGTTTTTAAATAATGAATCAAAGCATGTACAATAATTTCTCCGAAAATAGCGGTTACTCGTTTTCAATTGACTATATGCGTGTGATATAATTCTGGGAGTAAACTTTTATCCATGTTTGTCGACGGTTTGAGTGCAAATTAATAAAAACCCCTAAAAAGGACGGATAAAATGAATAGTAATTAATATTCGTTCTCTCATGAATTATTGTTCATTTATTATTTATTGGGTGGTAATTTTGATAATTTTTATGATGATATTTTCATAATTTTTAGTTGATTTTGATCCTTCATATATAAATTTTACATTATATTTCATTTTGATCATTGATGTTTTTAAAAAATATTTTTAGTTTTTAAATACATTTTTTTTTGCAACCTCATATTTTAACTTTATTCCGTTTTGGTCTTTAATTATTCCAAAAGATATTTTGAGTTTTCAAAAAATATTTTTCTTCGTGTTTTCAGATTTTAAAATTAACTTATATATATATATATATATATATATATATATCAAATTATATTATTTTTATTGCTTAAAATTGATATTTTCAATTTGTCATTTCTTATGAAAATTCTCATCACATTAAAAAATATTAAATAAAATAAAAAATTTATAAAAAAATAAATACAAAATTTTAATTAAAAATTATTAAATTAAACAAAATTTTATTTTTTATTTCTAATTTAATATATTTAAATCTTGCGTATATATAGAACTTTTTAATCATTGAAAACGGGTAACACCAGTAGCTTGAGGACCCAAGCAGTCTCCAGAAATAAAATTACAATAACTGAAACCTAAATATACGTCACAAAATTACTTGGTTAGTGAATTAATAACTTGCTTTTATCTATATATTAAAAATTATATCGAAATTTTGTATCCAACAATGATTTATTATAGGCTTATTGTACCCAAAAAAAAGTAAAAAAAAAAAAAAAAATATATATATATATATATATATATATATATAAAGTTTATATTTTTTAATCATATTAGCATGTTTTTTTTATATATATATATTTTAACAAAAAATAAATAAACTCAATTTCTGGTATCATATTAGAACGCATAAATTTTTCTAATTAAAATTCTCATGTCACGTAAGATGTTAATGAAATTTTATTCGAAAAAAATCGCACGTGCTAATACTATTAACATAAGTTTAATTTGTGTATTTTTTATATGATATTAAAAAATATAAAATTTGTAGTTGTTTGATACAATAAACCTTAATTATATATGTCAAAAAATTATCATGGTTTACTGAAATAAATTGTCCTGTTTTAAAAGAATATATATATAGCGAACGATATACATCAAAGTTAGAGTATTTATATTCTTCTAATCCAATAAATGAGCTGAGTGCATACCAGTCAACTATAAAAACGGTGCGTGATTAAAAATTGCCACGTTGAGAAAGATGAAGTGGCTCCTTTTCAAATAGCTAGGTTATGAAGATTATACTTTTATCTATCTATCTATTTATTTATTTTTAGCCGTGTTATTAAAGGTCAACCATTATAGCTGTATGAGTATAATTAATTATCAAATTAAACTATTACTCAATTTACTTTCCTCTTTGTTCTAAAAAAAAATTAATATACTTTACCTCAATTGAATATATTAGAAATATTAAACATATATATTGATTACATGATCAAAGATAAAATAAAAAAATAATTATAACGTAAACATATATAACTCATCAAAACTCTTAATAGAACTATTTTATTAAAATTTAAAAAATATTAATTAGTGGACCCTAGAAATGATTGAATTTAAATCTCCTAAAAAAACATGAAAAAAAGGAGAAAAAGAAAAAAAAAAAGGAAAAAAAGGGCAATCCTTGGCAATGGAGTAAGGAGGAATATATCGTGGACCCTAAAAATGGTTTTGGTCTAAAATGGGTGGTGGTAACCTACTTTCCCCACCTTCATCAAATCATGTTTATCAAAATAAACAAAGGTTCTGAGATGCTGTCCACACGCAAACTTTTCTCTAGTCAAAATCCTTGTATAATTGCGTGCTGACTGGTACCACTCCCGATGTAAATTAGTGGGCCATGCAAGGGTATTTTGGTACATGCAAGTTTCAAACATAATGGTACCTTTAGTCAACGCATAAAGACATGTCTTTTATGCTGTTATTGGGGCGTTTATTCGGAACCCAAAAGAAACGAAAAGTTCAAAAAGATTGTTTTTTTTTTCCCAGCCCATGAAAAACAGCAAGAAGCAGTTTAAGGACAGCTTGAATTCGAAATAGGTAGGCAGTTGCTTGCTGCAGCAGCCTGCAGGCATTGAAGAAGAAGTTGAGAGGAAAAAGGGGCAAACAAGGGTAAGGTAAGGTCATTCGTTGATTCATTGACCGAACCTACAAAACTAATATGTTTTTTCAAAAAAAGAAACAAATGAAACCATAAATGAACTTCGTTCTTCTATGTTATACTCGCTAGCATTTATTGAATTTAGATGGCCTCCCAACGGTACCATAAACCTCAGCTTCTGATCGATACTTTATTGAATTCTCACAAATTTCTTTCCTTTTAGCAATCAACAGCAGAAAAAGATGGAATCTTTGATGATGTCTTTGTGTCTTCAACTTTCTTCATGATCAAGCTCTTTGTAGTTGAATTGGTGATCTTTTGTGGGTTTTGCAGCAAGGTAATGATTCAATTCCCTTCAAAGGCTATAAAAAATGAGTCTTCAACAAGAAAGTTTGGTTCTTTTCATCATCATCTTCGCAATTTTTATTGCCACAACAAGTAATACAGCCAGAGCTCAGAGGTCCAACAGCAGCAATTGTGTCTCTTCATGTGGAACTGGGAAATCAGCCAAGGTTGTCCCATTCCCTTTTGGTTTCTCAAGTGGATGCCCCATCAATTTAAGCTGCAACCACAGAGTAGGTGATATCAGAATCGGTGAATTTCAAGTCCTGAACATAACCCCAAATGGTATCTTGATCAGTATTCTAGCAGACTGTAATCGTTCCATTGAAAAAATCAAGCCGCTTTTTGGTCAAAACTTCAGTCCTTCTATGAAAAACAGTTTGTTACTTCAAAATTGTAACAAGTCTTTAAGTGGTTGTGTTATTCCAGCAAGTTCATTAAAAAAAGACTTGAATTTAACAAATTGTGATTCTAAAAGTGACAACTTGAGTTGCTACCCACAAGTGCACGGAGATTTTGGTACTTTTACTTATGATAATGTGAGTTCAACTCACTGCAAGTCCATTTTCTCTTCTCTTGTTCCTGGGTCGGAGAGTCCAGTTGTTTCTCTCCAGCTTCAAAGAGTTGAATTGGAATGGTGGATTAAAGGTGACTGTCGAAGTAATCCTTGTTCAAATAACGCGAATTGTAGTGCAGTTAAGCTTGGGAATGGGAGTACTGCTGGATTCAGGTGTCACTGCATCAGTGGGTTGGTCGGAGATGGGTTTAAAACCGGGAATGGCTGCCGGAGAGGTGCGTCAACTTGGCTTTATATTTGTTTTTTTATTTTTTGTTGTTTATTACTATTAGTTTGTACTATTTGGTTAGTTTGATTATTTGGTGGGTTTTTGACTGGGGACAAGTGGGTTTGTCATTTGTGAGTTGGCCAATTGGAGGACGATACCTTAACGTGGGGTTAGTACTCGGTCCTTGGTCGTATAAAGAGCCTGAAAGGGGAAGAAAAGCTAGGACCATGCCATAGTAAGGGAGAAAATGACACACATATAAGTCTTAACCTGTGATTGAGGGTTTAATGGCAAAAGAAAGAATGGGTTCTTAATAGGAATAAGGACCATGGAATTGTTAACCTCCTTTAGTCCTTCTTAACGGCTTGACTTTGACTAGGTTGTTTAGATTATGCTGAATTTGTGTGTTTTTTCTTGTTTTTGGTATTAAACTAGCAAGCAAATTTATACCAAAAAAATGGAATGCAGATTAGCTTGAAATAATTCATGGTAGTAAACAGTTAGTTTACTCGTTTGAGGATAGAAATAACAAGTCTCCTTAGTCACAAGTTTGAGCTCAAGAAGTTCAAATTCTCAAACCTAAAAATGGGATGAATTAGATTAATGTAGTTAGGTTAGACTCTATGAATCTGCCTTGCACCAAAAGAAATGCTGGCAAGATATGCATTAGACCGTTTGGTGTGAAAGGCCAAGTTCATTTTCATCGTACTTTTACGCCTTCTTCAAACACTATGTCGGTCGCAATCTTTTGCCCTATATCTTCCGTGATTGTAGCCCTAGCACATAGCAGTATTGAAAGTAAGCCATGTTATTTTGACTTTGAATCTAGCCGGCCAGGGAAGTCAATGCATTCTAAAGTAACCAAAATTGAGTGTCGGAAACAAAATAGGTTTTGAACATTACGAGGAAGAAAATTATTTGATCAGAATTCAGATCTGTTGTAACACAAAAGAGTTGCTTTTTTTGAATTGGCAAAGCATGTGGGCTTGCTTTTACTTTCCCCAATGATTGTATTTTTCTATACATATGACATGTACAAGAAAGTCAAAGTTGCATACATGCTTTGAATGTCTGTTTCTGTTTCTGTTTCTTTGAATATTTCTTAAGACAAAAGTTTTATATCATCTAATTGCTTTTTATTACTCCATAAACCTAGCTCCACAGTGCGAATTTTCCGTTTGCCTATTCTTGATTTGACATTTCAATTGTTTGGATTTTCATTTTTGTGGATGGTTAAAGAATTGATAAAGTTACCCAAGAGGGTTGGTTTGAGCGGAAAAAGTTCTAGTCACGTAAGCAAGTAGTTTCGGGTTTGAGTCTTTGGTACATAGAAAACTCTTTGGGTAGCTGTTCTTGCTTGTGCGTCCGATCGAACAATGAGGGATTGGTCTAGACTTTTGGACATGAGATATCCTGAGGATCCAAAAAAAAAGAATTCATAAAGTTATTGACTACTAGGACCCAGGAAGTATGGGATTGGTGTCTAGCGACTCTAATACAAAAAAAAAAAGTAACTAAAATATGCAAATTTGGTAAATTGATAAACAGCGGGCACCCTGATATTCGCTATTGGAATTTATGGCCTTGCACTGTTTTTCTTTATTTATTTTTTTTGAGTTGTAGAGTTGTATTATCGTTAGAACAGGCATATTTGCTGACCCTTCATTGTCTGGCTTTCCAGTTTCAAAGTGCAATGCTTCAAAGTACATGTCTGGTGAATGTGGAGGAACCACTAGAGTAGGTGTTCTTGTTGGAGGTAAAATTTTATTACCATAACGGTAACAGCCACAAATTTCCCTTTTTCGTTTATCTGCTCTTGAAATTCACAAAATGAAATGGTATTGCTGCATTATATGAAGTGGAAGAAACAGTGGAAGTCTCTGAAGTTTTATGAACATTTCATTTTCACATGTATTTGCTAGTGGAAGTATTTGATATATATCTTTTGCTTCTAGGCATTTTTCTCGCCTATTTATGTATTTGATGGTAATTCAAAATGCTATTTGATCTATGTGTTTCCTGTTGTAGTATTTGCAGTAACAACTCCAGCTTTCCTCACTGTTCATTTTTCAGGACTTATTGCTGGAGCTTTATTGATGGCTGGTGTGGCCCTTCTCTGTTATTTTGTTCGGCAGAAGTCCAATTCTTTGCGAAGTCAGTTAAGTGCAAAGCGCCTTCTATGTGAAGCTGCAGGCAACTCTAGTGTTCCATTTTTCCAATATAAAGAAATTGAAAGGGCCACTAATGGTTTCTCAGAGAAACAAAGGCTAGGAACTGGAGCCTATGGTACAGTTTATGCAGGAAAACTCCACAATGATGATTTGGTGGCCATAAAAAAGATCAGACATAGAGATACCGATAGCATTGATCAAGTCATGAATGAAATCAAGCTCCTTTCATCAGTGAGCCATCCGAATCTAGTTCGTCTTTTAGGCTGTTGCATAGAAGAGGGTGAACCAATCCTAGTGTATGAATTTATGCCCAATGGAACTTTGTGTCAGCATCTACAACGAGAAAGGGGCAGCGGGCTCCCATGGACAATTAGGCTTACCGTTGCTGCTGAAACTGCTAAAGCCATTGCCTATCTCCATTCAGCCATGAATCCACCAATTTACCACCGGGATATAAAATCTAGCAATATACTCTTAGATTACAACTATAGATCAAAGGTAGCTGATTTCGGTCTTTCCAGACTTGGCATGGTCGAATCATCTCACATATCAACAGCCCCGCAAGGGACTCCAGGCTATCTTGATCCTCAATACCATCAATATTTCCATCTTTCTGATAAAAGTGATGTTTACAGTTTCGGAGTAGTTCTTGTAGAGATCATAACTGCGCTGAAGGTAGTTGATTTTTCCCGCTCTCACAGTGAGGTTAATTTGGCTGCACTTGCCATTGATAGGATTGGAAGAGGTTGTGTGGATGAGATAATAGATCCATTTCTTGACCCTAATAGAGATGCTTGGACCTTATCATCCATTCATAGTGTGGCCGAGCTTGCTTTTAGATGCCTGGCTTTTCATAGGGATATGAGGCCTACTATGATGGAAGTGGCAGAAGAGCTAGAACAGATTAGGCTCAGTGCATGGCTTCCAACCATGTACTTGGCATCGCCGTCAGTTTCCTCTTGTTCCTCGGAAAGTGGAAGTCAGAAATCACTGAGCGTCTCTATCGGCAAAAAGGCAGGGGTAGCTAGTCGGAGAGTACTTGTTCCACAGAGAACAACAGACTGTTTGACTTCATTGGAAGAGGCAAAGGATAGCTCCCCAGTTTCTGTGCAGGATCCTTGGTTGAGCGAACAGAGCTCGCCTTCAACGAACAGCTTGTTGGGTAATGTAGCTCATTGATAAAACTGTTTCTTTTGTGTGCTTGGCTTCAAGTCCTTTTTGTTAATACAATTAGGTACTTAACAGTTTTCTATTACTCCCCCGCTACATATATATCTCTTACGGAAAATAGTATCTTGTTTGCTTTACCTAGTTATGGGTTATCGTTGTCTTCAAAATATTTTTGACAATATATTATCAATGTTGAAACAGAAGATATATCAGTCAATGTTAAATAGATTCTGTATATTTTCAACATGAAGTGAATTTTTTCACCCATGATTTACGTCTTGGCTTATCGCCATTCCTAAACGATTCGTACAGGCCACTTTCTTTCATCAGAAACTTCAAGTATAGCATTCTTGGAAACTCCATTCAATTTTTTCGTGAATCGCCCTCATGCTTGCTTCAGATGCTTCAGCAAATCTATTAAGATCAATTTCCACTTGTGCAAATTTTGACACTAACTCATTTTCATTTGCGTTTAATGGATGAGAAAGCTGCAGTTTTCTTTTTTAATGGATTTTAGTACTCGAAATAAAATTCTTAAAAGCATATAGGATACTATTACAAAATATAAAGAGCATACCAAATTCATTAGCATCATCGAACTCTGTTATCTTAATATTCTCTTCAGAGTTTCTTGATCTTTTTGTCACTGAGATGCTGACAATTTGGGCTCTTCTGGGCAGCAGCAGATTTATGAAGTTTCTCCATTAACAGATTCTTCCCTGCTGAACAAGCGTGCCTTCTACTAGATCCCTTTATCTGCACTTACATTGCAAAGTCCACTTTTTGAAGCAACAAAAGGAGAACTGATCTATTCAACGTTGCTGGTCTATTAATTGGACATTGAATCTCACAAGCAATAATTAAAAAAAAAAAAAAACTGAATTAAACAATAGGTTACTATTCAATGTACTATTTAAAATATTGTTAATCCATATTTATATATATTATTTCTTTTCATATTTATATATATTATTTCTTTTCATCATGCAGTGATATTTTTATAGTTTTCAAATATTTTAAAAACATTTATTATGAAAGTTTTGGTGGCATTAAATTTTAGTTTTTTTAAAAATATTGTTTTTTTAGTCCATAAATATTTTTTATTTCATTTTGGTCCCTCTTTTTTGTTTTATTTTGGTCACTTTGGTTCTTTTTTTCTCTGTTTTTTAATTAGAAATTTTAAAGCAAAAAAATGTTTAGAAAAAATAATTTACAAAATAAGTTTTTAGCTAAGAATCTATTGATTTTGACATTTTTTATACTATTATAAATTTTTTAGTTTGTGGATAGGGATAAATAAATAATGTTTTTTAATAAAAAATTTATGAAAAATATAAAAAAATCAATCAAATACAAAATTTTGATTAAAAATTTATAAAATTAAACGAATTTTTATTCAATTTAGACTTAATATATTTTGATATATGCACAATATAACATAAAAAATCAAACTCAAATAATTTTATATGTTTTATCCGATTTACAACATAACACGGATAAAAAAAAACCAAAAATACCCACAGCCAATTGAATTTTGCTCAACAAACTTTTGCCAACCACCATCAGATCAGATGTTTTCAGCTTTTGTTAATCCTATTTCCCAAGCACGACCGGTGGGAACAACATCTTCGGCAACATCAGAAAGTTCCTCCAAATTCCAGGGAAGTCAGACCCAAATTGTTTTTCAAAAATGGGCTGGCCCATGTACCAGGTTAAGTTTAGATTGGATCCAAGCCATTTACTTTATTATTATTTGTATTAGCGCATTAATTTGGAAGATTTGGCGTTCGGCTTGGGTCTAATTGATGGCAAGGCCATGAATGAAGCAATATTAAGGGTGTGCTGCCAAAAGAGAACATCCAAATTACTGTAAAAAAAATTCTCTAGAGACAACATCAAGGGTCAAGAAGATTTCCTCTCTAAGCTTACTATCATTAATCATCTCTGCCATAAACATCTTGTTCGGTTACTTGGTAAGTCTCCTCTCTTACTATATTTCACATCTACCTCTCCTCTCTTTGTTTCTCCATTTACATTTTACTTAGTATATATATAAATTCTATGCGTTTGGAAGGGATCAATACTTCAAAAAATGTGAATAATATTGCTCTCACATTTTGCATGTTAGGTATGCATAAAATTGTTAATTTTATCTCACAAAGTACAAAAGCCTATCAGCTAGCTATCGAAATTTGGTAATTTACGTAACCATAAAAGACATTTATGTAACTATCATCAACTGTCATTATTTGGTAATTTACATGATTCCACTTGAGGACACAATTGAGCTGGAAATTGCTTCCTGTGGATGCTGCAAAACCAAAGTAGGAATTCTATCGGACAAGATGCTTGAGGTTAAGTTCCATGGCCAGGCTTCCCCTTTTCTTCTCCCGCCATATACACTTCCACGCTTTTACTTTTCCCGTCATAATGAACCCAAACCATGTGGTTCCGGCCACCCACAGGGGCAGTTTCAATGCCTAAGTTGGCTTAAATTTTTTTTACGCCATGGTGTGCTTTTAGATTTATCTGGGCCAATTAAAATCCGCATTCTTGAGGGAATATATAGAAGCGATGAGATACACGTACACAGAGACTTGCATGCATGGGGTGCGAACCATCAAGCGTTCGTTCATCAGGACGTAGAAACAGGTAACAAACCTATTCCCTTCTCATTTTCGATCGAAACTTTTCTCATCTCCTCTCACTCATCTCTCTCTCTCCTCTCGCTCACTGGAACTTCAAGAACCCTAAACTCCTTTATCTATTCCCCAAACCCGAGATCGAAGGATCTCCTAAGTGTCCACTAAGAAACCTAAACCTCGGATTCTCTCTCTTTCACAGATCGATCTGCTTGTCTATCTTTCGAGGGTTTTTGGTGGTTTTAACAGGAATAAACCCATGGATTTCTTCCTGGTAGCTTTCTTCAAGTCTTTCAAAGGCAGACGCAGAGATCCTTGGTATCTCTGCACATGCAATTGCATTTGCTAATCATAAATAAAACAAATTTCTAGGCCCACTTGAAAGTTCATAAAAGAAATTTCCTTTCCTTCTGTCTCTGATGATAAACAATGCTCCAGCAATGAACATTTAATCTACTAGTTTCAACATATCATAAGTTATATATTTCTTTTAGGCTAGATAAAATTATAACTAAATTTTTGTTACATCAACTTTTACTAAAAATTCAATAGTCTAGGAAAAAAAAATCTTTCTCCATTTCATATAAGTCATAACCTCTTGCTGTAATAATTTCACGTTATTACATATGCCCCCATGTTACCTGTTATGTTTCCTACTTTGACAACCCATTTCAATTCTGAATTTAAAAAGGTTAATATCACGTACAGGGAAGTGCTAGTAATGTTTCTCATTAACCTTCAAGTCCTAGCCAGCAATCAATCATGCTGCCCATTGTTCTTCATAAAGAAGAACGACGGGTCTTTTTTCATAGATGGATCAACCAGCAAACCATGCCAGTTTTGCCTTCCTTATCGTGAATTCATTAGCAATTCCTAGCAAACTTTCATAATACATGGAGTCAACCAGCAAACCATGCCAGTTTTGCCTTCCTTATCGTGAATTCATTAGCAATTCCTAACAAACTTTCATAATACATGCATTTCTAGTAGTTTTGCTAGGTATATACAATAATAACACTTCTACTAGATAAGAAAAGTCATATAAACAACATACTATAGCGATACAAAAGGTGAAGAATATGAAAATATGAACTTGAAATACAAAATGTAGCAAAAAAATCAATTTTGTTAATTCGCCATTATTGGGCAATTATTGACCAGTTATTTTCAATATAATGCCCAATAACTATAATGGCGTTATAGCTGTTATTTTTGTGAATTGCCAATAATGGTACTATAATGCCGAATAACAATATCGGAATGCTCTGATTGCATTAAATAACGACCGTTATGCTATATAACGGCTGTTATTTAAAACTATGGGTCCAAAAAGCATGAAGTGAAATGCAAGTACCATTTACCAACCACATAAGGAGTGTGTATTATTCAGGATTTTGTACAAGGGTTCTACAAGCTCTAAAGAAGTTTCTTCTTCCCATCGAATTCTAAAATTGAGAAACAAACCTAACCTGTAGAAAAAAGGTAAGTAGAATGTGACCATCCTATAGATAAATGAAAAGCAGGCGGAAATCAAACTTGTTATGTAAGATTCAACTTGCAAGAGATCATCACATATTAGATCCTGAACAGAGTCTTATTAGATAGTAATATAAAACCATTCTTGGACCTTCACCCAACAGTTTAAGTTTTTAGGTTGAAATGGTTTTTAAACATGTTATGAGAACCTTGATGACCAGACGGTCACGAGAGGCTCCAAGGATGGTTTTATATTACTCTATAACATGACTAAACTAGAAACTGCTACACCATAAAAACTCTTTCACACAGATCATTTGCAAAACAGAACATTCTGTCTTCATTCCACCTATGATATATAGAGTGGAGAAACCAACATCTTGCAGTCATTTCATTATTTCACAGGAAGCATATAGAAGATAGATTTAAAACACAGCTCATAACATTCAATCCGAGATTGAAAAGAACCAAACATTTAAAATATCACTTCCGAGAGTGTTTCCATCAATAAGTGTGGAGCTAATTTCCCCCTCAAATTGGAAATCCAATGTTTATGAGGGATAAATGGTTGATGAATGTCGACGTTCCGTGCTACCAGAATGGTGAAATCAGATTATGTGGCTGCATTATCAGGCTATATGATTATCGTGATTATCAAATATTTTAGAATTTTGATCAAAACTACCTTGAGAACTCTTTTTCATTGAAAAAAAACTTACATATTTGATTGGTTGACAACTGATGTACAGCCATATCACATCTTATACGCATGAATTTGAATGAATTCAAAATGATTCACATTCTTCTAATGCTAGAAACTTGTGTGGAATGAGATACAAGATGAGAAAACATTATAATATTGTAAAAACGTTACCTTGGACACCAATTTCAGGTGACAAATTGATGAGGCTTCTAATTCTGAACATAGCATCTACCCATGGCTTCTAGGATCAACAACTTGGCGCACCTTCCTTTTTTCTGCTTTTGAATATTGTCCGACGACTCGGGCATGAGGTATGGATGCTTCCCCACGTGCAAGAGCTTCAAGATTCTCAAGTAGGTACCGCCTTGGAAGCCTGCCAACTACATTACCCTCTTCATTCCCCTCTCTATCCAGGAATGCAAAGTGTGGAATACCCTCCACACCAAACTCATCAAGTTCTTGCTCCCACTTAGTATTATCAACGTTCAGCATAACAAAATTCACACGGTCCCTAAAGGCAAGTTGCATTAAGAGGTGCAATCAAATTAATAGGAGACTACAGAACCATTAGGCTAATAAAAGGAGAAAATTCAAATATCATAAAGCTAATCAAAGCTTGATCAAGACTGTTACTTGTACTGCTGCTCCGCTTTGTAGACATCTGGAGCTAACTCTCTACATACTTCACACCAATCTGCATAGAACTCCACAACAGTTGGCTTCCCATTTGAGAGGGCCTAAATAAATATCCCAGAGAACGCATTAGCCATTTACATTCAAAGGCACATTATATTCAGAAAGCAAACCCACTTGGAATTTGACATCAAAACTAATATAAACCAATCAAAACCATTCTACTAAAACTAGTAAATTCACTCAAACCCCCTATTAAAAACAAAGAGAAATCCTTCAATTGCTTTCAATTCCAAGGACATAATCAATTTAAAAAAATCAAAACTAATGGCGAAGAATGATAAAAAACTCTACAAAGGGTAACTTTACTTAAACCCATTACTAAAAAGAGCTAGAACTCCTTGAATTTGCTCTCAATTATAACCTATTTGACAAAAATTGCAACTTTAATCCAATAAAGCAAACCTCTTCATAAGGCAATGCGGCAGCAGATAAGTCCTTCAAAGAAACACCAAAATCCAACCTTGAAGACAAGAAAAGCCCCACAGAAGCAAGAACAGAGACCACTGCAATTCGTTTACTCAAGTCTTTATTTGGCAATTCAGGTAAACCAGAATCTCGGGACGCATTTGTATCCTCTCTTTTGGCACCGTCACTAACTTGACCAGGTTCAAGAACCTCTTTTTCCTACATTAAAAAACACAAACCAGTTAACAAAAGAAAGATTATTACTTGCTACTTGTGACATGAGTGAAGGAGAAAACGAGGTTGTACCGTTGGAGTGGATGTTTCAGTGGAGTTGGGGTTTGTTTGGCAAGAAACTGTGGGGAATTTGCGAGGCTTGGTTTGACACTGGAAAGTGGATTTGAAGAGTGATGGTGGAAATTGGCAAGCTTGGAAACATGGCCGGAACCTATGGAGACAAAGAGGATTTGGAGCCACACGAGCCATAGAGATTTTGTAAGCGGAGCGCGTTGCCTTTTATTTTGGTGTATCGTGATTTTTGGTTCGTATTCGTAGTTTTTCGGTTAATTTCAATTTACCCCTATCAGGTTTGGGGTAGATCCAATTTCACCCCTGAACCTCGTGTTTTAATTGTATCAATGTCTTTCTTAAGATTTCAATCACCCATTAATATTCCTGTTCAAGTTGTCCAAACTCCAAAACAACAAAAAAATAATTTTTTAGTCCCTAAACTTTTAAACTTTAATCAAATAGAATCCTTTTAAAATAATTTCAATGATCAATTTGCCTCTCAATTTGACCGCAAATTCCATTATGCAATAAGAATATTCAGTTTGTGAATGATGAAATATCAAGAACAAGAAAATATACAATGGGTTTCATATAATTATCAAAAGAGGACGAACATTGAAAATAAATACAGTCAACTCTAATTATAGTTAATCAAGTAGCTAATCCTCTTATGTTTTAGAAGCCTCAGGCCCCAAAATCCCATTAACAATAGCACTAGCAACCAAAACTCCAACAACCTCCGCTCCGGCCACCGCACCAGCCTGCGCTAGCCCACCGAAACTCACGGCTTCGTCAATCTCCTTCTCTGCCGTCACAATCCCTTTCTCTGCTGTCTCAATCCCTTTTTCCACAGTCACAATTCCTTTCTCCGCTGTCTCCAACCCTTTCTCCGCCGTCTCAAACCCTTCCTTTACCAGCTCCTCCGCTTTCTCCTCCGCCGTCTTTAGCTTCTTCCTCAGCCCAAACAAGGGAATGTCCTGCGCTAGTGAAGCTGGTTCTCTCAAGGCCAGTGCTGGTGCTGACGTTAGCATAAAGAGAAGGTGTCTCCGGTTGGGGAAGGAAATCGGTGCAGGCTTAGTACTGATGTTCGCCTTGCAGTGGGTAGCGTGTGCATTGCGCATACGGTGGGTAGATAGTGTTCTGAATGGCTGTGGAGAGAGTGTAGAAGCCATGGATTTTACTGCTAACCTTTGTGAGGTTGATAATTTTGAAGAGGAAATGATTTTATTTATGTGGTGGTGTGACTGGCAACTTTTTTATATATATATATATATATATATATATATATATATATATATATATATATCCTTTTAGTTTTAAAAAATAAATAAATTAATGCTAAGAGCATCTATAAGCTGGGTTCTATTATAAAAAATATCGTGGCATTTTTGAAAAAAAAATAATTTGATTTAATAATTATTTTAAATCAAACAAAAATAAAAAATAAAAAAATATTTTTAGACGAAAAAAAGTATAACTAAAAAGAAAAATGAATATAGATTTTGAACTTTAAATGACTATTAACAAAAAGCATCTCTTAATCGGATCTTATTATTATTATTACTATTATTAGTTTTTTTATTTATGATATGCTAAGGATCAGATAGAACACGTAAAATTATATATAGAAAATTATTTTAATTTAATGTCATGTGTTATATTATGCGTCTATTAGAATATATCAAATTAAAACTAAATAAAAATGCATTCAATTTTATAATTTTTAATTAAAATTTTGTATTCAAATTATTATTCTTTATATTTTCATAATTTTTTATTAAAAAATATTATTTAATTATCTCTATCTACGTTTTTTTTTAAAAATTACCAATAAATCCTCAATCAATATGTGTGCTATAATAGTTATTGATCATTGATGAAGGGTGTATTAGTAATTATCTAGTAAAAAGTGATGGGCATACTAATTTATTTGGTAAATTTAGCAGTACCTTGATAAAAATTAAAAAGTACAGGGAGTAGTTGAATAAAAAATGTATATGGGCCATATTAAAAACATTAGAAGAGTGGAGGGATGCTTATGCAATTAACCCATAAATAAATAAAAGCAGAGCTTGTTTGTTCGGTGTCGGCCCCATTTCCCACGGACGACACTTCACCCAACATAATCATCTTTTCCGCCACAAAAACGCCATTTTAAAAAGCACGCAAAACGTCGTCCTTATTTCCTCCTCTCCCTCTCATTCTCCATTTTCATTTCGCTCCTCAATCAAAATCATGGATTCGGAATCCTCTATTACCGAACCAAAAGCCGCCGCCATAGAAAGTCAAACCTCAGTCGAAGCCACCATCAAAGAATCCACCACCACCTCTCAAGGAGAAGCCGCCGACTCCACCTGCAATGAAAATGGCAATGGAGAAACTTCAGACCCAGAGAAATCTCTAAATTTCGCTGTTGAGTTAGCAGAGAAAGGAACTAAAGCGCTTAAAGAAAACGACTTCAGTGAAGCCGTAGACTGCTTTAGCCGTGCCCTTGAAATCAGGTTAGGGTTTTCATTTCACTGTCTACTTTTGGTTTTTGATCAGTGAAAAATTGCTATGAAGTCCTCAAAGCTCTGATCTATTGATAGATTTCAGAAGTTTGTGATTTAGGGTTTTCGTAGGGTATAGCTTTACTTAAAAAAAAAAAAACGAGATAAAATGTGGTTAATTTTGGAAATTTACAGATAGAACTTGTAACTTTCTTGTGATTAGGAGCGTCAAGTTTCGGAAATTTCCACTTTAAGAATTCGATGTTTATGAAAATGGGTATTTCGCAAAGTCGTTTTAGTAGTTGGGGATTTAGGGTTTATATAATTAGGAGCTTCACGTTCAGGAACAAAGAAAAGGATCTCTACTCATTTTGGGAATTTTAGTGGTAAAATGTGTAGGAGTTAAAGTAATAACAAATGTTTTGGTTCATAACTATGAGTATGAAGTTTTACAGTTCTTAACTTGTACTTATTTGTGAAAGTGGGGTGATAATTTGCTCTAATAAATCTTTGCAGATTCTGATGGAGCTTTTGAGAGTGATTGTTATTGTGTGTGTACCTAATGTTTTTCTTAAGTTTCTAAATTTTGATGTTATTAGGGTTTTGCATCATGGTGAGCTTGCACTTGAATGTGTGAATGCATACTATCAATATGGACGTGCACTGTTGTATAAAGCGCAAGATGAGGCTGATCCATTGGCTACGGTCCCCAAGAAGGATAGTGAATCTAAACAAGATGATGATAAAGATGGAGCTTGCAAGAATGTTGTAATTGGAGAATCTTCGACTGCTTCTGCTTCTAGCAATGTCGAAGAGGGTGGAGGTTCTAATCATCCACAACATGCAGCTGATGATGGTCAGTATTTTGTTGCTGATAATATTTGTTCATAGGCTGTTGTGGTAGAACATGCTAGTTAACAAGTTACTTTTTTGGAACGTGTATTGGCATTTATCAACATTCAATTACTTTGCTTTAAACTTGTGTGACATGTGGGCGCAATCTCTATCATTAATGGGTGTAAATATTTCATAATGAATAAACTGAATCCTGAACTTTACAAATTCAAACATATATTGCTGTTTGTTGTTCATGTTTTCTGAAAGACTATCTCTGTGGTTTGGAGATTGTTTGTTTAAAATACTCATCTACTTGTGGTGGGATTTGATATTTCTGCTTCCTTTGATGCTTTAAGGAGTGCAACATATGTTCTGCATATTTTGTCACTGCACAAATATGGGATCTATGCTGCTAGGTAGTTGATATGCTGACAATAAACAATCTACATGAATTTGCATTTGGTTCGCTTACGTGCTTGAGCAAAATGACTGTCAATGATTTCTGATCCCTTAACATTCTTACCTCCTCTATGCACTTCTACATACATCCATTAAAGAACTATCGTGAGCAGGGATGAAGGAAATGATATTTGAGATGGTTTTCATGGTAAATGATAAAATGATTTTGTATGCACTAAGATGGTTAAACTTCCACCAAGGTGAGAAGGCTAGCCTGGGATTGGATGTAAGCTGCTGTCTTTAGTTGGAGCAGGGCCAGTAGTAGCATCAGTCTCATGGTTAAAATGTATCTGACCGTTCCTTGCTGATATGTCTTTATTCTGTTACAGCTTCTGGTGGGAAGGATGAAGAAGAAGAAGATGAGGGAAGTGATGACGAGGACCTTGCTGAAGCAGATGAAGAGGAATCTGACCTTGATTTGGCGTGGAAAATGCTAGATGTTGCAAGGGCAATTGCAGAAAAACACCCTGGTGACACGATGGATAAAGTTGACATACTATCAGCACTGGCAGAAGTTGCATTGGAAAGAGGTCTGTTTATGCATTTATTTGAGTTGAAATTTGCAAAGGTGAAGATGTTTTGGTTTTATTTAATGAAAATAAAAAATAAATGGATGCATTAATAATATTTCCATTTGTTTCTGAATGCCTCTTGCCTGAGTTAAGTGTGTTTGTGTGTGTGTTTTTTGGTGCTTCATGCAGAGGATTTTGAAACATCTCTCAGTGATTACCAGAAAGCACTATCCATTTTAGAAAGGCTTGTTGAACCAGACAGTAGACTTTTAGCTGAACTGTATCCTTTTCAAGGTTTAGATACTCCTTGTTTTGAGATACGTGTGACATATTGCCAGTTTATTTATTTTCTGGATCCATTAAATTTACTGATAGATTCATATATGCTTTGTCTTGGCCAATCACTTTAGTCAATTTTTAGGGATTCCATCGTCTTATTCACTTTGTCACAGCTTTAACTGTGCAATTCAGAAATTTTCGAATATGTTTGTGTCTGGAGACTGGAGCTCAGTCTCAGGAAGCCATCCCATATTGCCAGAAGGCTATATCACTTTGCAAGGCACGGTTGCAGCGACTCATCAATGAAGTGAAGAGTTCCACAGAATCATCTACTACAACTTCAGCTATTTCTGACTTAGATGAGGGTGTCCAGCAGTCCTCTAATGTGCAGGCTGATATATCTATGACAGATAAAGAAGCAGAGATTGAAACGCTTACTGGACTGTCCGTAGATCTGGAAAAGAAGGTAAACTGCTGCTAGCCTCTGTGCAAGTGTTAGAATTTCATTTAAGTCATCCTAAGTTAAATTTTGGAACTTTGTATTTGCAGCTTGAAGATCTACAACAGCTGGTCCTGAACCCGAAGTCCATTCTCTCAGAAATCCTGGGAATGGTATCTGCCAGGGCACAAGGTGGCAAGAAGAGTGCATTTCCAATTGTCACGGGCTCTTCTCAGATGGGTACTGCTACTAGCAGTGGAGGTTTCGATTCTCCAACCGTCTCCACTGCTCACACAAATGGGGTGTCTGGAGTCACAGATCTTGGTGTTGTGGGAAGAGGAGTTAAGCGAGTTCTGAAAAGTACAGGGTCGGTGGGATCAAGCCCTGTGAAGAAACCTACTCTGGATCCATCATCGGACAAAGGGGATGGAAAAACCTGTTAGTGGTTCTGAATTTGAATGGTCAGAGATTTGATATTAATAGCAAGCGGGTTAAAATTCTAGCATTAGCAAATATAACCATTCAAATACTGATGTCATGGGTCCTTGAGAGCTGCTGGATTGGTCCTGCTTGGTGACTGCTGTCTAGGCTAGTGTTAACTTTCCTATGTTTTCTCCATTATATGACTTTGGACTTAGGAGAGCAATATCCTTTTAGCATCTTGTAAAGCCTTTGCCTATATTTCAGTTGTACTAACGTGTCAGTGCCCTTTATTAATGTTGGGAGGAAGTAGACTGTTTGAATCCATATTTCAATCTTGAAATGGTGCTTTGTGGTCGGAACTATTCATGTGCAGAATGTTCCTTCATAGATAGGGATTTCTGTAGGGTTCCTACTTCGTGCTGAATTTTAATCAAAACCCAGTTTAAAGTGGATTTTGTAATGATTGGTGCTTAATTCTGTGATTGCTGTTTCTGTTTCTAGTGTTTTGCGTTTTTTTTTTTTTTTTTTGGGCTCTATGTACATTTCAAAACGTGGAGTATATTGTCCGAAATGTTTAGGCATTTCACGGTCGGTCCAGTTGACAGGTAATGTGTTTAGGTTTATCAACAATCTGCTTAACCTTGGAATCTTCTTTTGCCAGCTCTCTCCGGGTCCTCTACACCGTATGTGGGAGGATATTGCCAGCTCTCTCTGGGTCCTCCACGCCGTATGTGAGAGGATACCTCCTCCTTTTAAGCTAATGGTTGCTTTCAGCAATGAATGATTGCTTGAAACCTATTGCTCCATATTTTATAATCCTCTGATGGGGGAGATGGAAATTATGGTTCTAATTGGTAGAATTTTTTGTCATGCATAACCATTGAATTTAGTGGCATTATTTAGGAATTCAAGAGTGGTTCAATTCATGTTGCAGTTGGGCATTGTGGTTGAAAGATACTGACCATGTGAAGTGAAACCAAATTATAGGCAGGACCACAAGTCATTAGTAATGGTAATAACTCATGATTATGAAAATGAGACATTTATTGAACAAAACTACGAATTACAAGTTTGGAAGATGGAGATAGCTTTTGCCACAATCTAAAGCAACCCACTTTTCGTTGGTGGTAGCTAGAGCAATGGTAAAATGATCAATTCGTGCTTCTTGTTTTCAAGCCTGAACATTGACTTTTTGTTTCTAGAAGGTATTTTATGCCATCACAGCGGACAAAAACTATTCTTCTTTTGTTGTTGTTTTGAGTTTGTATGTTTCTATTGTGTTTCTTCCAATGATACAAGTTGAACTTGTATGGTTACCTATCTGCTTAAACAAAGGATCATTATCAATAAGTTGTAGGTCTAGTAGTAAGCTAGCTGGTTTTCAGACGAATTTTCTACCAATATACAAGATTAGAATCTTAAAATTACACTTGTTGGAAAGAGTTAAATGATCATTACCAACAAGTTGTAAGTCTAGTAGTAAGCTAGCTGATCTTCGGACGAATTTCTATCGATATGTAGGATTCAAATTCTAAAATTGCATTAATTGGAAAGAGTTAAACTTCGTAATTTTAATCCCGAACATAGTTAGTCCTATTTTTAATGGGACATATGCATCGTGGGATAGAGATACCTAGGTAGAACCAAAAAAAAAAAAACAAAACGAAGGATCATTGCTTGCCAGGCATATTACTAGGCAGATTGATGATTTCCATACAAAGAGGATTTTGTGAGACAAAGGTCGATAACATCGAAGGAAAAACATTGCTATATAACCGAAGGTGAATAAGAAAAGCAAAGCAGCATCGATAACATATACAAGTTCTTGCGTCCAAAACTAAGATAACTATGTGCTACAAAGTACAGTGCAAGCAATGCAAAAGGTATTCCTGGGGTGGGTGTGGCAAGCACCTCACCACCGTTTATGCGAGCATAGATAAGGGAAATCATTGCATGTGCAAGTCATGGCCGGGTGTTGTCGTCCCGGTGGAGGAAACAGCTACCGAGCAACAACCATCTGGCGGAGCTTCATCAGCTTCAGCTACCACCACTGCAGGTATATCTACAATTTTAACAGGTTTCTTGTACATGCCTTGGTTTTTGTTTTAGGATCAAGGCATCAGGGACGGTATTATGTGTTTAGGTCAGCATGGTTTTCTCAAGTATTTTATTGTCATTGCATTGCGTGCCATATTAGTTATGTTGAATTATGTCGAGTTATCTTATATCGATTGTCGTAAAAAAAATTATGTGTTTAGTTATAAATGTGAGAGAAAGTCTCATTCGTTAAATTAGTTTTTGACGTTGAGAAGGTATAATAACATGTAACATTCGTATAAACTTTAAATTAAACAATGTATTGTTGAAATTCATGAGAAATAGTCAACTTGAAGCCCAATATGTAAGATAAAAGATTATTGTTTTATCCTACATTTTTTGTGAAAGAAGCTAGATGCTTGATTATAAAGGTGAAGAAAATTCTCACTTCTTAAGCTAGTTTTTGACCTTGAAAACGTACAATGGCACCCAATAAATTATGAATGTATTTAATGATGCACCCGATTTTTTTTTTCTTTCTAATTTTTAAATGGCAGCAGGCATAAACTCTGTGTTACCTGCAAATCTTCTAGCGAGTAATTGCCCTTACAAGTAATGGGATTTCTTGATTTTTGTTATAGATTCAAGGTATCAAGTGGATAATATTAAGCTATATATGTATGGTTAGGTATACATTATGTTATATATATATATATATATATACACACACAATACAATTAATTATCTGCATCATCTCTTTGTATTGCGTATCAGTAATGCAACCAAAATTGGTTAGTACTACAGTTGGGTCTTCTTCTTCTTTTTTTTTTTTAATTTATTTATAATCAATTCATTATTGTAGTTGTTGAAACTTAAAATCATCATCAATGGTTACCACAAATAGAACTTCATAATAATGGAATATCATGTGACGTGCATAATTATAGCTCCAAATGTTTGATGATTCCTCCTTTTTTACAGACTGAAAAAAACAAAAGAATTGACCTTCTGATGTATCATCTTGTTGGATATCAGTCGAATTGCTGTTGTTTTTCTTTTTGAAGTCACTAATAATTCCTAAAGATGAAGGCTGGACAGAGAGAGAGAGAGTACGTACTATATTAGAGAGTCATTGTTTCCTTCTATCATTTTCGTTCAAGCTTGGCTATCATCTGAAAGTTGGAGATAAATGGAGTCTGATTATGGCCAATGTTTTATTGACCAACCTTGGTTTTCTTTCCTTTATTTATTTTCTGAATGTATGGAGTAATTAATAAAGAACCAAACTTTGATTAGCCTCTTCGGTTTTGTAAAAAAACTGGATGATTTTGTCATGGTCTTCGAACTGTGCCTCCTCCTTTTTTTAATCCAAATGCCATTTTTGAGGCAACAGCAAAGCAATAATATGTGTGAGTATGTAGGGATGACAATAGGCAGGACAAGGCAGGGATGGCCATTTCCGTCTTCGCCCTGTTCAGGGTATATTTTGCATATCATTTCCGTTTCAAACAGAACTAGACTCCGTCAAATTATCATTCTTAAAAACAAAAGTACGGAAATCCGTTCTGTCTCGTACTCCATTGGAGCGTATTTTGCATATCATCTCCGCCTCAAACGAAATGGAATGAGGCCCCATTGAGGTAGGTCAGATTATCATCCCTATGAATATGTGAGGTTCTAGGAAAGAGGAAGATGCCCTCGAATGGGTAGAACCAGGAACTGTAGCACTTGTAGTAATATTCTCAATTCTCAAAAGGAAACAACAAGGTGACCCACATTTAAGCAATTATATAAGCAAAAGCATAGTCTGACCTTTGTAAGTCTTTGGCTCTTTATTGTTTGAATCTTGTTGTCCTTGAGTGCAAGAAAGCTAGAAACACATAGAACACAAAACAATTGTGTGCCCAAAATGGAGCAGCTAGCCATCATTGATCGTTCTTTTGTGCATTTTGTCTAATGATTAGTCACCAAAGCACGTGAATGGAGAACACAGAGGGGCTCCATTAGTCTTCTTCTGCAAGACAATTATCCGCCTCACCCTTAGGCCATAGCCTTTCCTTTCAAATTTCGTTCAACTGCAATTATTACATCAGAAGTTTCAGTTTGGCTGGTGGGGTTTGCCTCTCTGTTTTTCTTTCTTTCCATACCCACCATCTCTCACATCACCATCATATCCATTTATGTCTATAGTTGTTTAATTATTTTGATAATGACTCACATGACCCACTAATCACTAATCCCCAAACCCCTCCTCTTTCTTTTTTCTTTCATTTCATTTTCAATTTCAATCTCTTCCTTGTGGACAGTGGATACCCTCTGTTCATCTTTTTTAGTTTTTCCCTTCCTGGCCTGTACTTCCCCTGTTTATAATCGATATTACATCAAAACGGTAAATACAGAGAAAAAAAAAACTCTTTCCTAATCGTTTGTCTGACAACTGACACAGATATGGATTTAATGTCAACTTAAGTACTTATATTTTCAGTTTTTTTTTTCAAAATTAACGGTCAAACTTGATCAAAGGTTCAATCAACATGCAACACGTGTACTTGTTAAGCTTATAATTCAGACATCACCATAAGCTTGTAATAAGAGGGAGAGTCCAAGAACCAATACCAGGGTTGAAGCCGGAGATGTGAACTATCAGACTTAAAACTGCTCAGATTTTAGTTACTGCAACCGGCCGGCAGAAACACTTGTACTTGTTCCCACAACATTGGCTGTTCGTGGATGACCACATTTAAACCATTCTCGTCAACTCATCAATATGGTCATAAATGTAGGCAAGGTAGCGTGAGATGGTAGATATGATGCTATAAATGAAAGTGAGCGCCATGTTTTCTGATTTTCAGACCTGAATTTCAAAGATGGAGAACCATTATAATCAAGAAAATCACCCAAATGAAATGGTGGACTTCTTTCCTTCCCTTTTTATGTGGGTCATGATCTCCATGTGATCATTTATTCCAGCATGAAATCATAGAAGTATGACCCCATTTATTAATTTAATCTTGGACGGCATAAATTCCAAAATCCCTCCCTCTGCTCTGATCCTTAAATATTGGGTGTGGGTTAAGCTCTCGTTCATGTTTTGCATTCATAGTTTTAAATCCGGAATCATTGAAACAACGACTACGATTATTATCACAAGTCACAACTTATTATAATAATAATAACGAAATATTTCGAAACCTTTATTAGTAAAGGATTGTTATTTAAAATTATGCATCTTTAATGGACAATCAATGTTGTGGTGTTGTAACCAACTAATCAGTGAACCATCTAAGAGAGGATGTCTTTGTGTCTTCTATAATTTTTGTCCTCTTAACACTTTTGATTAGGATATTATTAGCTTCAAAAAGGATTAAAAAAATAAAGGAGACATATGATTATAAGTTCGATTATTATCATCTTTCTGTTGCTTAATTTTCTGTTAAGTCCGTGACTATGAGGATTATTTTAAGCCAATTTTTCCAGCTCAAACAAATTGGATTCCTTTAAATTCACTTTAAAAAAATCATTTGCATCTATGAGAAATTCTCTCTCTCAACTTGTATTATTAATATCCCCAACATCTCAAACCTTTCATTAATATTGTAATTAAGATTCTCAAGCTTGAGTAATAAATTAAAAATTATTTTATCAACTCTCATTTGCAATTGATTAAACAATTAGTAGGGGTAGGTCCACAATGATCAAATTTCTAGACACAACATGTGACTAATAACACAAGTCAAGCAGGACAACAATTGGTTTCGAGATTCAACTTTCAACTTTTTAGTATCTGGAAAAATTGCAACCGGATGAAGGGTAGAATTGAATGAAAAGAAAAAAAAAGTACCATAATTTACGCAAAAAAAAGGTCCCAGTTGGCAAGCAATGGCAGTGGAAGATGATGATAATGATGATCTTTTTAAGGTCTAAGAAAGAAAATTCTTCCAAAGGGCTTCCTTTCTTCTACTACTACTACAAAGGAGAGTTTTTGAGTTGGAGTGGTTAAGATTCTGATCTCATTCAAACAAGAAAATTGAAAAAAGCAAAAGAAATTTCGATTAAAAAAACCAATGATGTAATTGAAAAACCCTTTATAGAAATCTGTTCAACTTTTGTTTGTCCGTTTTGAGTGGTTGGATTCCCAATCTCCCTTTCCTTGCTTTTGTAATTTGCCACTTTGTTGTCACACAAACAAAACCCAATTAGTTTAGCCCTAAACATTAAACACAAACTTACAAACACAAACATACATTTTCTCCTATCACGCATTCTCTCACTTTCATGCCAGAAACCCTCTACACTCTTTCCCTCTCTTCTCATGGATCTAGCCTAGTTCTCAAGAACTAGTCCCACAAGAAGCGGATTTTCTTGGAAAAAGAAAAAAATGGCATCTGAGAAGCCTAGCTCTAAAGGGCAAGCATGGTTAGTTAGTTGCTTTATACACAGACTAGTCTTTTCTTGCCCATGTTTCTTTAGTTCAAACAAAACTGTTTGACAATTTTGTTCGTGTTTTTTCTTTTCTTGCAGGTTTTGCACAACTGGGCTACCGAGTGACATTGTGATTGAAGTAGAAGACATGACCTTTCACCTCCACAAGGTAGCATGACCACCATAAACTTGGAGTAATATTTCATGTTCAAGTTATTTCCTTTTTTGCTTACTAGTGGCTCTGTATTCTCTTTCTGGTGGTTTAGTTTCCTTTGATGTCGAAAAGTAGAAAGCTTCACCAACTAATAACAGAGCAAGAAACAAATCCTACAACCTCAACAACCCAAAGAGATGACCGACGAGAGCCAGAAGAAGAAAAGGATGAAATTGAAGAAGTTCTTTGTCAAATTTCTCTCCTGGACTTTCCAGGTGGCTCTGAAACTTTTGAGATGGCTGCCAAGTTTTGCTACGGCGTAAAGGTAGACTTAAACTCATCTATCATCGCTCCTCTTCGCTGTGCCGGAGAGTTTCTTGAAATGACGGAAGAGTATTCAGAAGATAATTTAATTTCTAAGACAGAGAGGTTTTTCTCTCAATATGTGCTTAAAAGTCTTAAGGAGTCGATTAAGGCCTTAAAATCTTGCGAGCGGGTAATGCCGCCCGCAGAGAGTTTAGGCATTACTGAGAGATGCATTGATTCCATTGCTTCGAGAGCTTCCTCTGCCGATCCAGCATTATTAGGCTGGCCGGTTAGCGAAGCAGCAAATGAGAATATGAAAGCTAGTTCCAATCAGGCCCTATGGAATGGGATTGAATCCGCGGTGCGTAGAAAAGGAGTTGGTTCTAGAAGCAATAATGGGGATTCTTGGTTTGAAGATTTGGCACTTTTGAGCTTGCCATTGTTTAAGAGGTTGATTTTGGCTTTGAAAATGGGAGATCTGAATCCGGAGATTGTAGAGAGCTGTTTAATGTATTATGCCAAGAAGCACATTCCGGGCATATCAAGATCAAATAGAAAACCATCTTCTTCATCATCTTCACTTGCTTCAGAGGGTGAACAAAGGGAAGTGTTGGAGACTATTGTTTCCAATCTTCCATTGCAAAAAAGTTCTAGATCTTCCACAGCAACAAGGTTCTTATTTGGTTTTTTGAGAACTGCTAACATACTAACTGCATCTGAAGATTGTCGGTCCAGATTGGAGAAGAAGATTGGGTTACAACTAGAGCAAGCTACACTAGATGATTTATTGATTCCTAGCTATTCATATTTGAATGAGACGTTATATGATGTTGATTGCTTGGAGAGAATTTTAGGCCACTTCTTGGATGGACTTGAAGAAGAGAGAAATGTAGGTGAGATTGAAGCCAGCGAGGATGGTGGAGGTGGCAATGTGAGATCACCCACTCTAATGCTTGTTGGGAAACTAATTGATGGCTATCTAGCTGAGATTGCATCAGATGCAAATTTGAAGCCTGATAGGTTCTATAATCTCGCAGTTTCACTGCCGGAGCAAGCTAGACTTTTCGATGATGGCCTCTACCGAGCCGTGGATGTTTATCTCAAGGTACAAATTGTCCATTGAATTATTTTTTTTATTTAATTGTGCTATGAGATATTACAAGTAGTAATGTAGTTTTGCAAATTATAGGCAGATGAAGTTGCTAGGTTGTCGATATCCCTGAGATTTAGTACTATGTTAATGTTAATTACAAAATTCTGTAAAGAAAAATTACAGTTTATAGTCAAGTTGTCTTGTTGTTACAATCCAAGATTCAATATCCTGTGGCATAATAATCCCTGTAAAGAAATTTCTGCCTCACAGCAATCAAATCTTTGTGTTTTTTATTCTTGAAGGCACATCCATGGATATCAGAGTCAGAGCGAGAGAAGATATGTGGAGCAATAGATTGTCAAAAGCTCACATTAGAAGCCTGCACTCACGCAGCGCAAAACGAGCGGCTGCCATTGCGTGCTGTGGTTCAAGTTCTGTTTTTCGAGCAGTTACAACTCCGCCATGCAATTGCAGGGACATTGATGGCAGTAGAGGCTGATCCTGCAAGGCCCTCCGTGCTAGGGCGGAGGGAGGAAGAGGCAGGGGCAGAGGCAGAGGCAGGGGCTGAAGCAGCAGGGGCAATGCAGGAGGGTGGTAGTAACACTTGGAGGGCAGCAGTGAGGGAAAATCAAGTGCTGAGGCTAGACATGGATAGCATGAGGACTAGGGTGCATCAGCTTGAAAGGGAGTGTTCAACAATGAAGAAGGTGATCGAGAAGATTGACAAGGAGGGTCCTCGTGAGAGTATTGGAGGATGGAGAGGATCCTTGACAAGGAGATTTGGGTGCAAGTTTAAGACCCAAGTCTGCGATTCTCATGAGCAATCGGTTGTAAATGCTGGGAAGGGAAGGCAACAACATCATCATCATCATCAACAATAGATGCTTCATTATGGAAACAGAAGGTCTTGTTATTAGTATTCATTGTCTTGGTGGGGTTGACCAAATCACATTGTCTAGTGGGTGTCCATAATTTATTATGTTAAGCACATGTAAGTTGCTTCCACTTCATGTTCTTAAAAGATGGGAAAATAAAAGTATGATTTTTTTTTCCTGGAAGGGTTAATACTGTTTTTCACCAATGATTTTGTTGATTGTCCAAATTGACACATCTTTTTAGGTAATGGGTGATGAGCATTACAAAGCATGAGAGATGGTGGAAATTGCAGGTTCTTTCTGTAAAGTTTTTGTACAATCTGAAATCTGTGGTCAGTGATCATTCCACTCCCAGAAGTTAAGGGACCCCAATTTATGTGCATTCTTTCAGATTGGAAATAGCATTGATAGCTCCATACAAGCATAGAAATATTCTATTCTCGTCTGTCCTATTGTTTGTCCCTTTTTTTCTCCTGGATTTTTTCTGAGGTGAAACTGAAGTGAAGGGGAAGACGACACAAATAATTTGTTGTGTTCTAATTTCATTGGATTCATGATGATGACTGAAGTCTATAACAAATGTCTATTGCATTCTGTCCAGGAATCATTTTGCTTATCAATTCATTCAAGGGAAATTGAGATGTAGTACGGACCCTTATCTCATATGGGGAGGTCACATGGGCCTTGCTTATCTTTTTTCCCTTAGAAGTGCCCTAATCACATAGGGTGGTCACATGGGCCTTGCCTATCTTTTTTCTCCTAGAAGTGATTGAAGTGTTTCGTCTTCTTTGTCCAGGAGAATTGCAGAGAATTTTGTTGACTTTGCAGCTTTTTAAAATTTTTCAGATTCTTGATTTAAATAGTACAAGAGCTGGTGAAATAATCAGACATTTGCAATCATGAACCGGAGGTGCTTCTTACATATATATCAATGTTCATTTTGTTCCAAAAATATAAGACTAAACAACTCAAGAATTCTACAAGAAGCCATCCGAGGATAATCCTGAGCATGCTGATCTATGTAGAAGGTGACAAGTTTTCTAGCACTTTTGTAACTGATAATTAATTTCTTTTTAGTAATTCTTGTCGTTGAATTGTTTGTAATCCTTGCATGTTCAATTAGTTGAGCATTGTATTGCTTTGTCACTATAGTGAGCTCCAACTTGTGTCTTGTTTTTGAACACTAAAACTTTGGCTGTGTTTTCACCAATTCATCAGAAAGAATGCCCATATGTTATCAATTTGGTTAATTAAAAAGTTTTGCATACATTGAGAATTCATATAATTTGAATTTTTTTGATCGATATCCTAATTTTTTCTCGTTCAATTTAAGAGTTTTACTCTTATGTTATTATTGTTTCGGATCCTAATGTGCTACATAAGCACACACGATAAATTCTAGCCAATAATAACTTATCACGTCACCAATTCAATCATCTAATTTAGACCCATCGTGACATGTGGTAAGCTATCATTAGTTAGAGCTTGCTGCACGTATTTACTTAGCATATTAGAGTTTGAAATAACAAAATAAGAGTAAAACTCTTAAATTAAAAAAAAAAAATTAAGGTCTTAACAAAAAATTTCAAATTATCCGGAGTCTCGATAAGTAAAATCCATTAATTAAACACCTATGTATTTTTGTTATCAATCAATTGAGTATTACTAAAAACACTAAAAAAGATGAGTTTTTCTTATTCACAGACTGTTTATCTACTCTCATTTTACTATAGATTGAGTTTTATTTTTTTTTGCCTTTTGCTTTATAAATGACCTTCTTTTTTGTCTTTAATTACTTTTATTGTCACTTAGTGGATTTGTGAAAATCCATATTTGCCTTGACTGATTCTCTTTTTAATTTTCTTTCTTAGCTTTTTGCTTCTTCTTTTTTCCTCTTAATTATAAATGATCTTCTTTTTTACATATAATTACTCTTATTACCACTCAATGGATTTGTAAAAATCCACATTTACTCTTACATGATTCTCTCTTTCTTATTTCTCTTTGAGCCTTTTCTCATCATTCCATTGGTTGAATTGAAAATAAAGATGCATTGACCAAATGAATAACAAAAGGTTTTTGTTATAACGACAGCATTGTTTTAAAGGTATGATTCTGGATCGAAGTTCGTAATTATATATATATATATATATATATATATGAAGGAAAAGCAACTCCATTACAATTTACACCAGTTCTAAATAGCTACACAAATGGACCTTGAACACAAATCACAAACTGGGCTTAACCAGAAAGAACATTTCACTTTCGCCATGTGTACGACTACCATGATGATTCTCCAAACGTAAGCGGTAAGCCAGTTCCGTTGAATGAAAGCCACGTGGATACAAAACATTTCTACTTCTAAGCTGGTAATTCCAAGAATCAGCAACTAGACAGAAACAGTGGGAGATCCGAAACTTCGCTGACTGAAAATCTTAAAAAAGTGGGGGAAATTTTCCCAATTCAGTAAAGTTCCCTCGAAACAGGGACCCCACCTTATTAAACCCACAAAACTAGCATCAGTGTCATCCTAATCCAAGCGAATAGGTCCATCCAAGAGACCAGCTCATAAAAGGGTACTTGTCATTTCACCCTCTGTGCTAGTATTTCCTTCTATTGTCTGTTTGGCCTTTAATATTTTATCTTCTTTCTCATTATTTTCATTTTTAGATCTTGAGAGAGAGAGAGAGAGAGAGAGAGAATGGGGAGGATGGAGTTTTTGAAAATGAAGACTGATGAAGTCAGTGCTAATTTAATTGAGTCTGATGTCAATGAGCTCAAGGTGGCCGCTAAGAGACTTTTGAAGGATGCCACTAAGCTTGGTGGCTTGGGGTTTGGTACCTCTTTTCTCAAATGGGTTGCCTCCTTTGCTGCTATGTGAGTGCTTTTCTTTTTGCTTAATTTTGTAAAGTTCAATTCTTTATACAATATATTTTCTTTTTCCTGCTAGTGCTGGTCTTGAAATTTTACCTAGCCATTTGGACTACATTTTGTTGGGTTGATATGAATGTATAATCTAAAGACTAAGTATCTAATGTGGATCCTTTTTCCTTCTCGTTCTACTTTCTTCTTTCTAATTTGAAGTTTTGTCATCGTTGCTCAATGTTTTACCAATTTGGACTAATTATGTCTTGCAAAATTCTGTTAGCAAGATTTGAGCGTGGATCATAGTTTATACTATCTGCTTTGACATTTGGTGGAATCCCTACGTATGGTGAAATTGTTGGGTGGATTAAAGGGCAGGAATGAAGGATTGTTGATTTCTTATGTGGGATGCTTTTATGCTATTTTCTGGTAGAGTGACAATGATCTTGATGAATCATACTTGAAAAGATCGATTGATGCGGAGGAACTTTTCCTGCTTGTAATAATACCAGAACAAATGAAACCTGATACTTGTAAAACTTGAAAAGAAAAAGGCTCCTCTTACTTTTGTTGAATTTCCTCTTTGAATACGAAGAAAACAGGTAATATAAATTAAGGATCGCATGTATTCTAGGTTGTTTCATGTATAATTTCTTTGTGAATTCATTTTCTCCTGCCATAAACTGGGCCTTTGATCCTGATGCTCAACACTGAACAAGTAAATGACTGAGCCTGATACATCATAATATTTCTCCCTTATTTTTCATAACTGCATTGGTTTGTCTGCAGTAAGTGACTGAACTTCATCTATTCCTATTCGGAGTGTTGAATTCTTTCTGTAAATAATTAACTCATTATTAGATGTCCTGTGCAGTTATCTGCTGATATTGGACCGGACAAACTGGAGATCCAACATGCTGACTTCACTTTTAGTCCCTTACATTTTCTTCAGTCTTCCTTCTGTGCTATTTAACTTCTTCAGGTGATAACCTTCTTTGATAATTAACCCTTTTAGTTAGATTTATTTTGGTTTTATCTTCTACTCATCTTGATTTCTATGTATGTCCAACTTATCCAGAGGGGAAGTTGGAAGGTGGATTGCTTTTATTGCTGTGGTCATCAGGCTTTTCTTCCCACGACATTTCCCAGGTACAGGCCCAAATTAGTGTATAACTGTTGATCTTATTTTTCAGCGGTATGCATTGCTTGCTTATCTAGCTTTGCCATTCTTATTTCTGCGCCAGCCACCATGGTTGACGGGTAGCAAAGTTATATTGGGAAATTGCCATGGCTAAGGATAACTTGCTATTCCCCAATACAGCCGTGAACCCCCAACTCCCTTCTCTCTCTCTCTCTCTCACACACACGCGCGCACGCACACACACAAGCATGCTTGCGAAGAAGAAACAATCTTATAAGCATTGTGTTGTCCCATTTGAAGACTCTGATGGTTCTTTTACTCTTCGGATGAATTGTTAGTTAATATAACAAACCGGTGGATGTTCACCATCTCTTTTTCCAGAATTAGATTTCTTATCAAGACCTATAAAGAGACTTTTTCTATATGTTGATCGGTTAAATTAGGGATGGAAAATTCGATTTGGTGGTTTAACCAATTACTGTTTAGTCATTGAAATTGTGCCATATTCTCTAACATGTGGATTACCACATAGATTTCTACTCTTGTCTCCCCATACATCCAAGTTTTGGCATGCAGAAGTAAGCGGTAAGATATTCCAATATGTGGGTCAGCTTTTCATCATACGCCAAAAAAATTGTTGGATGCTTCTAAATTCCATTTCTTGTAAATCTCTCTATTTACACTCTGGAACCAAAAATTGTCGTCCTTCATGAGTGTGCAACTATGCATTTTTGCTGCAACTACTTCTTTGATATTGATGTAATAACGGTTTAGTGCCGGTTTCATTATTCTGATTTCTGATTGTTGCATGTACAGATTGGCTGGAGATGCCAGGATCAATAATTCTTCTTCTGGTTGTTGCTCCAAACTTTTTTGCACACACATTGAAGGAGAACTTGGTCGGTGTCGCGGTTTGCCTTATCATTGCTTGTTACTTACTGCAAGACCACATCCGGGCATCTGGTGGATTTAGAAATTCCTTTACACAACCCCATGGAATATCAAACACTGTTGGCATTATCCTTCTGATAGTTTATCCTGTGTGGGCACTATTGGTTCACTTCCTCTAGGCACATTGGCTGCAGATTGGAGTAGTGAAACTGTCTCTACACTGCAAATTAAAACAGTTCATGTTGTGTTCGATTTCAAATAATATTATGATTTGTATGTATGACAGTCCGGTGTTCATAAATTTATTGAATTCTGCATCTGTTTGCAATAAAAAAGAAAAAAAGGTATTTGTATCCAGCTTATGTAATGTAATTAAACAACTGTTGATTGTTTTTCAAGAGTGTATGATCTATCGATTTTTTATTTCTTTCTTTAGATCATTTCTTTAGTTTTAGCATCTTATTGGTTTTCTTAAATATTCTATCTAAAAAACTTTGTAGGTTTTCACAAGTTTTCCTATCTAATTATCTGTCAGTCTCTTCTCAGTAAATCTATATATTTTTTTTAAAATCACACACATATCATATTAAATACTAGTGTTTTACGTAATTCTCAAAACCCTTCTAAAAAAAAAATGAAAAAGGATGAAAATGATTAAGTTATGAATAGATTAAAAATTTAGAGATTAATTTAATAGTTTTTGAAACTAGAAGGACTATTTAATTTTTAGAAGCTAGAGGGACTAATTTATAATTTACTCAAAAAATCTTTAATAAAGTACCAACCAAACAAATCTTTCTAAAAAAAATCAATTACTCAATATATTTTTATATCTCTAATTGAGCTAACTTTACGTTTAAATATAAGTTAAGCTTTTAATTTATCATTAAGATTTTCAAATTAAACTATCAGAATTAATTATATAATCTATAAATAAAAAATCTTCTATTGGTCTAATTTGCAAGGAAATTTGAAAAATTAAAAATAATCATGTACAAATTATTCATCTAATTTTGATAATTTAATTTGAAATTTTTGTCAAATTAATTAAAATTTAGAGAATAAAAAATAATTATGAACAAATTACGTGTCCAATTTTAATAATTTAATTTGAAAATCTTGTTAAATTAATTGATTAAAAACTGAACGCATATTTAAGGATAAGAATGATTTAATTAAAAATTTATGGACAAATTGAAAAATTGTCTTATTATGCATAGAAAAAAAAAAAAAAAAAAAAAAAGAAGACAGACAGAAAGAAAAAATCATGGTTCTTACCGAAAAGAAAAATACTCAACCGACTTGTCAAGGGCTCGCTGTTGGAATTGCGGATGGCATCCTCGTAATTTCATAGCATGACGATCGAAAGTCACAAAAACCCTAACCCTAGTCCTATTTCCCCTATAAAAACAAAGCAAAGGCCTCGGATAGCGTCGAAGCACTGATGGTTATGGAGCTAACTAACTAACCCCAATTGATTTCAGGTTTCTCATATCGTTTTCCAAGTTGTTGTTTTTTTCTATCAATCATTCTCCTCTTCTTTTCCATCCATTTCCCCCATCTCCTGTAATCATCATTTATTTTTATTTTTCTGTTTTCAATGATGGATTAATGATTTCTCGGTGATGAAGAAACATAGATGACGAGTCTGATCATTTCCATTCTTTCAAATCGTGAGGACAAATCGAGGCATTTGTCTGAGAGAAATCATTATCCCCTTTTCCTCTCTGTTTTTATTATGTTATTGAAATTTTTTTAACTGGTTTAATTAAACAGATATGGATTTTTTTTTTTTTTGGTTGAAATATCCTTTTTAAAAGGATGAAAAACGCAGGCTATAATGACGAAAGATTGATTGAAATTATCTTATAATAATTTTATATGATGATTCAACACCTCCTACTCATTCTGAATGCCTGCTTTTCTATTCTGGAATCATTTTGGATTTTTAGTAATAAATGTCTTGGATTTGTTGATTTCTAATTCATCTGAGCGAAGGAAGGATGGAAGGAAGATGCAGCAATGATGAGAAGCTATCTTAATCTCTCTTTAACTATTGAGGGTTTTTACCAAAGATTGCATTTCAAGCACTTTTGAGCTGCTCTCTCCCTCTTCTCTCGATAAATTCTTCCTCTGTATGTGTTTGTTGAAACTGATGCTTGACAGAGACGGTTCTAAATCTTAATTATGCTGGCTGATAGAACGGATAATTAATTATGGAAGCAAAACAGAAGATCATAAATAATTTGAATACGGTTAAGAGTAGAATGAAGCAAATTAATGCTTGTAAGTGAAAGAAGATAACATGATTCAACCAAGTTGGATCTTTTGTAGTTTTCATTTCCATGACAAAGTCGATTCAGGCTTTTCCTTTTCTTCCTTGGTTCTGATGCACATTTCTTCAGTAAAATGACCAGTTTAAGACCAATGTAGAGGACGAGGACTGAAGTGAACGAGCCATCGGAAACACTGGACATTAAAAAGGTTTAAAAATATACACTGGAAATTTCTAACAAAATGGCCTATTAGCTCAGTTGGTTAGAGCGTCGTGCTAATAACGCGAAGGTCGCAGGTTCGAAACCTGCATGGGCCAATGTTACATGTTTTTAACGTTTTCAGTTTAAAGGCAAGGTCGCAGGTTCGAAACCTGCACTGGCCAATATTATATGTTTTACGTTTTGGGTTTAAAGTAGATCAAATGGCAGACCAAGTGTGTGGCTAGTTTGTGGATGACAGGCATGAATTTATTTTATCCTTACAAGCATAAAAACCTAAATTAATTCTATTTTTATTGAATATATAAGATAAAAATAATTATTTAGAAATTTTTTTTATCGTATATAAAAAAATTCAAGACAAAAACAACTATTTAAAAAGTTTTTTCTATATAAACATTTAAATACAAAAGATTCAAGACAGAAACAAATATTTAAATAAAAAATTATTTATTTAAATGATTAAAATTATTTTTATTCAAACCACTTCTCTTGAGTAGACAGGCCATGAATTTTGTTTGGCAACAATAAGGTCTAAAAGCCACATATTTGTTAGAGTGGGGCAGACAGCATGTGCAAGCCACTCACCAGCATCATCGTCATCATCCACTCTGACAGAGAGAGTATCTTAATCCCAAACCTGATTGATACTTGCCACATGGCAAACGGAAAAACCGGAGACATTACCTTCAATCAACCAATTGGAGAAATCCTCTTATCCTATCTCTTATCTTACTCGCACCTAAGCCAACCAACATAACTTGCCAACCCACCCCAGGCTTAACACTTCCTCTTGTCATACCTCCGTTTGTGTTTCTTCAGAATAATACTACAGAGAGTATTGCAGGCTAGATAGACTGTAGTTGGCACTAAAATGGCAGCCTCACTACAAGCAGCAGCTACGCTCATGCAACCCACCAAGGTGGGTGTGCCTTCTAGGGCCAGCCTTCAACTAAGGTCTTCTCAAAGCGTTTCTAAGGCTTTTGGCTTCGAACCAGCTAGTGCTAGGGTTTCTTGCTCTTTGCAATCTGACCTTAAAGACTTGGCTCAAAAGTGTGTGGATGCTAGTAAGATCGCTGGTTTTGCTCTTGCTACTTCAGCTCTTGTTGTCTCGGTAAGTATGTCCTAGTCGTAGTCTCACCATTTTTTCAACTTATAGTGGCTACATAATTTAATGTATGATCACATTAATTTTAGTCTCTCATTAATGATATATGATGACATTTTAAGCTGGATATGTCTTGACCCTGTCTTGTTTCTCTGTGTTTTTGGTACCTATACTGCTCTCTTGATCCTAGTGTTAATGAACAAGTGTACATACAGATAATTTTTAGCAAAACTCATGATTGTCTTAGTTCAGAATCACTGTCTAGGCTCAATTTTCAGTCGGGTGTGATTAAAAACAGTGGGAGGAAATAGTCCTGATTTGTGCTGCACACAGTGTCCACATGTTTTACAGTTCAGAACTGGATAGGAGAATTCATGGCCAGGCCCTAATATTGTTCATTTCCATCCCTCATTGGCCCTGACACATCAATAACAATGGTATTAGTATAGTTTTATATAACGACCGCTATGAGCGGTTTCCAAACATTCCGTTACCGTTATTTTAGTATTATAATAAGCCGTAATCTGCGATCGTGATCGTTTTTTCAATCGTCGGTGGTTTAAAACTATGGGTATTAGAGATTGAGGTTTAGCACTTGATCAACGAGAAAGGAAGCAATGCTTGCTGTTAATTCACGTACATGATACATGGTAAGATAGTCGTTGTTAGTTAGTGTGGGTTGATTATTAGAGAGCATCACCCCTTTTCTGAACATTTTCATTTAAGATTTCAGTGTTACATTGAGGTGTAAATCTGAACCCGGGGACGACGATCTCTTGTTATATTTCAGGGAGCAAGTGCTGAAGGAGTCCCAAAGAGACTGACCTATGATGAAATCCAGAGCAAGACATACATGGAAGTGAAAGGATCTGGAACTGCTAACCAATGCCCAACCATTGACGGAGGAGTTGAGTCATTTGCCTTCAAGCCCGGCAAATACAATGCTAAGAAGTTCTGCTTAGAGCCAACTTCATTCACTGTCAAGGCTGAAGGTGTGAGCAAGAATGCCCCACCTGAGTTCCAAAACACTAAGCTCATGACTCGTTTAACCTACACCCTCGACGAGATCGAGGGACCTTTCGAAGTCTCTCCTGATGGAACCATCAAGTTCGAGGAGAAAGATGGTATTGACTATGCTGCTGTGACTGTCCAGCTGCCTGGTGGCGAGCGAGTGCCTTTCCTTTTCTCCATTAAACAATTGGTGGCAGCCGGAAAACCAGAGAGCTTCGGTGGAGAATACCTTGTACCATCCTACCGAGGCACATCTTTCTTGGACCCAAAGGGTAGAGGTGGCTCAACCGGTTATGACAACGCAGTTGCATTGCCTGCTGGAGGCAGAGGTGATGAGGAGGAACTAGCCAAGGAAAACATCAAGAACACCGCATCATCAAAAGGTAAAATCACCCTAAGTGTTTCCAAAAGCAAGCCTGAGACAGGAGAGATCATTGGAGTGTTTGAGAGTCTCCAGCCATCTGATACTGATTTGGGAGCAAAGGCTCCAAAAGATGTCAAGATCCAGGGGATCTGGTATGCTCAGCTTGATCAATAGAGCTCTTCTTGTGTGAAATCTGTGTATTTATTCTTGGTTCAGATTTTGCTATATGTTCAAGATGCTGCTTAACTTTTCTGTGACCAAAATGAGTTGCACTAAACTATTTCATCTTGTTTTGTATATTATCAAGCCTCCTTGTAATACTGTTTGGAAATTAAGGTCCATGGTTACATAATTGGTGGTTTTGGGAGCTATGAGGTCTAATGTCTAACCAGCTGCATTCCACACAGAACTAGGGATGACGATTTGCTCTGTCCCACCCTAGTCAATGCGGTGATTGGCACCCTATTAATTTTGAACGGAGATGGGATGGGAATGGTCTTTGTCTGCCTCTTCCCATTTGCCGTGCTCCATTTTTGAAATTACAATTATACTCTATATAAAATCCGTGACTATTGCTCTTAGGGATTATTTTCTATATGAATTATCGTTTTTTTGTTATAGTTTAAAATTTGATAATAAAATAGAACGGGACAGGGCGGAAACAAAAAATCAAACTAGGCACCGGTGCTTCGATGGGGATCTCTTTTCTCTTTTGAGGTAGAGATGATATGAAAAATATTACCCTACACGGGACAAGAACGAGACAAAATTATCCCTGCACCTGCTCCGCCTCATTGTCATTCCTACGCAGAACCTTATGCCTGTGTAGTAAGCAAATTTTTAAGCCCACTTGGACCATAAAGAACGGAGGCAAAATCATATAAAAATCCGAACAAAAAAAACTAATAAGATTTGAATCGAAAAGGGAATGGATTGCTTGCCTCATGATCACACAAAATTGGTTGTGCACAGGAAGAGATTGAAGGGAACTTATTTTATTCATCAGAAAACTATAATGGTGGTCAAAGAAAGTAGCAGGACCACTAAAAATGTGGTTCCTTTCGGATCTAACTTTGCCGGTAGAGGAAGCTGTAATGGGGATTGCCAGCCAAGATTGTATTTGCAATTAGAGCATTGCTGGCCACTAATGCCAGCTGCGGTGTTTAATTCTTTTAAAGAACAAAGGCTAAGCAATCGCATAACCAACCATATTTTCCTTCTTTGAAAAAGGCTTAATTTTAAGTGAAAGATTGAAACATTCCTTCTTTGTTAAATGGATCCTTCAATGACACATTCAATGGTGGAAAACAACTTCATACAAGCAGAAAATGCACTCTATGACCAACCATATTTTCTCCATATATCTTTTGTTCTGATTTCAGTACCAGTCTATTATATCTCCAACGCTTGATCTAATGATCTCTTTTCATTGTTTTTCATCAACAACAGTCATGCTCAGACAAAGGACTGGGATTTGATTTCAATTCTTTTAACTTAATTTGCCAGTAAAGTTAATTCTGGAAAAAAAAAAATTATAACTTTGCCACAATGTGCAAATTTTCCTATTAAGAAAAAAATTGAATAAGATTGTGCCCAATTATATCATAGTTTTAATATGAAATTACTATTTTAACGATCTATGTGTGTTTTTGAAATTATATATATATCATTTAGCAAAGGGAAAATAAATGACAGAATAATTAACAGAAAAACTAAATTAAATCAATCAGTGACTATTCTATTATATTGTTTGAAACACTCGTTCACTCGGACTTATTCGCACTATTCAACAAGACTTGAATGCACTATTCATTTTTCTATGCAGTAATATTTTTGTAGTTTTTAAATTTTTAAAGATATTTATTATAAAAGCTTTCGTAACATTATACTTTGATTATGTTTTAAAACATTATTTTTTTAGTTCGTAAATATTTTTTGTTTAATTTTGATCCTTTTTTTTTGTTTCATTTTGATCACTTTGATCCTTTTTTTCACTCGATTTTTTAATTAAAAATTTTAAAGCGAAAATATATTTAGAAAAAATAATTTACAAAATAAGTTTATAGTGAAGAATCCATCGATTTTTTTTTATGATATTATAAATTTTTTAGTTTGTAGATAGAGTTAAATAAATAATATTTTTTGATAAAAAATTTATGAAAAATATAAAAAAATAACCTGTTAGATATAAAATTTTGATTAAAAAATTAAATATATTTTAATACATATATAATATAATACGAAATAATAAATAAAAATAATTTTATATGCTCTGTACGGTTCATATCATAGCGTGCTGATTAAAAAAATTAATAAAGTAAACTAAACAAAGACAGTCAAATACATCTGTTAACCTTAATTTGCCACTTGGCTTTTTCAGACAGAACACCCAAAGCCCAAGTTTCCAAATCTAACTTCTATTCTCTGACAGACAAGAAACCCAAAGAAACCAAACTCCTAGAGCCAATTTAAAATCAGAAATAAATAAAAGAAGAGAAGAGAAACTAGAAAGTATTTCCTTTTCATGAGGCTTTACCAATTTTAACGTCTCTTTCTCTTTCCTTTCCCTTCCAAGCTTCTTTCACCCAAGAAAACGATTGTTAATGTTATTTTATCTTCTTTATTAGCTTAAAGTTCAATTCCTTTTATTTGGTGGCATCAATCACCATGAGAAAATAAGGGTGAAATGAAGTTCTGGATATGAAGATACAGAGGGAGAGATTCTCAGAAAGATGGAAGAGCAAGTGCCTGGAGCAATGGGGACAAGTGCTAGCTTGGCTTTGAGATTGGGGCAGACCTGTTTCTCTTGTGCTTCACTTCTCTTTATGTGTTTGGATGTTGAATTCTACAGCTATACTACTTTCTGGTACTTCTCTTGGCCTTTTTTTATGATGAATTTCAATACCCATGTCTTGTTTTTCTGTATTTTGTTGTTGCTGCAATTTTATTATGTACAATTTTGTTTTCTTGAATGCTCTTCCTTGTCTATGAATTTGATTTCTATCTTTTCTTCTTCTTTTTTTCTTTTTTTTTTTTTGTGTGTGTGTGTGTGTGTGTGTGGATTTAGGCAATAAAGGGAAGCTGACAACACACTCTTGGTGGAGATTTGATGCCTATCCTATTATTAGTGTTGCTGTGAGGTTTATTTAAAGAATTCATTTTTGCAAAGTCATGATTGGTTTATTTGAAGAATTCATTCTTGAAAAGTTTTTTTGCTAAATGAGTGGATAGCTGTGGTTGGATATGGCATCATTATGAGATAATTTAGCAATTAGAGAATCAGAAGCTAGGCCATATGATGCATTTCAAATCTGGTGCATTACAAGTCATCTAATCCTTGGCTAGACCATTTTTGGGATGATCTCCTTTAGGAAAATAAGAGTGTCTTCTAGAGGCTTGATTTTGGTTGCCACGCATGAGTTTGCAGCCAGAGAGGTATTTTGCAGATGGTTTTGCAAACATTTCGAAAGATTTAGGGGACATTGTTTTAACGACAACCTTGGTTGCAGAAGAAACCTGTAATCAGTTTTCTACACATGCAAACAATTGATTTGCTTGTGTTTAGCTCTCCATTAATGTGATGATTGAATGTCCGATCAACTATTAGATTTTTTGGTTTTTTAATGGTGAATTGCCTCAATACCCATGGGTCAAGAGTGAGGGTTGTTGATACTCATGTTGGATTGCTTGTGCTCGGAAGTACGGTGAACTTCACCAGTCTCAAGTTGTCTTGGTGACGTAACTTGTAGTGATCTGATCATGTGGAGAGTTGTAGATATCAATACTTTATTTACTTGGTTTTAAGTGAATTCTGGTTCTCTTGAAGAACCCTGATGATGATTCTAAATCATATAAGTTATTAGAAGAGCTATCAATCAAATATCTTTCTTATGATTACTCTGAAATTTTATAGTCTCTCCGAATAAATGATGAAAGTAGCAACATGATCTGGATGCAAATAATTGCAAGCACCATGCTTTGCAATTTTTTTTTTTTTTAAACATCTTAGCGTGCTGCACTTCCATTATTACCAAGCAATATAGGATGCCGGAGTTTTGTTTTCTGCAGCTTTTGTAATTGGTAGGCATTTCGTTTGCAGCTTCTTGGTAACAGTCATGGGCTTGGTAATTCCATGGAGCATGGTTTTAGTACTGGTGGATGCTTATTCGGTCTGTCTTAAAAGCTTGCATCTTCAAAGAAGAAATCTGTTGCTGGTTGTCGTTGGAGATTTGGTATGTGCTGGTTATGTTTTATTCAAAACTTAATCAAAGAAAAAAAAATCGTCATTATATGCTTATTCACAACTTCTATTTTATTACAGGTTTTGTCATTTCTGTCACTAGCAGCAGCCAGCTCAACAGCTAGCGTTGCAGATCTTTTGCTTGATGTTGGTAGATCATTTTGTCCTGCAAAGTTATGTAATAGATATCAGTTATCTGCCGCAATGGCTTTCTTGTCTTGGTTTCTTTCATTTTCTTCATCACTCTTCAATCTTTGGCTTCTTCCTTCTTTGTAACCGCTCATTTTCCATATGGCTATTTGTCATGCATAAAAATCAGAGATTAGCAAATCTTGACCAAGTCTGGTTGGTCAAAGTTTTTTTTTTTTTTTTTTTGATGAATGGAAGGATTTCATAGATCAAAACCAACTAAAACTGGAATAAATCCTGTCTACGAAGAGTTCCTCACAGTAATAGGATGCAAATAAAGAAAATTAAGAAGTTTTGACAGAAGTTTCAAACTTCACAAAACTTGAACAATCTAGCATCTGTTACGTGTCTACTAGTAATGCTGCTCTTATCTGCTTGGATGGAACTGTGAATCTTTTGATTCCTTCCGTTCCATCCAAGCAAATAAAGGAGCACCAAGCAACCTGTCTCCAACTATCCTGTTAATATCACAAGCAGTATCTCTGCTGCCAAATTCTTTTGGTGATCGAATCAGAAAAAAGAAAAAGAAAAAGAAAAAGGAAGATGATCCTTATCCTCAACTGTAGAATTACACATCACCACAGGCAAGATCAATAATTCTTCTCAGTTGTATCTTTCTTTTCATTGTTGATAACTTGTTCAATATAGCCAACCAGCTGATAGAACTATGCTCAAAGTTAATGCTTGTACAGTCATAGTTTTACACATTTCCATATAGAGTTAAAGGAAGCCATGATTTCCCTGATTTTAAAATGAAATACACAGCCAAACCATTATGCATCTTATTTTGTCTTTTTCATTTTGTGGCCTAGAGAATAGGAGCTTAATCCTCAGAAATCGGTGATGCTCAGTTTTTCCTGCCGACACCGTTGCATCAAGGTCACCATCATTGCCTCTATTATGAGCTGATGGCCACTGTCATTTCTATTTCTCCAAAGGTAATAAAATAGGTGACTGGATATTGGAGACTACTTGCTTTCTTGTTGGAAGATGGAGAGCCACAAGAGGATGTTGAAAGCCTTTCTAATCCTACAGTCAGACGCTGATTGTCAAGGCAAATTGATGCCCACAAACAAACGACGTTGGGAAACGCAAGTCCTCTACACGAGACACGTTGCTGTCGAAATTTCAGAGTACTGGTGGGGCATGAAAGAACCTTTCCTGTGAGACCAGGAACTTCAAAACCAAAACCCTAATGACCATTAATTCACTGTGGAGTCTGTGATATACGATCAGGCACCAGGGAAGCCACATTTTTTGTGGAACAAGAACGCAATCATCTAAGTTAACTCCTTGTAAGAGAAATGAAGCTCATTTCAATTTACAGTTTAATGTTAGTTGCAGCTTGCAACTTCTCTTTTCCTCTTGTAAGAACATGTGACAAGCCTCAACTTCAAGTTGCAGAAGAAAGCTATCAAACTAACATAAGATTTGTCAGAATTTGAACAGTGTAATTAGGACAATGGGCCTGACTCAAGGTGCTCACCCTTGTAAGAAGGTGACCCTCGGTTGAGTTCAAGTCCCCGGAGCCTGTCCATGCAGGATTTTCTTCCAATTTGTCTCCTGTACTAGTTCTTTAGTTTTGCACCACATTAAATAAAATAAAATAAAAAAAATTCCCATTTTCGGAGGAGTTTTGTGTTATTACGTGAACAAAATCATAATACAGATGCATCATTAATTTCTTATGAATCTTCTAATAATCGTTAAATAATTTTTTTTAATTATTTTTTTTATGTTTTTAAGTGTTTTGAGGAAAAATTTTATAATACATCGAAGTAATTAGTGACATGTACAATAGTTACTACATGGGTTTACTTTGAGAAAGAGATAGACACAAAAAAGAGAGAAAAAAACAAAAGAGAGAAAATAAAAAAACAATTGAGGGGACGTGCAAATCTTCTTATCACTTTTGATGGATATGGATGTAATTTCCTTTTTTTGTCTATCTCTCTCCTCAAAGTGAACCTATAGAGTAATTACTCGTATATATCACTAGTTATTTCTTATGTATTATAAAATTTCTCGTTTTTGAGATATTATAAAATATATAAGATTTGAGAGGGAAATGTAAAAAAAAACTATGAAAAAAGAAGGTGAAAAAAATCAACTTTTTGTTAGTTATTCAATTGTAAAACAGCAAAAATGAAACACGTAAAAAACTATAGGGGTAACAGTGGGAAATTTCAACCTATGGGGGTAGGAATGGAAAATGGATGAATCTTTAAGGATAAAAATATAGTTTACCCTTTAATTTGTTTTTTTTTTTCAAAGTCCGCACCAAATGCTTCCCTCTCAGATATTTGACCCTTGGTTCTTTATATTTCACTCACAATTTCAAATCCCTCAAACACATGCTCCACATTTTCTTCTAGAGAAACGCCCAATAATCCTCGATGGCCTCAGAGATTAACACTAGGAAACTTGATCGCTTTCTGACCATACACAGCTTGTACTTAATCAAATTCAATACCCCCAATAAGTTAATTGTGTACTAGTGTCTACTGTGGCTTACTCAAATAGTAATGACCCATCAAAGTATTTTCTAGATTGATTGGTTCTGGTCTTTCTCCTTATGAATTCACTCTCCTGTTTATTCTTAGAGCTTGTGCTTGTGAATTAGGGTAATGGGTTTTGGTTCTTGTTCGTGGTAAGGCTAAAACATTTTGGATTTGGGTGGCAAAATAGCTTCATAAATGCCTAAGTTGTTTGCTGACTTTGTAGAGAATTGTTTGATTTTATGCCTGAGAGAACTTTGATTTCTTGTAATTCAGTGATGGATGGGTACTCTGAATTGAATTGTTGTTAAGAAGCAATTTGATGATTGAAGAGATGAGAGAATTAGGGGTCGAGGTCGATGGCTTTAGTTTAGGTAGTTTGCTTTCCGTTTGCTCACAGACTAATGATATTGATCTGCCGAGGTTTGTGCATTTATATATTGAGAATAGTACGATTGGGATTGATTTAATTGTGAAGAATGCTCTTTTCGATATATATATGCGCTAGATTAGCGACGGAATTTTTTTATGGTTATGCTACTATCAAGTATTCCATCTTCTTTCGAACATTCATTAATGTAAAAATGGTTACTTTCATACTAACATTAATTAATTATCATGTCATTTGGTTGCAGAAAAGTAATGATATCGTGATCAAGTCATGTGGTGATGCGAAAAATAATAGGCAACAGTGAATGATGATTTGTTGTCTTGAAAAAAATTAAAAAAAAAAGATATATATGCCCAAAGGTGTCTCCTTTATTTTAACCTCTGTTAATAATTTTATGAATAATATTTAACGGAGGAAAAACAAATAAAAAAAGAACCCTCATTGGTCATATGACAACCTTGCACTAGCAAAAATAATTGCAAAGGAACTTTCATGGCAATGACAGGAGTGTATCCATGAATCAAACGAAAGATGCCATTTTAGAAAACTTTGTCTGTATCAAAAACCCTGAGATCAAAAGATCTAGTTTGAAATAATTTAGAGTAGACTCTATCCGTGCATGGGGTCTATGTAAGAACTAGAGTACACATAATTGTGTCTTTGTTGGTTGTTGTGTGTTTGGACAACTAAGTTTGCTCCAAATCTTATCAATTCTGTATTTATAGAATGTCAAAGTTCAAATCTTTTAACAGGTGATGTATCTGTATGGACATAAATCATCATTACATAATGGGGTTGACCGTTGGCTCCCGCCTTTACCAGACCCTTAGTTCCCTCCAAAAATTCAAATGCCAAAGACTCCAAACTCTCCATTGTCTGTTCTACAGAAATGCTCATCAATGGCCTCACAAGTGAGACTCTGTCTCACACTAGGCAAGTTAATGTCTTTTTACGCTATTTCTTATACAGGCACTCTTGGCTATATATGCACAGCTTGTATTTTACCAAATTTAAGAGCCCAATAAGTTTATGTACAATAGTAGAGACAAGGGTGCTCCTCAAATCATGATGATCCGTTGAAATCTATGTTTTTATAGCACCTAATGATTGGTATACATAGGCTTCCTCCAAATGAATTCACTCTCATATTTTTAACTAAAGCTCACGGGTAAATCGTTGTGTTGGATTTCTGTTCTTGTTCATGGTCAGGCTAAAGGATTGGGATTTGGATCTCATAGTGTTTGTTTGTGGGCTTAATGAATGTGTGCAGAAAGCATTTGATTTTATGTGTGAAAGAAGTTTGGTTATTGGAATTTGATGACTATAGGGTATTCTAATGTGGGTTGTTGTAAACAAGCATTTTTGTAGTTTGAAGAGATTAGGTTTGAGAGTAGAGATTCATGGTTTTACTTAAGCTTGTTTTGGTTTGTTCACAAGCAGGTTATAATGATTTTGCTAGGTTTGTGATTTAAATGTGGGCATTTGAATTGGCAGAACCAGTTTTTGAGTGGATGCCTGATAAGAAATTTGCTCGTGGACTTCTGTGGATATATAGTGGAAATGTACGCAAGATGTGATGGCCTTGGGAACGTGATGGATGTCTTTGACGATATGCTGAAAAGAAGCTGACTGTCCTAAAATATGATTATTGGGGCTCTTGCATTACAACTTGTAGAATAGAAGTGGTCAAGCTCTCTGGAATGTTAAAAGCTGGAGGTTTTTGGCCTGATGAGATCACATTCACAGGATTGCTTTCTGCTTGTAGTTTCAGTAGTCTGGTCGCGCAACGATATTTGTTTATGGAATTAGACATGAAACTGGGATTTGTGCTTGCGTAGCTGAACTTCTTAGTTAAGGGAGTCTCTTAAATGAGACAGTTAGGATAATCGGAAGGATGCCCATGAAGCCCGATATTATGATTTGCAGTGCTTTGCTTTAAGCTTGTCCTGGAAAAGTTGAGATCCGTAATCGAATCCGAAAACAGGTTTTGGAGTTGGAGCCATACAGTTCAGGGCTAGACGTTCTGCTCCCAAATTATATTCTGAAGCTCAGATATGGGAAGCTGTGAAAAATATAAGGAAACTAATGAATAAAACTGGCACTTGGATTCACTGAAGTTCACAGCTTTATTTCTTTCATGAGCTTATGGATTATGACAGGAGATATGAAGCTTCAAGCAGGATATGCTTCGTGCTTGATCAATTGGTGATCATTGGAAGTCTGTAGGTATTTATGCTACATCTCAAATGCATTTTCAGACGCGAAGGAATTGATGTACTTCATCTATATTACTATTATTTTATTGTAATATTGATTCTTGGAAGTGTTTTTCAAAAACAAGTAGCCACTTGTTCGTAATTTTAGTTAAGAAATAGTCTCTGTTCCGTTTCTTTCCATAAGCTTAGGTAATTTGAATAAAAGGAAAGTAGCAGAGGCCACAGTTACAAGAAGATGCCCCCCTCTGAAGAAGGGACAAAGCCAGAATCTGAACTTAGATGATACAAGAATCACTAAAACTCTAGTAGTTGTAAGAACCTCAACCAATGACTTATTAACCAAGCCTGTCAACTGCAACAAAGAAATTATCATAAGATCTAACTCCCAAGTTTTCTTCTTACGCTTGTAGATGGGGACATAAGATTGAAACTTCAAGTCTGTTTCTATCACAAATATTAGCCTTTTGTAATTCTAACTTGGCAATGGCATACCCAAGTGATCTGCAATTGTCAATGTTCTTGCATTTCCCCAAAGATGTGCCAAAGTTGTGTCAGACGATGAACCAGCAGCACCATGGACTTGCATTATCATGTCAAGAACCATGAGTGCCCTGTTTGGATCTGCTACCACCTTAATTCATATCGTTATGGCTCCACAGGATTTCTTGTTTCCAAGAAGATCAAGCTGGTCAGCTGCTGCAAAAACCAACCAAAAATCTGGCCTTCTCAAGCTCTAATCTACACTCAGCAACTAGTCTAGAAATGTTCATAAGAGTCACATATTAGATATCGTTTTGCTAATTTCTTTAACAAAGATGCAAGACTGCCTACAGAGATGGGGATACTGAAACTATCGTTGAGTCTATCCTATAATTAATTAATTAATTTGGTGACATCTCATTAATTAAGTTTCCAGCAGATAATTTTTTATATGAAAACATCTCAGAAACCAATAAAAGTCCAAATTAAATCATTATATATATATAGACAGTATTAAAGAAAAAGTTAGATAAGATATGCTTCAAGTCTTACATAAATGTATGAGAGACCAAACGAGCATATCCAATTACATATCCATTAACCTTATAAATCTAAGACATGACACAACAATACTAGTTTTTGGCTGAAAGTGTCCTGATTCATGAACACACTGATATTGTGGATAATTGACATCATTAAAAAATTGTTTAGGGAATGAATGTACTGATTATATGGAAGAGACATGGACCTACTAGCTAGGTGGTCCAATTAACAAATTATTAGGAGGAACTTTCGTGGTAATGACGATATTATAGAAAATTTCTTTTGGCTTTAAGATTAGTTTTTTTTTTTGAAGGGTGTCTTAGTTTTATTATAAGGATCCAGATTACGATTTTTGTGCTGGTTGGTAATTGAATCTGTGGTTGATTAATCAAGCATTGTTTCCAGTTTTAACGGAAAAAAAAAAAACAACTTTCCTTAATTATGATCAGCAGTAAAACAGAAATCTAACGATTAACAAAGTACTTAATTTCGATTGATGAGAATTAAAGGTGATTCAATAATACTCTACTCTTTGTAAATATTAAAAAAGAAAAACTTTGTATACTTTATTTTGAATTTTGAATGTTTCGGCACTATAAATGATTTTCAATTGCCAAACTTTATTTTCCGAAAAAAGAAAAAGGTATATTAATTTTTTGTCAAGAAAAATTAATGTATTCAGTGTTGGAATTGGAAAGTGCTACTACTTCCTATATAGGAAAGTAGTTATAAGCGTAGACTGTCTCTTAGCAAAGGATAAAAAGGAGTACTTTTCCTATATAAGAAATTTCTCAAGAACGATGGAATTATGTATAAAAACCTAGCTAGCTAGCAGTATACGTACGTCTTAGGGTTTGTATCAGCTAGCTTAATTCACCAATTTGGTTTTGAAAGAGAAGGAAGAAACTAAAACAGAGGTGGTAGCCATTATGGAGGAGTATGCAACTTATCCTAAATGGGTACAAAATTTGATAGAAACCGAATTTTACGAGCTATGCAAACATCATAGTGATTCAAAACAAGCAAAATACTGTAATTTCTTTTGCATGGATTGCCCTAAATCACCATTCTGTGACCTCTGCTACAACCACAACGTTCATCATGGCCACCAATTTATCCAAGTAAGTTATATATATACACCTGCTCCTAAGTTTAGACTTCATATTTTCCAAATACAAAATTAATTACGAGTCATGATCATTAATTGTTTGTTTGTTTGTTTGTTGGAATATTTTTTTTTTCAGGTTTACAGATCTTCGTATTGTCCAGGAATCAAAATGCCTCTGATAGGAAAATTGTTCGATATATCTGAAATCCAACCTTATTCGATAAATGGAAAATTTATTATTTACATTGGACGTAGAAATTCAAAAGAGAATGGTAATGGATCGGTTGTGAATCAAAGTCAGAGAGTAGCTCTAAGCAAACTGATCAAACGAAAGTACTGTGAAACAAATCACAAGAGAAAACGTAGTTGTGAAACATGTCAATGGGAACTAACCACATTACAAGGATCCCCTTATGACTACAGGTTTTGCTCAATGGAATGCAAAATTGTAAGTAGCTAGTAGCTACTTAATTAATTTTTTCAAATTAATTTAGTTCATTTAAATGTGTTTTTTTATATATAATAATTAAGCATCTCAATTCATGAATTAACAACTTATTGTAGAAGTTTAAATTGGTTGCAGAAAGGACCAAAACGTTCAAGGCAAATGGAGGATGGTGAGGTATCGGGTTCCATCAATGGGTGTGACGACCAATTATGTTGTCTTAGAAAAAGAAGAAGAAGAAAAGGTATACCCAGAAGGTCTCCTCTATTATAGATTAAAGCTCTTTTTTTTTTTTTTTTTTAAGAAGAAACAGAAACAATTTGAAAAAAAAAAAAAAAAGAAGTAGAAAATCTAAGTTTTGTAATCTAAATATATATATATATGTTTTTATATTATTTAAGATGTTAGACAGTACATATGGGAGAGTTATTACAATAAAAAAGATTTCTGTTTGTTTGCAATCATTTATACAATAAATCTCCATTAGTTTTGATTGATAATGTGGGCACCATATCTTTGATATGGGAAATGCTTGTGGTATGGTTAATGGTATAATTTCAAATCGTAAGCGATTGAAAAAATAGTTATAATCGTCGTTATGGATTATGATTTATTATGATACTAAAATAACGATAATTAGATGCTTCGTATCATTATATAATATAAAGATTATTATTTAAAATATGATAGGCGGTGGCAATGATCAAGTTTTCTACCAGGAGTTGTTAAGCTTAAAGGGAATGCATGACAACCTAGCATTCGGCAAAAAAATAATTCTAAAGGAACCTTCCTGGTAATGACAATGGTTAGCTTTTATAAGCGTATCCATGGATGAAATCAAAGATACTGTTTGGAAAATTTGTCTGATTGAGAACCCTGGAAGATCAACAGATCATGTAATTGAAATAATTTAGATTAGACTACTTTGTTTGGTGTCTATGTAAACGCTACAGTGCATATAATTGTGGATACATAGTGTTTTTTGCCGGTCGGCATGTGTTTACTATTGGTTTTGCCAACTAAGTTTGCTCCATAATGCTATCAACTCCTGTTAAGAGCCTGTAACCCTAGAATGTCAGTTCAAATCCTTTAAATTGATAAAATATGAATTATTTTTTAAGGATATATATCATCATATTATATTGTACAAGTAGCTAGGATTGACCAAAGACATTTCACTGAAGTAAGGGATTCAATGGCTAATTCTTTCTCTGAATAGTGACAGTACCTTGGGTAGAAGAATAGCATGCTTACGCAATAGGCAATTAGGGTCTAGCAAAATGTCATCGGCATGGCTAAAGAAGATAGTTTCTCTTGAATTTAACAGGAGTCAAACAGAGTTTAGAAAGAAAGAGTAATCAATTACCAAAAGGATCGATCAATTCATAAAATAATAAAAAAGAAAAGCATCGATCCCTTCTAGGCCTTTTTGGAAAAAGAGCATGATTGCTCTACTTGCATGAGTCTTTTTGGCTGATCAGTTGAATGGAAAAGGGAAAAGGGCTTGAAGTTTCATGGAAAGTCTTCGAGGGGGACGCCTCATTCCCTCAATTATTAACCCAATTATGAACCTAGAATCTAACTAATAAATAACTCAAAAAGACGATAACATATCTTTCTTTGAAATCAAACGCATCTATTGCCCTCCTCCTACGAAATCTTTAGATCATAAAATAAAATTTGAAGGATAAAGGTCAGTACAATACATGTACTACGTGCTCTTTTACTTTGCCTTCAAGAATTTGCCACAATTCCATGCACTAATAAGCATGCGTACATACCCATGAGGATTGACTCAAGTGAAAGAAGTTTTAATTATTGAAGTGAAAGAAGTTTTAATTTTGAATTTTCATGTATATAATAATTTTTTTAAGTAAATATCATTACCTTATGCGTATGATATAACAGTATATAAAAGATTAGTCTAAATCGTTAACTTATGGATACTCTAGAGGATCCAAAAAAATTAAGCATGTGCACCGAATATATATATGCACAAGTTGCAAATGGAAGACATTTTAATAAAAAGTTGCTTTGTAAAGTTGCTAATGTCTAAATTTTTTAACTTATTCCAAAGATACCACTTCTTTGTATAACATTTATAATGGGCACGATGCAAAGGTAATCAAAACTGAATGGTCACAATTAACTATACCGTCCCAATACATTCCAAAGATCGGCATTAATCATAATGTTTGGTGTTACTAAAGTCACAAAAAAGGGTGAAATAATTAAAGGCAAGAAAAAGAAAAGAAAGAAAAAGCAACTCAACCATTCATGGCATAGAGCATAACTAAAAAGAAAAAAGAAATAAAAAAAAAGGGGAAGAGCGATGGCAACGCACAAAAGGGCGGCCAATTTTGTATTCTATGGACAGATACAAAATATTCCGGCGGGATACAAGGACCTCTGCAGGATTAGCAGGGCCTGAACACGGCAGACCCAGATCACATTACGCCATTTCTTGTCGGATTGTTGGGTTTTTCTTCTTTTTTTCAATTGGATATCATGCTTATGTACCTTCTCTTCCACGTGTCTTCTCACATTCCTCGCAACTAAGCTCCATCTACCATGTTTTCTTGCCACGTTTTTTCTCCTCCTGAATTCGTCCACTACTTCAGATACCCTTGGTTTTCTACGTACCAGTATCGCATCCATGATCTTCCTTGTCTCTGTTTTTTCTACCTTCTTGGATTTTCACCTGCTTGTTTGTCTGTAGATGAGACTTGCCACTAGCCTAGTGTTTTATTGGAGGAATGGCAACTGCATTTTTCAACATTCAATGTCATGTAACCTTGTTAATGGGTCCAATTTCTGGTCTAGTCTTTAAATTTTATTGTTAGAATTCTTTGTTAGGCACTGGACTAATGCCTCATTAACCGTACTTATTCTTAGAAACGAATCAATTAAAAAAATAAAACAAAAAGTTAAAAATAATCACATAACACAAGAATGTTACGTAATTCGATAAAAATACTTGCTTTATAATTGAAATATATTTTTTTATCAAGTGTTGTCAAATGTTTTAGCTTTAGCTGATGATGTTACTTCTATTTATATTGTAGACAGTTAGGATTATAAGAAAAAAAAGTCATAACAAATCTATACAATTAGCTCAATATTCTGTAAATCTTTTGAAAGTTTCAGCCTCGAGTCCTCATAAGAGCTGCTGCTCCCTTAACTCTCGCTTGCTAACTAGTTAACGAGCCCATCGTGCTAGATCTGTATAGCATCTTGTATTGTGAGCTTTTATCGACGTCGGTTTACATAACTTAACACTTTTATCTTTTTTAAAAATATATATATTCTTAAAAATAGAATTAAAAAAATCCTTAAATTTGGTATAAATAACTTTAAAAAAAAAACAGTTGTTAAGCATATGATATGTATATGTTGAGAGAGATTTAATTAGTATTCGTAGAATGATGCACAAACTGTTCAAGAACATAATTCAAGGCACTGTTTCCACTGAGATTTGAAGGCAAAATAGTGGATGGAAGACAGAATAGACAGCAGCCTAATTTGTCCACAGATTTCTTTTCATTTTTCCCAAGAACCCGTCCCCAAACTAGAATTAATCAGGCATATTGATTCAATCACCATAATTGACTGTAGATCAGAGAGCCTCAGATCCAACAAAAAGTGACAGCAAATGCAACTTTATCAGTACAAAGATAGTGGTACTTTAGAAGCAATGCTTACACTAGAAGTCAAGGCACCCTATTCTTAACAAGACATGGCAATGTGCCTAACAATGTTTCCAATCTGAAAAATCTCAGTTGACCTGCGGGCCTTTCCCATGCTTAGATTTAGATGTCATTCTTTAGTTTTCTTTCATTTAATCTTTAAAAAAATAATAATAATAACAGAAATAGTTTTATAATAAAAATCATTCAATAAGATTTATCTGAGATTTTTCAAAAAAATTAATAACATGTCGGATTATTTTCTATTTTTACTGATTTTTTTTTTTTTTGCATTTTTAATTTTCAAAAAATAAAAAAATATAATTTTTTGTGACTAACAATGTTTCTAATCTAAAAAAATCTCAGTTGAACTGCCTTTCTCATGCTTAGATTTAGATGCCCTACTGCATATGATAAGCCTTAATAATTAGCTAAAAAAAGTAAAGTTCGAAGTCTGTCTCGAAATTAGTTCTTCAATTTCAAATTTTAGATTTAATCTTTTTTTAAAACAAATATTTAGATTTCATACCTTTCTTGAGTTTTCTGTCGTTTGGTCTAAAAAAATAACAATAACAAAAATAATTTTACAATAGAAATTATTCGCTAAGATTTATTTGAGATTTAAAAAAAAAAATTAAGAACACTCCGGATTGTTTTTTATTTTTACAGATTTTCTACATTTTTAATTTTCAAAAAATAAAAAATATAATTTTTTGTGACTAACAATGTTTCTAATCTAAAAAATCTCATTTGACTTGCCTTTCTCATGCTTAGATTTAGATGCCCTACTGCATATGATAAGCCTTAATAATTAGCTAAAAACAATAAAGTTCGAAGTCTATCTCAAAATTAATTCTTCAATTTCTAATTTCAGATTTGATCTTTTTTTTAAACAAATATTTAGATTTAACACGTTCTTTAGTTTTCTGTTGTTTAGTCTTAAAAAAATAAAAATAACAGAAATAGTTTTAGAATATAAATTATTCAATAAAATTTATCTGAGACTTTTCAAAAAATTGAAGAACACTCCGGATTATTTTCTATTTTTACTGATTTTCTATATTTTTAATTTTCAAAAAGTAAAAATATATAATTTTTTATATTAAAAAGATTCTAGAATTTTTTTCAAAAAATGGATTAGATTTTTCCCGGTTTATGTTCTACATTTTAAATTTTCAAAAAATAAAAAATATATAATTTTTTTTTATTTTGAAAAATAATAGAATTTTTCTCAAATATTTTGAATAATCTTAACTTAAAATATCAATAATTTAATTTTTTAAAAGAGAGAGGAGATAGCTGAAAGTCATAAAATAGGTTAAATAAAAAATAAGAAAATATTAAAACATAATTTAAAAGTTTAAGAAATAATTTTTAAAACAGGAAAATTTTAATTTTTGGGGAAACGATGCATCTCCACTTTAAATGGATTCGTCTGCTCTGTTGCCATAAATGGAATGGTTCGTCATTCAAGATATATAGTGGATGTTAGGCAGTGTCACCATTAAAAACAGTACCCACACACAGAAATTCATGTCAAAACCTTACCCTCCCTTTCCCCTATGCAAATCAATTTTCACAGGCATACACAAGTCCATTTTCAAAATTGTCCTCCATGAGCCAATTTTTGTCCAATTCATGGATTGAGATATTTCATAATGTTTTGATATTTTTGGTAAACTCTAATTAGTAAATTTAAAATAAATATACTTATTTAGTGTATGATAAAAATAAAAAAATTTTAATTCTTTGTATTTTATTTTTTATCTAATGTAAATTATTGAATTTGAAATTAAAGAAGAGGTTTGAAATATAATCAGTATTGTTATTTTAAGAATATAATAAAAATAAAAATAATAAAATACTTCAAAAATAATGAAAAATTTTATAATGTTTAAGGAGTCATTAGTGTAAATTATTGAGAGAAATAGACATAAATAAAGAAAAAAATTTTAAAAAAAACTTTTTATTATTTTTGGTGGATCATTTTTTTTTTATGTATATGTATTTTTTTCAAAGTGGATCTATTAAGTAACTAATATATATATATTACTCTTTGATTATTATAAAATTTCTTAAAAGTAATTATCGATATTTATTCGACACACGCTTTGAAAATAGAAATAATATATATATTCAATCCATTAAAAATAGTATGAAAATTTTAAATTTTTATGGTATCAAATTTTAACAAAATAAAATTAATGGCAACATCTTGAGTCCCAATCTCTGTAATATGAGGTAGAATCGAGGTTACTAAATTAAAGGACAGCAATACCACGTACATACAACCTGTCTCCCACAAATTACAGGCTGGCAACTTCTGCACACTGATCACATAAAATGACAAATCTGACGTGGCAACCAGGTACAGATATTAAGGCCATCTCTCCCTACTATATATACACCGTCGTGCTTGTCTTCAGGCCTCTCATAACCAGAATTTCTTTTGAGATTTTGACTCTCAGAGTTCTCCATTTTAGCAGCATAATAATAGTAATATATTAAGACACGGGAAGATGGGTATTTGCAGTTCTTGTGAATCAACACATGTAGCAACAGCAAAGTTGATTTTACAAGATGGAAGGTTACAAGAATTCTCATACCCAGTTACGGTTTCTCGTGTTCTTGCGAAGAATCCTACCCACTTCGTTTGCAACGCGGATGAAATGGAATTTGATGATGTTGTTTCAGCTATGAATGACGACGAAGAACTCCAACCGGGTCAGCTTTATTTTGCTTTGCCATTGAGTTGGTTAAAGCATCCATTACACCCTGAGGAAATGGCCGCATTGGCTGTTAAAGCCAGCTCGGCTTTAATGAAAAGTGGAGGGGCTGAAAAATGTGGGTGCCGCAAGAAATTGGTGTTTTCAGTTGAGAATGACGGGAAGTCAAGCCGAAGAGTGGCGACCGTCGGTGGTGGGCCGAGAAGAAATGGCGGCGGCAGAAAGTTCTCGGCCATGTTGAGTGCCATACCTGAGTAGGGATAGTTTGGAAAATTAGCGAGGGATGTGGATGTAAATATTGTAATGATGGGGGGTTAATTGTTGAAGTTCCTGGGTAGGATTGGACTTGGGATGCTCGCTATTTGGTTGGTACATTACTTTCACCTGTTGCCCATTTAAGGGTCGTATTACAATTTTGCCCCTAGATGAGTCGATTGGCTAGATTTGAAAATAATAATCAATTTTTTCTTATTGATGAACAAGTGAGCATCAAGCAACATTAAATGGCTCCGTACGTTATTATTACTATTGCTTACGACATAAGCTTCTGAGACAATGGTGTGAATGATCAGTCTTTTGCAATTTACCATAGGGTAGTTTTGGTCTATAAACAAAGTGTAAAAATGGTATTATTTGATTATTCAAATTAGGAATGAAAATCGAATTTCTCGAAGGCATTATTCTGACAATTTTCTGATAATATTTGTTATTATTTTGATAAAACGAAAAGAGTCAAAACTTGGGTTTCCGAGAATGATAATTTTTGTCCAGAGCTTACGAGCTTGCTTGCTTCTTCTGTCTTACATGGAAAAATGGATTATGGACACTGAAGCATGGCCATGTTACCATGTCGTGTCATTTTAGAGGGGAAAGAAAATCGACAAAAAGAGCCATTGACACCATCTTGGTAATGCAGACTAAATAACGCGGTGCCATTTTGGGTTTTGCCTAAGCTTAGCTTAGCAATTGTCTTCCACAGTGATGTCAATAAAGTTGAAAATGAACAATGCTATGTGATGGGTCGTTTTTGGTTTCCTTAGTTACTGTATAAACGATGGTATTGGGTTGGTTTTGGACTTTTGGGACATCTCAGTTTTTTTTTCAGATCTTGCAAGATATTTTAAACTTGAAGATTCAAACTAATCATTCATTATTTTATCGAATACTATAAAACAAAAATAGCTACTCAAAAAGATTTTTACACGTACAAACATTCAAACTCAATTACTGTATCGAAACTATGGTATGGGTTGGTTTTGGATTTTTAGGACATCTAGGTTTTTTCTTTTTTTCCCAAGATCTATTGAAGATATTTTAAATCTAAAAATCCAAACTAATCATTCATTATTTTTGTCGAATAGCAAAACAAAGATAGCTACTAAAGGAATTTTTTACATATACAAATATTCAAACTCAATTATTGTATAAACTATGATATGATATGGGTTGATTTTGGACTTTTGAGACATCTCAGTTTTTTTTTTTTTTCTGAATCTTCTAAAGTATTTCAAACCTAAAAATATAAATTAATCATTCACTATTGTATTGAATGTATAGAACAAAGATAACTGTTTAAAAAAAAATTACATGTATAAATACTCCAACTTAAAATTATTTATTTAAAAGATGAGAGCATTTCTCACTCAGATCAATCGATCTTTTTGAGCATTGAAGATTGGTTTTTGGGGTCATTATCAGTTGGTATAGTGTATATTCTTAAGACTTTGATGTGCTTCTGACATGGATTGAAACGATCAGAGTACTGTTACAGCTGTTGTGGTTAATGATTTTGATGACTCTATTCTGATCCAAGCACCTAACAGAAAATCGACAATAGGTTAGGTCAAAATTAAGAGAAAGACCAGTGATTTTGACAGTAGAGTTCTGAATAAGCACTGATAATTTTTTATTTTTTATAAAAATAAAAATACCATCAATAATTGAGTAATTACTTCACTTGTTATTTGTTGATATATTGTTTAGAAAATTTATAAAATAGACTCAAATAAACCAGAGTTTCTGCATTTTTAGAAGAGGAAAAGGGATGCATAAATTTCTTATGAAGAACAAAAAAGGGAGAGAAAAGAATAATCAACTGTCATCAATCTCAGGGTAAATAAATAATAAAACTGGCAGATCCATCATGAAAGCCAGCTGGGACTAGGAGAATCCAAAGTTTCCTGTCCTATGAAGGATTGAAGGTGAAGACCAATTATTACCTACCAAAAAAAAAAAAAAGGAGAAAAAAACACGTTTCTTTATTTCACCATTAATGGGATAAACAAGTTGATGATCAACTTGCTGGATGGAGGGAGACATTTTTTATGTCTAGTATCATGATATTTAGAATTTCTTATGTCAACCATCATGAATAAGAATGAGTACCATCCGGTTAAAATAAAAAAATCAAATTGAACCGGATTGAATTAATAATTTTGATTCAGTTTTATATAATTTTTTAAAAAAAATTAAAATGAAAAATCAAAATTATTTTAATTCGATTTGTTTTTTAATTTGATTTTATGAAAAATCGAATTAATTTTTTTAACATACACATTCAAGGCTCATTTGAATCCGTGATCTCTTACAAAAAAATCACTACTTTTTTTTTAACACACACAAAAAAATTATTTTGATTAATTCGATTAATAAAAAAAATTAAATAGAAAAATCGAATAATCACTCCCGATCATAACTGCAGATCCCACTCTTCTTCGTTATTTTTGTGCATTTTCTTGCCTAGATGTCACGAGAAATTTTATAATACACAATGAGTAGATAGTGGTACGTATACGTAGTTACTACTTTAAGCTCACTTTGAAGAGAGAGATAGACATACAAAAAGAGAAAGAAAAAATAAGAGAGAGAAAATAAAAAAATTTGAACGGACGTAGAAATATTCTTATCACTTTTGATCGATATAAATGTAATTTTTCTCTTTTTTATGTGTCTATCTCTCTTCTCGAAATGAATTCAAGAAATAACTATCGTACATTTCATTAATTACTGTTTATGTATTATAAAATTTTACATCTATGTCACAGTTAATGTCATTGTATATTTTTACAATTACAATAACAAATCAGGAGAATCCGGCTCCAGCTAAGATAATTAATTAGGTAAAAACAAATTAGATTTATATTAATAAAAAAATGTAATTTTCTTTCTCGGTCAAATAATATGGCCTACTGCCATCTTTAATTAACAACTCAAAACATCAAGTTGTAGTAATTCTCAAAACCTTGGGTGAGGTTGGGCGTTTCTCCATCTTGGCCAAGAAAAAAAAACCCTAAAAGTAGCATTCTATGGAAAGACTTTCTATCCTTTCTTTTTAATCTTATATTATTTTCAGCTTTAATTTTAATATTTTTTTTCCACCAGCTACCATCACGAACCCTAGACCCTATAACCAAACTGATTGGACAACTTCTGAAAGGTTGCATGTGAAGTAAGTTTAGTGATTTGTAGCAACATTGAAAGTGTCCGACATGAAGTACAAAAAATAGAGATGCAATCTGAAGCAACTTGGACGACAGATTCAACCCCAATCCATATCTTGTGACGTGGGTTTGATGCAGTTAATTGGATGTTACAGACAATGTGAGCCACAAGGAATCCTTCAAAACGTACACCACATTCATAAATTTGCAGAAACTTGGTAATTAGAAAAGTTAGAACTATAGACCACATTTTCACAGGGGCCAAATAGATCAAATATTTTGAAATTTTAACCTATTTCAAATTGATTTTCTAAATTTTAAATTTTGATTTAAAAATTCTTGAATTTTAATTTTTTAAAATTTAGTCCATTTAATGACTTTCAATTATCTCACTTCTCTCCAAAAAAAATTCAATTTTTTGATTAAAAAACCAATTTTTATTATTTCGAATTGAAATTTTGCACATACATTCAGAAAAAAAATCTGATCTATTTCTAGAAAAATCTTAGATTTTTTCAAAATTAAAAATTATATTTATTTATTTTTTAACACAAAAAATATTAAAAAAATAAAAAATTATGCAGAATGATTCTAAATTTGTAGAAGCACGTTATATAAATCTCGTTGAATAATTTTCATAATAGAGAGCTATTTATATAATTTTTATTTTTTGAGCTAGATATTAAAAAACTGAAAAATAGGTTAAACTTCAAAAAATAAAAATTTAAAATTTAAAGAATTAATTTGAAATAAATCAAAACTTATCAAGGATTTTACTAATGTAGCCATCTATAGCACTCATAATGCAAACCATCAAAATTTTGGACGATAGGTATGAAAGTTTACTACTCCTATGAGTGCAGCTGTCCTCCACTGACTCATGCATCTTTTTGATTTTGTGTTGACATGAGAAGGGAAGATTCCAAGCTCCTTACTTCCATGGGGAAAGGGTTTTTAATAATTCCTATGAAAGTTAAAGCAATTGCTATGTCCTATTGCCATTAGGTCCCATGCGCCTCTATAGTCTACATCTTCAATTCAAAGATGACTCCAAAACCATTTATCCTTTCTACTGCAAAATTCATCATCTCATAGCCACATTAGCTCGACCATGGATCCCTTTGGATCCCATCCAGCTGTAAATGTAGAATTGGGTTAGGACAGCTTTTAATGATTTTACCCATAAAGACAACAAATATATCCCCAACTATATATTATCGAGTTTTATACATATGTAGATTCTATATAATTCAGAATTTTGGATTGAAATCTTAAATTTTTCTATCTAATTTAAAAGTTCTATTTTTATATTATTGTTTTTGTTTCAAATCCTAACCAATGATAGTTTACCATGTAAACATACGTATCATACTCTAACCAATAATGAGTTTATCATGTTACCAATTCAATCATCTAATTTGATCTCACTATGACACATGACAAGTTATTATTGGTTAGAGTTTGTCACGTGTATTTAGATAAGCATATTAATGTCCGAAACAACAATAATATAAGAATAGAGCTCTTAAATTAAAAAAAAAATACTTAGGATCTCAATTAAATAAATTTGAATTGTACAATGTCTCGATATATGTAAAACTCATATATTATCTCATTTTTATAAGAAATTAATTGAGTCTCCCAATAATATTTTTTCATTGAATTTCTCATTCAAAAATCCTCGTTTGCTTACCAACATATTACCATTTTATATGATTATTATGTAATAATATTTATTACTCACTATTCTTCGCTTTTTTTTTTTTCTTTGAAAAACATCACAAATTGCATTGACAGTATCAAATTAGAAGCTTGGCAGATTAAGCAGACTGTTCTAATTAATTTCTAACACCGAAAGTACTTGCCCATGGTCTGGTCTGGTCATTCGCTCATTATGATCATAGAATAGGCAATAATATATTAAAGTGAAAATTTTAAGTTTTGCTTGCTCTGTCGTTCTCATGCGATCAAATTAAGGAACTTTGTTTCACCCTCTTAAGGTCTTCATTTGGCATAATGTATGCCATTTTTATCCATGGTGTGTAAAATCTGGTGACCCACTTTCCCCGATGGCGATCTGTTCCTCTTTATGAACTTTTGGCTGAAAATGTGTACTAATCATGTGGTTGTTCCCCTTGGAAGAGGTTTGCAATTAATTTATTGTAAAGATATTTATAATATTTTTATTTAATATAAAATTAAAATTCACTTATCGAAAAATATTAATCATTAAATTTACCAGAATTAATAACAAAATCAATTTATTTAATGCATAAAATATCCATTTAATAATTAATATTATTTGAATATGTAAATTTTATAAAACAATTATGTTAAAATAGCATTATTCCACAATTAAAACCTCGCTTAATGCCAGAAGTATTTAACAATATTTAAGTTTTATCATTTTTTTCTTATGCTCCAGGTTGTTAGTTCTGTAGTCTTTTTTTAAAAAAAAAAAGTTTTTTTCAATGTTACTTTAAAAAAAACTACATTTATACCAAATGGGTAATAAATATTTAAAAATTAAACATGAGTAATGTTAATTCGTGATTATTCAAGGTCAATTGATACATTTGGTTACTTCACTGTCCCACATTGCATTTTACCGAATGTATCGAACTTGTCAAACTTTTATTGGGTTTCTGAAGGGCCAAAATTAAAGCAGAGTCCAATTTGAGTGGCCTTCTAGCCCTTTAAGTAGTAGCCCAAGTTGTTTGATATCATGTTCATGCTAAATCATATTAGGCCCATGGTTGAACAATCCATTGTTCATGCTTGGAACGAGGATTCTCTCTCTCTCTCTCTCTCTCTCTCTCGTTTAAATCATAGAGCCAAAACTACTAAATCTATTTGAATGTTCGCATCGATATGAAAAGTGTGCTTTTAAACCATCAAAGAATTTGATTTAACGATAAAAAAATTATTTTAATTTAATTAAGATCAAAATTTAATTTTTATTATCTACAGATAACTAGTCATAATTATATTTTAGTGGTATCAAGTTTGGATTGATTTTGTCAAAGAGACAACTCAATGATAGATTAAAAGTTAAACATGTTCTCGCATTGACTTAGTTTAGGAATAAAATTGATTCCAAAATACTTTATTATTTGTAAATATCAAACTATATATAAAAAAATACGCTTTTGAGATTGTCCGAAGAAGAATTTAGTATCAATTGACACATAAATTAATCTGAAAATTTCCTAAATCATATATATATGTGTGTGTGTATTCTTCGACATGAACTTATTGATAATTTGATTTAGTTAAAGTATCCCTTCTTGTAACATGTTAATAGATTGTTTTAAGAAGTGAAATTAGATACAACATTAATGACTAAATTTTTTAAAATACTTTAACAATAACTATTAATATATATAATAGTTATTCTATGGATCTATTTTTTAAGAGAGATAGACATACAAGAAAAAAGAAAATCACATCTGAATTCGTAAAAAATGATAAAAATATTTTTATTTAGATTTCAATTTCTTTTTTATATCTCTCTGTTTTTTTTTTTTTTAAATCTACCTCTTTCTAATAAATGGTATGGTAATATAAAATTTCTCGTTAACGACTTCCTTGTTATTACATAGACAAAGCATTAAATGGTTCAGCCCAGCACAACATATGGAACGATTGACAGTGTTAATTGAAAAAAATAAATGTAGCCATCCATTACTGCTGCATCTTTGCAATGAGAAGCAAAGCAGTGATCATGGCATGGGTATATATATACATATATATATATATATCATAGAAGATGCCGTACGCCAAACCTTATAACACATCATCTTTTAATTAGCAATTGTTTAGCCCCTGCACATGCTTACATCCTCTGTTGCATCCAATATGAAAAGAATCGTGACCACTCGTGTAAAGAATCAAGGTTTCATCTCCAAGTCATAAATGCAGAGACCACATGGGAATACCAGATTTCACTGAGATGGGCACAACATTTCAGATCAAAGTCAACAGTACTCGAATTTGATTAATTAGGCCACAACATCTTACAGTCTTACCACCTATACAAAGCCTATAAACAATGTCACAACCCATGATCTCCAACCCCATTTAGGTTCCACTGTCTGGCCATGCCCGAAGCACCTTCTCTCCATGCCCAACAAGTTGGTCAACAGTTAAAAAATTGGTAATAATTGTAGATCGTGACTTATGATAATATTAAAATAATAATAATAAGATGTTTTGAAATTCTTACATAACGATCGTAATATACGATCACAACTTGTTATTTTACTAAAATAACAATAACAAGATGTTTTGAAATCGTTACATAACGATCGTGTATAACGTAATGATCTTTGTTTAAAACTAGAACAATGCTTCCCTTCCCAGATCATGCCTTCACGCCTTTCTGTCACATCAAAGGTTATTTCATAGAATTCTCCTGGGAACAAAATGAATATGCCAATTAAACCATAACTATGTGCATGAAAGTGAGTGCCAGTGTGAAGGACAAACCAGTCATATCACCTAAGCAGAGCTAATCTATAATCTATTAATAAACTGGACCCTCTCCCTCAGCTGCTGACAATCACTCGACCTTGTAAAGATCTAGCTACAGAAATGGCTTCCTACTCCTCCTTGCTTCCTCTTCTGGTTCTAGCTTTATGCCACAGCTCAGCTCATGGTTCAGATCCTGCATCAAGCCATAACCCAACCCAAGTCGCAACAACTCCAATACCACTACCAAATGTGGCTAGAGAGTTCCTAGAATCTCACAACCAAGCAAGAGCAGCAGTTGGCGTTGGTCCTCTCAAGTGGAGCGAAATGCTAGCCAATGCCACAAGCAGGCTAGTCAGGTACCAAAGGAACCAAATGGGTTGCCAATTTGCGAACTTGAGCAACAGTAAGTATGGTGGAAACCAGTTATGGTCTAGTGGCGTGGCTGTGACTCCTCGTAGGGCTGTGGATCACTGGGTACAAGAGAAGAATTACTATAACCACACCGACAACTCTTGTGCACCAGATCATCAGTGTGGTGTTTACACACAGGTGGTGTGGAGGAAATCTTTGGAGTTGGGGTGTGCTCAGGCTACATGTGTGAAGGAGCAAGCAAGCTTAACTATTTGTTTTTATAATCCTCCTGGGAATATTGTAGGGGAAAGCCCGTACTAGACGCGTTATATCTGGCTAAATCTATAGTTATCTGTGTGCAAGTTTGGTCTTGCGTAAGAGTTCTTTTTACATGTTTTTTTCAAGATCTCAGTGCTTATGTTTAGTGAGCACTGGATTCGCAGATTGCTGCTGCTTTTCTCTCTCTTTTACAATAGATTAAACTTGCACGTATAAGCACAATTGTCTCAATTTTAATGCAGGTTTTTTATTAAACTTTGAATTTAGTTTTCGCCATGGCTAAAGTAAGTAAAATGACCTTTTCGAAAGCATAGATCAAATGGAACAAGTGATTACGCTGCTTTCAAACACTACTTGTTCTATAGATGATCCTCACTGACAAATCTGAACATACTTGGGGTGTATTGTTTCGCTGTGTATAGAACTATCCTGCAATAATTGAATTGCATTAATAACCCAACAGAACGGTTGGCAATAATAGAGCTGAGGCTGCCAATCACATGTTCACCCATCCCCCTCTGGTAATACTATTGAGTAATTAGTATTATTCAGAAAACTTATTTGGGATGAATAGCATTGCTCCTTTTCCTCTTCTTTAAGCTTCTACCATTTATTTAGTAGGATATTATATTTTGCAGTTTTTTGAGAGGATTGCCTTAGATGGAACGGGATATTGCTCTACAAAAGTTCCGTTTCTGATGCAGATCAATGGCCTTGAAATTTATGGAGCTGTATTAGCGTGATAAAAGCTGAAAAAAACATGTCGGCCTAATTTTGAGGTTTGTTGAGTTTGGTTTGATACCAAACGATCTAACGAGTCAAACTCATCGTTTTGCCATGATTTCCATATGATTTTGACTAAAAAAAACTGTTTAGACCATCAAAATTGATTTTTACTGTTTTTTGAGATTTTTTTTTATTTTGAGATTTTTGTATTTTGTTTTCTTTTTTAATTGATTTAGGATTTTGGGCTAAATTTCCTATTTATATATGACTTGAAGGCAAAAAAAACGTAATTTTCTTTAGTTAATAAAATTTTATGAGAGAATATCTCAATTTTATCTTAACTTTCGACATTTTTTAAATCAATGGAATTTGAAACCTATTTATTGATATTTATGCGTAATTCAACAAATTGTAATAAACCAACATCTAAAATTCAAATGTGAGTTTTCAGATCAACGGTGGAAAAGGGTGTTAGTGATCTTTTGAGGAATGCGTAGAGTCTAATTTAAAGGCATTTCATGACTAACATATAATGACAGGAGCCACAGACGCACATTTAGATGTAAGAAATCCACCCTGAGTGTGATATGTAAATCTGATGCTGGCCTTCTTCATTCGATTGGTCCCTGTATACAACATTTTGTACGGAAAAATAATAACTATATTAGTGAAAACTGAAAATTATTCCACACTAAACCTCAAGTAGACAGCGCAGAAGGTATGTATGTACAATGTTCAATGCACATTTTCATTTCCTTTCTCAACACCATAGAAATCATGAATGCTTCCATGACTCGAAACAAGCAGAATGGAGATTACATTTTACAAAACAAAATATTGCATTGTTCTATCCTACCATTTCGGACTTCATCTCCTAATCTGTACAAGGAAAAATTTTAAAATCTCAAAATAAGAACTATGTGAATGACTAAATGGACTCGAATGCTTGAAGGTGGAAACTTTTGACGCACAGAAGCAGTCACTTTACCAGCTCTTTAGATATCAGGTACCGAAAACTAAAATTATGTGGAATCCATTCAATGGTCTTACGAGGTTTTCCTAGCTGACATTTCTTAAGACACTTCCTTACAGATTCAGGCAAAGTTTGTTGGATCATTTCAAGAACACCTGCAGGGCATAAACCCGAATCCTTAGCATAAGATTCCACAATCTTCGGAAGTAGGATTTTCTGGTCCTTGCGTATACCAAAGGTAGCTCGGATATACTCTTCCTTTGCAGCTTCAAGCTCATGATTTATTCCCTTTGGAGTATAGACTCGAAGCTGGCAAAAATGTTTGTCCAAATTCCATTAGAAAAAGAAAAACACTAAACAGAAAATGTGACCGAACTCAACAAAATCAGGACTAAGAAGAAGAGAAACCCCGGTTTAGTTCTTGCTGCTGAGACTGACATTTCTTAATATGCTTTAGATCAGTCAAAGTGGAAATTAAGTCTTTTGGAAACTAAATGCATAGTGATTTGCAACAAATGGAGTTCTTTACGACAGAAGGCTATGAAAAGACAGTGTGCATGCGATGTGGAAGCAACTAATCAGAAAAACCTCCACTCAAAAGGATATAACAATTGCTTTAGGTCTGGTTATCACACGAAATGTATGCAAGAAATGCTCCTGCTGCACCTTATCTTACTTATGTGTGCTACTCATATTCTGAAAATTTTATAACAGATTAAGGAAATGATTCAAATGAAGTACCGCAGGATCAGAATGGCTTCCAGAACAGAGTGTGAAGTGCAAAAGGGGTTCTGAACGGTTAATTGCATATGCTTGCCGTTCTTCTACCGTCTTGAATTTGGACTTTGATGAGAGTAACAATCGAATCCACTGCAATTAGGGACAAGCTTTGTCAGTACTGCGGAATCAGAAGAAATTGGCTATGTAACTGACAGGATATCAAGTGCATTGTTGTATTTTATGAGATTTATATGCTTATTGAACATAGATATAATATTGTCTTTCTTTTTGTGTGCGCATGCAGGAGTTCTTTTGATTAAAGAAAACAAGTGCCCCGGTCTATTTGATAAGAGCTTTCATGATAAATGGTTTAACTCTAGATGCCAAATCCTGCATGGATCTCAACTGAAGGCAGGGAAAATTAGAAGAATCATAAACACCAAAATCTTGAACAGGATATTAAAAATAATCTCTGTGACTATCACAATTTTAATTTCAAGATGAAGTCACAAGATCCACCTGTCCAGGACGAGACATCCGGCATCCAAGGATAGAACTCTGTATCATGTCCGCACTAAATGTATGACCCCCAACATTATATGCAGCCTGCATAGAGGATAGTGTAAGAACAAGCATATTTGCAGTAAATCTCTTCCTTAAGGGAAAAGAAAAGGAGTTTTCGTTACCCTCAAAAGTTGAAAGAGCCTCTTAACATTGTTTTGTGGAATCCCATATGCCAGAAATGCCTATTACAAAATAGAGAAGATAAGAAACTCACGTCAGAAATAGAAAAAAATATGGAATTAGCTCTTTAAGCAAGTATTTCTGTTGAAAAGTGCCATTACATGCATCACTAGTGCATTGTGTATGTTGATCCAGAAAGCTAGCCTTTCCTCATGTTTGAGCTTCCGAGGATCGACTTTTTCCAATCGACAGATAAGTGATCTGCAGCAGAAGAACCCAATAAACATAATAGAAATCTCAACAGAACAGCAACACATATGCTGTTTACTTGATACCTGCATTATTAACGAGCGTCTTCTGGTAATAACTAAATGGCAGAATGACTCACCTGAAATTTTGTAGCAAGTTTTCAACATCTCCCAACTTTTGACTGTCTCTATAAATCCATGGCACTTCAACCATTGTACAGTACGGTCCACTGAACTCTTTCAGACCTTCAACAAGGAAAGGGTTATCCAATCGCACGTCAAAGGATGAATTATTCCTAAATCCTGGACTCCACATATCACATTGTTCTCTTCGTGGCGAAAATGCACTCATTGATGATAAAGATGAATTAGGAGATGAAAGGCTGTTATGTGTCAAAGGTGGATCTGAAAGTTTGCAATATATAGCTGACATGCACTTTATCATATCCTCTGAAAGCTTGTTGGGTGTCTCTGGAACATGATCAGAAATGCGCGTACCAAGATGCTCAGCCAAACTGATAATGTTTGATCCACTCTGGGCGTACTGCATAAAAAGCACAAAATTTATAATCCATTCAAGGCTGACAGATTTGGCATGTGAAAAAATTAACCTCCCCTACTGTTATTTTTCTAATATTGTTGCACTTAGAAACTGATAGCCAATGACAGAGTTCTTCCAAATCTCCAAGAATGAAGAAGGAAGTCACTGGAAACCCAAGATTTCCAAGCATTTTGTTTTGGCAGACAATAGTAATAAAAAAAACACCTTGTGCTTTGATGTGGTCCAACATCGCTGGCAGTTGTTGCAGAGGACCAAAAGAACAATATGAAGGCTAATGGTTTCTGTGTTAGCACTCAGAATTACCTCCATCATGGACAGTGGCTGGGAATGGCATGCACGTACAGCTCTACCAAAAGATTCTGCTGGAGGGGAAGTTCTATTTGAAAATGCTGAGCGCTGTGACAGTGAAGAGTGACATCGATGAACTCCAGAATCTAATAGCTTATCTTCTCCTCCAATACCATTGGTTTGCTTCCATGTATTGTCATGTGACTGATAAGAAGTTTGAGTAGCTGAAGTTTCCTTCTTTGATGTATCAGGCCTGGAAGCATCAAACAACCTTCTTCTTGGGGTTGTGACTGGGATTTTTAAACTTGGAACGTGGTTAGATGGAGAAACCGGGGATGTTTGTTGATCAAATGCCTTCCGGTACAAGGAGAGAAGATATTGTTCCAAATATACAACTTCCAACTCTAATACCGCAATCTCTTTAATTAATTCTGTGGCTGGCTGGAGTTACAGAAAACACAGGAAGTAATAAGTCAAAAACTTGAGCCTAACAATTAACTCTGGCATTATAATTCCACTTTACATATAAGTTACATAAACCAGTGCAAAAAAATGCAACTACAAATTATCAGCAGAGTTCCCCAAAGTGAAGATAAGATTTCAGTGACTCAACAGATGGCATGGTTACAAGTTCTGTGGAAAGGCCACAGTTCTGGATAAATTCACTTGGAATAACAGTAATATGCACAACGATTTCTATTCCCATAGAATCATTATGGAAAGGATTTACCTTAGGCATTGACAGCTCAGACGTACTATCGTGCGAAGAAGTCCTATAACCCGAAGCATTTTCCAGAGCACGACGGACCTGAAATTGATCTTGTAATCTTTTCTCAAGCTCTAGAATCTGCATAAACGAGTTCAAATAATATTTAGCTCAGAGCAGGAAAGACCAGCATGAGGAATGGTTAGAAACATGAAGAAATTCAGTTGCATACCTCTTGCTTCAAAGAATTTTGTACTTCAGACTTAGGGGATTCTTTCTTCTTGGCTTTGGCAGAGTCTTTCAAGTGCCCCATATTCTGTAATCAGATTTTTTCGGAAAAATCATATGCTTAGCAATTGCTTCTTAAATTATTTTCCAGGAGGATTCACCTAATGAATTAATGTTCTGGGAAAAGCTACCAAAATCAACTTAACTGTTTGTGTTAATTGTATGAATTATCCTTTATTAAAATAACAAGAATAATTTATTTCATTCAACTACACTATTATAGTTGGGACCATAAGTGAAATTTGACTCAAATGTATCCCACTGCCCCCACCATAAACAAATAGGCTAATAATTTGAAGGGAAAAAAACAAACTAGAGCAGATTTAAAAGAAGAAAAAGAAGTCATTTTACAGATGAGTTTTGGCTGGCTTTATGCTTAAGGCCTTTATAAAACATGGGGAAGAAGGGCTAAGATACTGTAAGAATAAATAAGATAGTGAGCTACTTTTTTCTTTTCTTTTCTTGTTTTTCTTTAAGCAAAAGAGCCAAAAAAAAAAAAAAGTGTATATCTTACCAGCTTTATACTGCAGGATGCTTCAAAGGAACTATCTAAGCCATCTTCCTGCACTCTTTTCTTATCTGGCAAGCTGCCACAGCATAAATAATAAGCATCAAGATGGAAGTAGATATATATTGGTGAAGAAAAAAAATCAAAAAAGCATCCAATATAATTCTTGGCTCCCTCTATATTATGTGCACAGCTCCTGCAACATATTTACTGGATTTTAATTTTATACTGGAAAGGAGAAGATGGTCGGAGATATCAGCAGTTACCTCCTACCAAAGGTCCACTTAGCAATAATTTTCCCAAGACCCATCTTGAAACAGTTTTCAGTTACATTCGCCACATCTATTACTCATTAATTACTAACTTTATTAGAGAAAGAACTTGGGAGAAATTGGAGAAAAATGAAAAAAAGATCAAAAAGAAAACTCTGCAAATTCCGAGCAGGGGACATATAAGAATCCATCCCTAAAACCCCATCTTCAAGAAGTTCTTTTGATGTTTAAGGAAAAGCTCTCCCACTGTTCCTCTTTCTTGAAGCTCTAAAATTTCATCTGGACCACAAAAACTTCGTGGTCGTTTCTGCTTGGAAAATAGCTAAGAGAATAAAACCAAAAACTTCATGGGGGGTTTTATACAACTGTAGTCTCAGTGTTTTTTGCTTGGAAAGAACACTATTGAGCAGCTATTATGAATGCCCCAGGTTTCTATTTTACTCATGAAGCCCACCACAGAAGCCATTCCAGTTAAAGAAACCCATCAAGTAGCATAGCAATAAACTGAAACTAGTAATGAGAACAATAACTGCAAACTAACAAAAGATTGAATGAATAGCTACCTCTTTGAACGCTTGTGTCTAGTAGTCACTCTCAGTCCATACATTTTACTACCTTCACCACCGTCAAACTGAGAGAAAACACACCCCAATCAAAAGTAACTTCAGTAAAAGAAACAACGTTTCCCATTAAGAAAGCAAGCAAAAAAAAATAATGATGATGATGATGAAAACAAAGGTAAAGACAGGTACCATTAAACTCCAAGAACCAAACAAGCAAGCACCCAAGATAAAATCTTTAGAGAAATGATGAATCAGATAAGCAGACCCCCTAGTCCAAAAACAGACCAAATGAGTTCACACTTCACAGGCCTCTGAGGTCTAATTAGACTCCAAAAACTGAACTTGTCTTCATGCAATGTAGCTGAGCAGAGGTTCCAGGAAGTACCCACAAAGTGATCATTAGCAGCTGCTAACAGTGTCTGAACATAGCAGAGCGCCTGAAATAGTTCACAAAGGTAAGACCTTTGTGCTTTTGACCAGTGAACATTCACCTTGAAGGGACTCACTTTGGTCTATAAGTCTATAAATCAGTTTACTTTTACAAATTAAGAGTCTTTTTGCGTTAAAAGATGTAAACCAGCTCGTGGGCTTTAATCGGAGAAGAAAGAAAGGTTGCTCAAGTCTATGCTATAATAAAGAGTAGACCCATGCACCTTAAAATGTCAAAGCGTCCAAAAGCGAACCATTTTCTATGTGAGAGAGAGAGATCCAAAGAAGCAAAGCATTGGAGGATAAATAATGGCTATGACTGTTAAGTGGAAATGTCAATAAAATAATGTGCATCCATCTTATGGTCCAAACTCCATATTCTCTTCTCTTGTTGGTAAGCAAGTGGGAGTTGGTGACCGTCCCTCCAATCTTGTCCTATACTGTTTATACATACATAGTATCCCTATCCTACCATGTATGTATTGGGTTAGTAAATACCTAGCTAGTAATAAGTACACTTCCGGTGCTGAGCTTTATTCAGCAGTGTTCTCTCTTCCAGAACAAGGAAATGGCAGGATTGAAACTCCTTAGAGTTCTAACTAAATACAAGGAAAATAACATTCAGAAGTGACTTGCCATTTGTGGAACTAGGAATTTCAAGACACCTTGAACCATGTACATAGATGGATAGTAATTATGTTCATGTAATGAAATATGACTGTCTATGGAGTTTTTCCCATATTTTAACTGTGTCCATTTTGGATTTTTTAAAAAAAATTCTCTATTCTTTTTTAGCTTAATTGAGATCATTTATTTTTTTGAAATTTTTTGCTTCAAAACTATTTAAAATACAAAAGGTTTGAAATAAAAAATCTTGAAAAATAGAAAGTTTCAATTAAATTTTTTAAAAAAATCTCAATTAAAAAAAAATAGGAAGCCTAAATGCGACAAAAAAACCCCATTATCTAATAGCTAATTTTGTTTATGCAATAATTGGGGCGCCCCAAATCACGAATTTGCTGGACCAGCTTACCAAATTTTTACTTTACAAGCTAGATGTTCTGTTCTTTTTCTTGACATAGAGTTTCTAAAGTCAAAAAGGTTCAATTCCTTGCAACACGATATTAACCTTGATTTGATATAGCCCTTCGTTTTCTCATTTTTTGCCAAGGACTTCTTCTTCTTCTTCTTCTTCTTCTTCTTTTCATTTGTGTATTAATAGTAATACCAGGTTCTTCAAGGCACCTATGGACATTGGAAACCATTACTTACTACTACCAAAAGTACATAGCTTTTAACATCTGTGTACCAATCAGTTCATTTTGTGCTCAAGATGCATAATTCTGCTGGAGAACAAATATTCCAATACAACCCAAAAGTTGCTCAAGTGAGTCCATCCAAATATAACAGCTATATTGAGCATTAATCAAGAAATTAAGGGGTTAAGTCCAAATGTAAGTTGCTAAAAGAGTTTTTAGGCTACAAAGCAACAAAAGCAGGCTCGCCTCAAAAGGGATGAAAGGTGCATGATCAGGGATAAAGGAGACATTGGATGCTTGAAAGTAATTGAGGCTTTGTGGGGTTTTCTCTTTGTCTTAAATCTCTTTTGTAGAAATGAGGCTAAAGGCAGATACCCCATATTGTCCTTCAGTATCCAAGAGACTCGTTTTTGTCACAGAATCCTAAAATAAAAAATATGGCCATGGGGCTTGACCTTTTCGAACATCGATACAAAAGAAAAGGTGACTGTGTGTGTGTGGTAAGGTGGTCAGGTCTGAGGTCTCTTTTTGTCGTGATATTCACCTACTGATTAAAGAAAAAGTTTCTTTTCTTCCTGCTACGCGAAAAAGGACGGGGGAGAGAAGGAGAGAAGATGTTGTTTCTTGAAAAAAACTTTCTACAAACATTTGTTTAATTGGAAGTTTTTCTGTTGAGATCGTAGAAAATCCAAAAGCTTGATTTAACCTATGGTCAGTTTACAGCCATAGAGTCTATAACATGGCTTAGAATACTGAAAATATGATCTTTTCCTTAGCCAAATAAGGACATGAATCCCACCTACTTACCAAGTTACTCTAATCACCAACCTAAAATTTCATTGAAATAAGGATTTAGTTTTATTGCATGGTTCTACGCATATCAAATCCCCATATAATTCAGATTTTTTTATTAAGATTCTAAATTTTTTTTTATCTAATTTAAGAGTTATATTCTTATATTGTTGTTGTTTCATATTTTAGTCAATGACAGATAGCCATATGTGCATCCTAACTCAATAATAGTCCGTCATATCATCAATTCAATTACTAAATTTGAATATAATAATACGCGATAAGTTGTTATTGGTTAGAGTTTGCAAAACGTGTTTACGTGGCATATTAGGATCCGAAACAACAATATAAGAGTAGAACTTTTAAATGGAAAAAAAAAAAAAAAAACTTAGGGTCTTAATAAAAAAAATTTCAAATTGTATAATGTTTTGATATGAGCAAAACCCTTTTATTATACAAAATCTAACTTGAAAATACTCTAATTTCTGAAAGAATAAATCAGTTATCCTGCTCCTTCTCTCCAATTTTGCAAGAAAAGGCACTACTTTCAACTAAACAAGCGGTGTATGTAATACATGATTTGTTGAATTTGATTTTCAGAATTGTAGATGACAAGGTTGCTTGAAGGGACAAATATAACCTTGTATTCAAGTAACACACCAGAAGAATCTATGGATTTAATATATGCTTTGCTTGGTGATTCTTCACTTGGGGATCAAGCTTGAGTCAGAATTACTTTGGACACATCTGTTAGTTTAAGTTCTATACATGTATTAGATGTTAGAAAATTTCCAGTTCCAATAAATAAACAAATGAAACTTCTATTTTATCTTATTATCATTATCTTAAGCAGTCAGATTGGATTCTTTCTCAATGCCAGAAATTCAAGCACTTCAAGAAAAAAATATGCAAATCTTTTCAAATTTTGAGCAAGTGTGAATTTTTTAAGGAATCTGACAGACATGCTTCATAGATTTATGAAATCATTAGTTGCATTAATTAAGTTCTTTAATTGTGAATCACAAAAAACAACATCCCCTATTGCAATTAATGGTTTAACACACAGAGTTCCATGGTGCTGATTTTTTTTTTTTTTCCTTGAAATTTTGACTGTTTATGAGCACAAGATTAGGTTAGACACCCATGTGTCCCTCTGATTTTTAGATCAAGAAAATATACCTTTTTTTTATGTCCATTCTTCATTGCAGAAAAAGAAAAAAAAAAACAACTAAGTGAATGGTTAAACAATGCTAAGATCCGATAGGTTTCTGACATGTTTGTGATCTCTAGTGAAAACATGAATTTGATTTGCGATGCAAGACAGCAAAATCAGCTAGATTTTGAAAAATAAATAAAAATAAATAACAGGTTCAGTGGGCAACAAAATCGAAGCAGGTTCCAATTTCCTGCAATTTTCAGTTCTCAAGGAATCATACACAATGTTCAACTGAAATGATCAAAGAAGACAATTTAGAAGTTGGTATAATAAACTGTATGAAGTTCAAAGAAGCTTGCAAAGTTCCAAAACAATGGATTTGAATGGTAGCATGAGTCCATTTTCTTGACTTCTTGTGCCGTTTTATGTGTATTTTTTTGTTTCTCTGAAACATAAAAAATCTGTCTTAGCAACTAACCATACGAAGGTACTAGGAAAGTAAAATGAGAAAAAACTTCATAAAATTATCATTAATAATCATAGTGTCAAAATCTGGAGTCCAACTTTGGAGTTTCTAGACCTATTCAAAGAATGAGATGCAATCATTGTTTCAAATCGTAAATGGTTGAAAAAAGATCATAATCGTTACAGTAGATAGTAATTGCTATAGTGGATCGCAATTCATTATAGTGATCGTGACTTACTATAATATTAAAATAACGATAACATAATATTTCAAAACCGTTATATAACAATCGTTGTATAACGTAATGATCATTATTTAAAACTATAAATGCAGTTAACAACTTGAATTAGAAACTTTTGGCATGTCAACAACATTATGTGCCTTAAAAACACAAATTTTATTCTGTGTTTCATTTTTCAATTTGAATTTTAAATGGGAACGTTGTCATTTCAATTCTACACTGCAACAGACAAACCAGTAACCCCAGCTCTTAACATTTTGTTTTGTCACACGGGAAAAGGACCATTCTTTTTCCAATCGATAGACATTTGTTGGCAGTGTTGCAAAGGTTAGGTGCAAAAATGACAAATGTGGTTTCAGTCCAAAAATGTGCACCAAATCAATGCTTCTCGATCTGAGACTTTGATATTTACATCTATATGTACCGAGTGGGGACTAATGAGGCAGAGCCTCGAGTTCGTAAACCCTACGAAACCCACAAAAATATGAGAATGGTGAGGAAGTGGGAGAGGGTTGCATCTGTTTTGGGCTATAGAGAAGGTGCAGAATCCCACAATTGGGACAGAAAAAGCGAACTTTCCAAAGACATTTGGACAACTAGTCAATGCCAATCATATCGTGCAAAAGGCATCTCTCTTCTTCCTCCTTCTCTGTCCCCGCTACAACTTTTCTTTGATAAAATGGTCCTCTCCAAAAGGAGATGGATCGTAAGCCAGAGGGTCCAAACCTAATTAATTAGTAATAACTTGTATATTCTAGTTTCTATTTATTTCAATTGTAACATCTCAATTTAATACCTAAATAGATTAAGAATATTATTGTCATATCTCACAATAAATATAAGACACAAGATATTGTATCCTTCTTATTATATTATTAATTATGGTTTTCATTACAAAAACCCATCAAATAGTTAATAATTTTAACCTTATTTATAAATTTCAGTCTAAAATATACTATTAAATTTTTATGTTTTAACATTTTATTTTAATAGTATAAACAAAAATAATTTGACTCATGTTTTTTTATTTCGTCAAATTATTCATCAATCATATAATTTTTATGCACCTATTTAGATATTCAAAATAATGATGTTGCATCGAAAGCACTATTTACGCACAGATGAGTTAATAAAATATTCATCAAACAAAAAAAAAATTAACTTAATTACACACAATATTCTAGCACTCTTCTAATCATCATTTATGCACACAACATAATTTTCATACATATTTAATCTATATTATTTCATCTATTCACATGTTCGAAGTATTACATCAATTACCTGCTTCAAGGGGGTCTCTATTTTACACCAAATCCTTCGCAATTTGCAGCCCTTTTCTTAGTCCTAATTGCCTAACCAAAAACTTTTAGGTAAATCTATATATCTAACCTATGGTTTGTTCGTTTCTTTTTTCCCTTCTCGTAACAGCACCTGCACTGCCCGGAAACCAATTGGATAAGATAGTTAGTGTACCACCTCCATGATCATAATATTGTCTCATCCATCAGTACCTTAATTTCCAAGTATTCCAACTCCAACATGGTAGATCAGTTCCTAATCCACATAGGCTGATCACGGGCCCTTTTACTGTAGTTAAGTACTGAATTACTTTCTAAATAAAATCATTTTAGGTCAAATTCGAATTTTTGATCATTGGCTCAATCCGTTAGATCATTAAAATTTTAATATTATGTCGAATGATCATTAGGTCAATCCGTTAGATTAATAAAATTTTAATACTACGTCAAAACGTCATTTTAATTCAAAAATTTAAATTATCAAGTAAAATTTAAAATATAATTTATATTATCTGCATGTACGTGGTTTGTAAATTGAAGAGAGTGCGATGCCTCTTTTTCAATGAAAGGGAGGGAGTTTGACAACCTGGTACACAAGCTTTAGCTATCAGTATCTCTAACTAAAGTACCCACCACCATTCAAGGGAATAAGCTAGCTAGGCCGATTTGCTCTCTTTTGAACACACCTTCCATTTTCTATTTTTATTTCAACAAACCTTGCAACATTTGGTAAATGGGGATAACTTCTTGTGTGGTTAAAACTACCCACCAAATCTTCCATCTACCATAATTCCTAGTGGTCGCTGTAACCTTGCTGCTAGCTTCCGATTCTTCAAATGAAGTATACAGTTCCAGTAAAAGAAGAAGAAGAAGAAGAAGTTAACAGTGATAAAGTTATCTACTTTACTCAATCTTTCCGAAATCACTTCTCGTAGACTTTGAGCCAATCTACGAATGGATCCATCCATTAAACATACATGAGATTTTTCACAAAATGACTTCAAGAAAAATATCTGATAAGATTACGTACCATTAACTCTGTTTATTGAAAAGATACAGCAATATTAGCTATGAGTACTGTTAAAATTAATTGATTCCAGTGGATGAGAATGGACCAGTGATTGGGTCCGCATGCAAAACTCGAATGAGCTTGCTTGCGAGAGGGGGGCAGGGGAGCATGCTGGGATGGTAATTAACGTGCATGAGGCTTACATGACAGTAAAAGTTTTCAGATTTGATGGTTCTTTAATAATTAATGGACCAAAAGGTAAAGAAACAATAATTAAAGGACCAGTTGGGTGGTTCGTGTAGAGGCTAAGGGCAAAATGCCCAGATGTTGGAAACTACTCTCAAGGTGCAATGAAATTTGGAAAATAATTACCAATTACCTATTACCGACTACCTGTAATAATAAAAAGATGGGAAAAACACTGTCGACCTACGTTCATTATTCTCCATCACCCAAATTACTATTCACATGCACAGAAAGACATTATGGGTTTACCTTTTTCTAATTTTTAAAGCTATTTTTAGTGATTTTATGTGCAAGTTTTGCCTAATATTGCACTTTGATCCTTAATTTTTTTCAAATAATTTTATTTTGATATCAAACTTTATTTGTATCACAGTTTAGTTCTTAGTTGTGAAGAGAAGATAAAAAGCAGCTGTAAGAAAACGAAAGTCAAGATAAGACTCGTTCAAGCCACTTTGACTCTTGATTTTGAATTCAATTCGTATTCTTTTAGAAGAAAAAAGTTTATTTATAATGGTCACAAATCATAAAATGATTTGAAAAGAATAAATTAAAATTTCAAAATATTTTAATTTTTTTTTAGTTTGCTTTAGAATTTTATGTGCATTAGCATGAGTTTTGAAGTTTTAAACGATATTATTGACTTTATGTCTCTAATTTTGAAAAACAACACTAAATTTGGCTTTAGAAATGCTAGAAACTAAAAACTCGTTGTTTTCAGTGATTTTTCCAAGAAAACGAATGACATGTCGCTAGTTATGTACATAAGCAAACGTTCGTGTTGTTCATTTGATTTATTATTATTTTTTTTAAATAGAGCTAGCTAGCTTGCGTCCCAGCTCAGTTCCTTTTTTTTTTTTCCCTTTTTCTCACTAATTTATTTTTCTTTATTTCTTTATTATGAATTTTTGGGTGAAGATTATGGAAGATGGATCATTATTTTTTTATTTCACATATAACTTGACGAGAGAGAAATATATATGATATGCTTCATTATTAAAATGAACATATATTTCAAATTATATTACTCTTATTATTTAAAATTCATTTCCTTTAATTTGTCATTTAATTTATGGAGATTATCATCAAATTAATTTATTTTTTAATTTTGTATAAAGTTTTTTCATTGATAAATATGATTTATTTTTTTCTATGTATGAATTTTTGAATAAAATTTTAAAATATGATTATTTTTTCATTTTAAAAAACAAATCTATATAATTTATATGATGGATTATTATAATTTTTAAATGACATTAACATGATTAAATTATAAATTATTTTAAAAAATTAATTTTTAATATTTAGATTAAATTTATTAAATAATTTACAAAATAAATATTTAGTTAAGAATCCATGGATTTTTTAAAAAAATTAGACTATTACAAGTTTTTAGTTAAAAATCCGGATAATAAAGAATAAATCATGTTGTTTTTAGCATAAAATTTATGAAAAATCATAAAAAATAATTAATCAAATACAAAATTTTGATTTAAAAAAGAAGAAAAGAAAATTGAATGGGTTTTTTTTATCCTTTATTTCATATATTTTATTAGACTGGCAATATAAAATATACTCATTAAAGTAAAATAATTTTTTTAAATAATTTTATATATTTTATCCGATATGTAATATAATACGATGTAAAAAATTAGTAAGATCTAAATAAACTAGAAAAGATAGGAATTAAAGCAAGGGCCTCGCTTGGCTATATTTAATGAAACAAGCAGAATAAAATCCAACGCAGCTTTCAACCCTTTTTAAGAAGATCATCTCTCTTTGAATTTCACTTTCTCGAAGAAAGTTGATGGAATCAAGGGTTGTAAAGGGCACAAAAGTTCATTGCTAATATGGGAAAAGTTCCACAGAGCAAATAAAGTGAAATAACATAGAAAAGAAAACTCGAATCCAAACTTGCATATACCTCTTTTCTGCAAAGCACTTCGATTGTTGAAGGCATGTTTCGGGCCTTTGGGATGCTAAAGTCCATGCCATTTGAGCTCCCATGGGCCGCGTGTAGGCAAGGAGAAACTATGTCTCGGCCCATCAAATCCCCTATTATCACTTCGGGTTGACTTCAGATTGGCCCAACTCTTTTGAACTTGGTAAAAACTATAAATTATTGTGTAATGTCGAGAGTTTGATATAGGAAGTGGGAACTTTATATGACCAACCATTGCATGAATAGTTTCCATTGTCAATTATGCAATTTTTTTTAAAAAACAGTTTAAATTTTTGCATTAAAATGATATTTTAATATGGTATTAGTGTTTTGATAATTAAGAAGTTACGAGTTCGAATATCACAATATTTATTCTTTTTTTCTAATTAAAAATATAATAATATAAGTTAGTACGTACATATGCAAGTTTTAAAATCAAAAAAAAATTTACTCGAGAGAATATATTAAATAATAATATAAACTATATCTTGAGATTTTAGTCAACAATTAGATGGCATAAAGTGATAAAGATTCTTTTAAAAAGAAAATAAATAAAGATTTGAGTACCACGTTGTAAAAATTTTTCCAATTCAAAATTGTTTTTATTTTCTTACCTTTGACCTGATTGAGTCCTGATCGAGTTTAGTTAGATTTTAATTGGATCCAACTGGGATTGAACTTTATAACATCCTAGACAATTTGAATGCACTTATAAATCAATGTTCAATTAATAATTTATTTTTTTTTAAAAAAAAACATAACTAGACAGCAATGAACCCCAAGATAAAGGGAGGAAAAACAAAAATTTCTATTTAAATTATGTTTAAAATCAAAGGAAGCCTAGAAATAACCCTAACCAAACAAACAAGGTATTATGCAAGAAAGCATGCAATTTTTATAAGATTGCAAAATACATTTTCTACATAAATATATAAGTGTAAACTTTATTTATCAAAATAACTCGTTAGCCAACCAAAGATAAACAATTTTTTTCTGTAAAGTTTAAAGTGATCCTATATTTAAGTATGAAATTCAATAATATAGGCTACTATACAATAGTGTATAGTCTCTTAACTATAGAGTGTTTTGATTAACACCTTATGAATTATTATTATGTTATTTTAACTATTGAGCTATAGCGTTTTAATTGTCACCCAGTTTATTATAAATCGATCAATTTAACTTTTAAATATCACATGCAAATTGTCATAACCTATTTTTACACCTAATAATTTTTATTTTTATGCAAAATTCAGGAAAAAAAAAAACAAAAACAAAAAACTACACATAGCAAACTTTCTTGATTTTTCATGATTTTTTGGGTATTTTTTTTATAGTTTTTAGGATTTTAATTTCTTAAGATTATTCTCTAATTTTAAGTAAATAAACAAAAGAAATTAAAAAAGAAGAAGAAAGAAGAAAAGAGAATTAAAAAATAAATGAATAAAAATCATTTAGGGGTTCAATTAAAAAAGATTTGAGAATTAGGACCAAAAGAAATCCAATTGAAGGGTATAATTGAAAGGGGTTTAAAACCTAAGAGCCTTGATTGAAGATAAGGGGGCAAAATGATTTCTTCTGGGTTTTTTTTTTTTTTTCCGACTTCCTTTTTTTAATTATTTTTACTATTTATGATGATATTCTTCTCATCTTTTTTCTAACTTCTTTCTTTTTCTTTTTAACTCTTTATTTTTATTTTTATTTTTTTGCTCTACACTAAAAAATTTAAGAAAAATACCAGCACATTTTAAAAAAAGAGATATACCTAAAGTTTATGAAAATACCTAAAGATTATGCAAAAATCAGAAAAAAGGCACAATGCAATTTTTGTATAAATGATTTTTTTCAAAGGGAAATTTATGGAATGTCAAAAATGGATTATGAAAAAAAGAATATTTAAATATTTGTAGTGTCCCTATTAAATTAAATAGATATATAAAAGTATTGAGTAGGAGTATATTATGTCAAAGAAATTTAGACACAACTAGGCGGTTGCCCGCATTACGTTGCGAGTCGCGCGAACAAAATTATTTTTAAATTTTTAATTAAAATTTTGTATTCGATTAAATTTTTTATGTTTTTCATAATTTTCTATTTAAAAAAACATGATTTATTGTCTTTATGCATTGATTGTTAAATAAAAAACTTCTAATAATTTAAACTAAAACACCGATCAAGAATTCAAGTTTAAAATATATTTTTCATGAGATTGTATCAAAATATAAAGCTACAATTAATGTATAGGCTTGTATAAAATTTAACAAATGAAAAAAAAAATTTATTCTTGTTTAATAGTGATTAGAAGATTATTTTTTGAAAATATATGCATTTTATTTATATATATTTATCTACAAAATAATCAATAATGTTAGCATAAGAAATTGTATTTGAATTACCGGGTGGTTCTTTTAAAAAATTTATTTAATTGTTTTATTTTAAAGAAATTGATTCTATGATTTTAATAAAATATATTCATAACAAATAATTGATCTTATACGTGAAGATGTATTGCTAATTTTTAATAAAATTGATAATTCGAATGATTTTTTTCTACATCATGACCATACTCAATGGATGAGACAAAGTATCCGAAATAAATTTTTTAATTTTTATATTAAAATAATTATATATTTGTATATATATTTCACTATCATTTAAAAATTTTAAGAATTCATGATATATATTATGTAAATTTATTTTTGAAAAAGAGAAAGCAATCATATTTTAAAAATTTATTATAAAATCTAAATGCAGAGAAAAATAAATTATATTCATCGGTAAGTAAAATTTTATAAAAAAATAGAAAAAATTAATTGAATTACAATTTTCATAAGAAATGACAAATTTAAAGAATAAAATTTAAATAGTGGGAGTAGTATAATCTGAAACATATGTTAATTTTAAAATATAAAAAGATATTATATATATTGTATCATCGCCATGCCGACGCTACATAGAAAACACAAATAATCACACTCGATATTCCATAAATTTTGCTTAAAAATTATCAATTAAAAAAAAACAAAAGAAAGAAAAAACACTAGGCCTGCATGGGCTAGCTAGGATTAGAAAAAATGGCTTTTTTTTTTAATTTTCGATAGCTTTGCCATTTCGGCGAATTTGATTTTGTCGAAAAGTAAATGAAAAGTCAAATTTCTTAATTTTTGACACCCAAAAACCAAATCCAAGTCTTATTTTTGTAAATAAAATAAAATAAAATCACAAGAATAGCATAAAAAAATTGTTTAAAATCTCAAAATTCATTTTAAGCATACAAAACATATAAAAATTCAAATAAAAAAAAATCAAAACATTTTCGAATCTTGATATACCTTTTGCAATCATTTCATAACTTGTGACTATCATAAATAAATTCTACTATTTGAGACGAACAAAATAATGGTTATTGCGACCATTGAGATAGCCATAATGGGCCTCGCCGTCTCTCTCCGGTTCTCTCTCCTTCAAGCTATCATGGACGAAAATGCAACACAAATAAAGTTTGAGATCAAAACAATTTTTTTTGAAAACATGAGGGGTCGAAATGAAAAACTCTAGCAAACTTAGGTCAAAAATAGTGAAAATAAATAATGCAAATGAGTGTGGGTAAATAATATGAACGAGTGTGTGTGAACAAGTAAAAAAAACAATAAATAACCCATGTGTTTTAATATTCTTGTAAATAATTTTGTAATAATTTTAAATAATTCAATAAACAAAATCAAATTCAAAAATCTCAAACAAAACACGAATATTTCAAAATAAATTTTTATAATACAATAATGAATATCCCTAAAATATGCTCTAAAATTAATTAATAAAAAAATATAAGATTCTATTTTAGATAATCACATAAAATTATTTTATTCATCAATACAACTTCAAATAATGTTAACTATGCAAGATCCACTCTCTATTAAAAAATATTTTATTTTTGTTAAACACGTGTCAAATTATTCATATATAGTTTAGGACCATTTTAAGCATTTTAAAATTTAAGAAACCAAACAAAAACATATTTATGATATAAGGACCAAAATGAAAAAAATTAAAATTAGCTTTAACAAAACTTACAACGTATTTCAAGGAAAAGAATAATCGTGCAACATAAAAATCAATGTTGAGCATTGTCTGCTTTGTCCAAGTAAGGAGCGAGTTACCAAAAAGGGAGAAGAAAAAAAGAAGAAAGCAAGGGCAAGAATGTAACAAGACTGCTCGATTGAGTGGCATAATAGCAATCAAGCAAACAATAGAAGGATTTTAAATTGACAATTAAAAAAGAGAAAAAAGTGATGAGAAATGGACGAAGCAGATGAAATAAACTATTGATTTTTTTTTTTTTTTTTTGTGTAATGTCACATAATTAAATCCACACGCACACAAATAGACTTGTAAAAAACCCTAGGTGGGTTATGTTTTAAGTTGAGACATAGAATATGTAATTTTTTTTTTAAAAAAAAACCACTCAACATTTTTTTTTTTTTTTGAGAATTAACTTACAATTGAAATAATATCATAAACATTTAAGCAATATTTATTTGAAGTGTTTGATCATTGTGGGGTTTTTTTTAATAAAAAACAAATTTAGTCCCTAAGTTAAAAAGCTTTTCAATTAGACCTTTACATTTCGAGAATATGATACACACACACTCACAAGAGGGTATGCATCATGAATCCAAACTTTAAAGCTTCTATTCGCTGTATAGACTTTTCTGACCATAATAATTTTAATATTTATTAATTATTTTTAATGAATATTTATTGAATTAAATTTGTATTGCATCTTATTTGTATCCTATACATTATCATTTCTAATGGAATCTCTACCTTATTTTTCTTAGTATAGATGGTATATACATAATTCTTAAAGGTTCAGACGGATTGTTAGTGAATCTATGCGAGATCCACGATTCAAATTAATTCTAAAGATTACCACCTGATTTTTTCTTTTTGGGCATGGACAAGTACAAATATGGATTATCCATGGGATTATCAATTTGACTAAAAAAGGTTTAGTCTTCGTACAGAAAAGCGGCTAGGATATCTTAAATGCCATGACATTGAATTATTATCGGGAAAACATTAAATATACTACGGAACTATTGGAATATTATCAATTTTAGATCCAAACTCCTTTTTCATCAATTCTACCGCAAAATTGTTTTGATTTATCAATGAAGGATTTAAATTAAAATAATTTAAATTTAAGTCCCTACAAAATGATGTTGTTTCTAACAAAAAAAATAGTAATTTGGATGAAAATTTAGATGAAAAGCCTTAAAAAATAGATATATGTTTTCAATTGAGTATTTTTAAAAGTTCGAAGATAAAATTATACAAAAAATTGTTTGGTAGTGACATTGAGATTAACTATATAGTTGAGTGATTTTTTCATGTTTGTCCATTATTATTTGGGCCCTGTCTTTTTAATAAAATAATTTTAGTCATTTTTTTTGATTTAAACGAATCCAATGTCAAGTCTCTATCTTTTTGTTAGTTTTTTTCATGATAATTTAATTTCTTTTTTCCCCTAAAATACCCTTCATTTCTAATTATAATTTCCAATGTCCACAACACTAAAACTACATTTAAAAAGACCAATAAGGAAATTTCGAAACGATTTAACACTCAGAATTGGTCAAGGGGCTCACTTACGATTTTCAAAAAAAGAAGAACTAACTCACAAAATCATCAAAACATACAGTGACTAAACTGTAATGTAGTCAACTTCCTTTAAAAAGAGAGAGAGCAAAGTCCTAAAGACATGGTACGACGTCGTTTGTTAAAAGGTCTGTTTTGGTCTTCTAACAGAACCAACGAGTTTGTGCCCCCAAATCTCGTATCTCGATGTCTTCCTTGTTAATAATCTTGGAAACGTAAATAAAACCCACCAATTTCTACCACTTTTGACAACGTGAAACGTAAACCAGTGACCCAAAACAACCGCCAACATACAAAAAAAAAAAAAAAAAAACCCCAAAAAAGAACCCTATAGAGATGCACTTCTGTTTGCCTAACCCAGTTAAAAGTTTTCATGAACGCATCCTTTTGATGCTCTCTCTCTAGATTTATATATATTTCCTCTGTCTCTCTCTCTCTCGTTTGTTTTTTTGGTCACGGGACATAAATAAGCCCAATTGCCCACAGAAGCACATCTCGTCCTAGCCGAATTTGCGAAAGACATAGGAAATTGGCAAAAGAAAAAAAACACAAACAAATCCCCAACCCGTTAACCTTAACCCAAACCTACCAAAACAACAACAACAACACTACTGGGGAAAAAAAAAGGTGATCTTTCCTTCCAAACTCACTCTCTTATTCTACTACGTTACAGGACCGTAACTATGTCTTATTTATTTTGCTTGTCTATTCACTAATTATTATGTAGGTATGTGTGTCACATTTTATTTTCTTGCAATCAATTGTGAGACCTAGCTATAGCTGCTGCTATGTACGTCTGGTGTTCGCTGCTGCTCGTGCCTGGTGGTGTCCGAACCCAAAAAAAAAAAGGAAAAAAAAAAACAACTTGTTATCTTCGGAAAAAAATAATGGACATGCAATTAAAGACAAACCCTTTTTGATTTAAGGACTTTTGTTTTAGGGATTTTTAGGTTTAATCAATTAGGGGTTTTTTATTTAATTTTGGATCAGATAGACCCCACCATCTAGGGCATGCATGTTTAACATGATGTTGATCGTGTACAAAATCTGGTTGGGGGTTTTGGATGGTGTAAATCTATTGTGGGGTTTTTACACTTACGGTTACGATTAATGGTGAAATGATGCTAATGTAGGGTTCTATGGCACGTTTTGTATCTGGGTTTGGTGGGTTAGGGTTTTAGCTGATAATCTCTGCAAAAAGTTTTAGTCTTGGAGGTGGGTTTTTTATTTTAAGGATCTGGGTCTTTTTTAATTTTTCTTATCAATTAATTTATAATGTTCAGTTGTTTTGTTTAATATGTTTGTTTAGTTGTGCTGCATTGTCTTGGCACTGTAGCAGAAGCTATGTGTTACAAGTTTATAATAGTAGATAGTGAAATAAAAATTTAATTTTTGCTTTCGCAAACCTCTATAATGTACATGGGTTCCTTGATTTGAATTTTGCTATGCACAGAAACCGCTAGATTTTGATGAATGTAGTATTTGTTGTTATCTTCATTGTATTAATTTGATGAATTCAATTCAATCCTTTTCTCAAATGATTGGTTTGATGGGATTTTAATTGAATATATTTGATTTAGATTTTGCTTGTCTTTTTTTTTTTTTTAATATTAATATCGATATCTGTTTTTTCAAGTAATTATCTATGCATAGATTATGCTCATTTAATGAGGTTTGATTTGGTAAAAAAAAGATATTACTTTGCAAATTTATTACGAATAAGCAACCATGGTAAGTTATGCACATAAGGTGACACGGATGAGATACAGAAGGAAGTGACTTTATGCCGAGTGGTTCTATTATTTATGAAATGATAGAATTTTACTGGACCAATATTGAAAAAGAAAAGAAGCAGAAATTGCAAGTAACTAGGTTTGGGCTTTGGAAGCATTGGGCAACTTGAATTCTTTGAGTTTTATTAACTCATGGAGAAAAATGATAACTACAGTTGTGAATTGTTAATGGATGTTCACTTAATATCAAGGGAATGACTAGCAAAAGCAAAGTATAGGGAAGTTTTATTCATTCAGAAAAATGGGTAACAGATTTTGATGAAAATTGATTAAACATGATTTTTACAGGTAGATAGTTATGAGTTTATGTGGAAATTCATTGATAAGATGAATTATTGTTCATTATATTCAAGATGGTTGTGATTACTCCATCTTCCTTTGGTGTAGTCGTCTTGTGAAATATTGGAAGTCATTAATTTAATTAAGTTCATGTTATGCACACCTTGGGTCAGGACTGTCCCTGCAACAGTAATGGATAGTTTGGCTTTTCTTTTTCTTTTTTCTTCTTTCTGGGGTAGAAAGTCTAGAACTTCATATAAAATGCGTACAAAATTTTTAATAGGGAATGCTGGAGAACATTTTTAAAGGGGGAATTTTTAATTTTGAGTTCGTAATGTTAAATTGTTTGCAGTTAAAGATTCTTCAATCTCTTTCTCAAGGCTTCTGGCCATTAATTTATCGCCTATGTTTGTATTTGCAAGTCTTTAGAGTTCTTTTAACTCTTTTTCCCACACCATGGTCACTGTTTATATTTATTCTATACGAAAAGTGCCGATTTGTATGCATTTGAAAACTTTTTGCACTACCCTTTTCTGTTGCTATAGAGAAGAAGGCTTGAATTAATGTGTGCTTACAATAGTTAGATAAAGCATTACAGAGGTGGGGGGAGGATGCTTTATATTACATGTGCTTAAACCCAGAAACTTGGCATGCATATTGATTATCTGCCATTTGATGTTTCCCTACATATCTGAGAATTTGTTAGGCCAATAGTTGGCTTGATTAGCTAACAAGAGAACACACTATGTTGAAATACTTTACAACAGATTGTTTGGAAGTTTACCCTTTAAGGCCCTTTTCAATTAGCACCGTTCTATGACTGGTAGCTTTTGTTATTTTCTAAACGTTCTTCCGATTGTTTGATGTGTTGGCCTTCGCTTGGACAGGGAAATGAGTTTGGAATGACCACTACATGTTTTGTGCGACTGCAGAATTTAGTTTAAATTATGGATGTTCTTCCTTGTAATGGTGTTCAGTATGTTGGAGAATCTGATTGTGCTAGACAGAGTTCGGGGACAGATTTTACTTATAATGGAGAATCTAGTGGTTTTAAACGTGTAGAACAAGTTGAAATGAATGATGGCAGAGTGAATGAGTTATTGCTAAATGTAGAAGAGTCCCGTATAGAAAGACAAAGTGAGGGCCAACTGACAGTGGATGAATTTCCTAACTCTGAAGGTGGAGCTTCATATTCTGATTGTCATGTAGAGAGCCAAAGGTTATCTTGCGATTCCCAGGATTTTGAAGAAGATGACATAAATGTACAGAATTATTGCATAGAACCCTGTGCAGCCTTTGAAAACTCTAATTTAATTGTTGACACCATTGAAAGTGAACCAAACGACTGTAAGTATGGAGAGCCATCTCTTCCGGAGCCTCAGTGGCTAGAACATGATGAATCTGTGGCACTATGGGTCAAGGTAACTTTTTTTTTTTATTATTATCAACTTACTTCCATGAAAGGCACAGTTTGTTGATTTCAAGATGTCACATGCCATGTGCTTGAAAATTTATCTTTTGAGGCTTGGATTGTGCTAGTGGTGCCATCCTTTTTGGGGGTTCATCTGGCTTTGTCTTTCACTTGCTCATTTTTAAAAGGAACAGAGTTTTTATCTAGGCATTTTAAAATTCCTGTGCATTAATTTTTAATTTGTGCTGAGTTTAATTTTCATGCTGATACTTCGATGATTTTCCAAGTATAGTGGAGAGGGAAGTGGCAGGCAGGAATCAGATGTGCACGGGCGGACTGGCCATTGTCAACTTTGAGAGCCAAACCAACTCATGATCGAAAGCAGTATTTTGTGATATTTTTTCCGCACACCAGGAATTATTCCTGGGCAGATATGCTGCTTGTCCAACCTATCAATGAATTTCCAGAGCCTATTGCATATAAGACTCACAAAATCGGACTAAAATTGGTTAAAGATTTGAGTGTTGCACGACGATTTATAATGAAAAAGCTGGCTGTTGCCATGCTGAATATTGTTGATCAGTTTCATTCTGAGGTATGTTTTTTGATGCTTTGTTGTTCTTTTTCAAACTCTGATAGAAACTCATACCTTTACCTTCTGTCATGCTTACTTGAAATTTATGTCTCTGTTCTTTCATACCTGTCATAGGCTTTAATAGACACAGCTCGTGATGTGATGGTCTGGAAGGAATTTGCCATGGAGGCTTCACGATGTAGTGGTTATTCTGACCTTGGAAGAATGCTTCTGAAACTTCAAAAGGTAAACTCCTTTCTCCATTGAGGTGTAGGTACTAAGACTCTTGAGATTAATTTTCCCATTTTCTTTCTCTAATGCAGCAATTAAAACTTACAATTTAGAAAAGCAAGCCCCCCAACTAATTGACAAAGGCATGCATTTGTTCCTGTGGTTTTATATGCATTGATGCACGTGTCCATATAAACGGGGGATAAACCAGTTATGAATATACTTTACTATTTGCAAATTAAGTACTTTATTAGTTGCATTTCTTTGGTTTTTGTTAATGAATCTATTTCATTGTATGTTAAATTTCCATGCTCATGTGTTTTTCTTTGTAGGCTGTAAAATTTAGGTGCATTGGGCCATTTCAAGACTTTTTTCCCTCCTGCATATGTTAAAACCTGGATTTGTTTTTTTTTTTTTCATTTACCAAATATTTCCCTTGAATTAATTTAAACACCGAACAATTTCTCTCTCTTTCTCCCTCCCTGTCCTCTCTGTGAATGATAATGTAATGCCAATTGTCCTTTCTCTGCAGATGATATTACAACGGTACATAAATTCTGATTGGCTGCAGCATTCTTTTCAATCCTGGTTACAACAGTGTCAGGTTGCATGTAGTGCTGAATCCATAGATTTGCTTCGGGAGGTATGTGTTAACTTGGCTGTTGGCATGTTAATTTGACTGCAGGTTGTGCTGAGGTGTAATGGGCGTGCTGGAGTTACCATTTTCTGTTATAATAGTATACATTTGGTTCCTTGATATGGTATGTGATATAGTCATCTACCATGTGAGACTTTCTAGAAAATTGACCAAAAATGGTAGGTTAATGTCAACTTAACCTAAATCACTAAAATTTATTTGTAATGCAAAAACATCAAATTCATGTTTTTTCTTCTTGTGATTAATTTGCGAATGTCAAACCAATAACCAATTGATGCATATTTAATGTATTTGTTATAAGAGCTGGCCTGCCTGATTTCCACAATTGTGTCTGATTGAAGTACATAGCAAGCAAATGCCACTCAATCTGTGGGCATATAAACTTTCAATACAGTAGGTCTCTCCTTATTTTAGGTTAACCCTGTCTCATGGGTTGCTTCATTCGTGCAAGGATACATGGTGGATTGCTGGCCATTAGGCTTCAGCTTGCACCTGCACTGCCCACCTCCCTTTCTGTGCTAACTTGTGTTATCTTATATCTTTGTCTCTAAACATTTGGTGATTCTGGCTTTATGTGATTCAAGGAATTGTCCAATTCTATCCTATGGGATGAAATTGACTCTCTCCGGGATGCACCAGTGCAATCGACTTTGGGATCTGAGTGGAAAACCTGGAAGCATGAAGCTATGAAGTGGTTCTCAATCTCTCACCTTGCAACAAGTGGTGGAGATATGGAGCAGCAGAATTGTGACAGTCTCTCCCCAACCATTAGTCTTCAAGCTAGCAGGAAGAGGCCAAAGCTTGAAGTTCGTCGTGCAGAGACACATGCTTCCCAGGTGGAGATTAGCAGTCCACTTCAAACTACGACTGTTGAAATTGACTCTGAGTTTTTCAATAATCGAGATCCTGTCAATGCTCATACTTTAGAATCAGAGCTTTCTAAAGAGGATGATTTTAGGGAGGTAGCTGCACCTATAGAGTCACCTTGTAGCGTGGCTGATAGATGGGATGAAATTGTAGTTGAAGCAGAAAATTCTGAGCTTGTACCAACCAAAGGTGTAGAAATTACTCCCGTTAATGAACTTTTGGGTAAGAAAAGCAGGGACCTTGGGAGTAAGAATCGCCAGTGCATGGCTTTTATTGAATCTAAGGGAAGGCAGTGTGTGAGGTGGGCAAATGATGGTGATGTTTATTGTTGTGTGCATTTGGCCTCTCGTTTTGCTGGAAGCTCCACAAGAGGAGAGGCAAGTCCTCTTAGTCACAGTCCATTGTGTGAAGGTACCACTGTTCTTGGTACTCGATGCAAGCATCGGTCTCTACCAGGTTCTGCATTCTGTAAGAAACACAGACCCCGGCTTGATGCAGAGAAGACCTCAAATTCGCCAGAGAATCCCCTGAAGAGAAAACATGAAGAGATCTTTCCCAGTTCAGACACCACATATTGCAAGGAGATAGTATTGGCTGGACAAGTTGAAAATCCCCTTCAAGTGGAACCTGTCTCAATAATGGATGGTGATGCCTTTTATCGAAGGAACAGCTTACCTGAGAAGCTTGAGCATCCTGGCCATGATTGCAATAGCTCTGAGATGCTACACTGCATAGGCTCAATCGTCCTTGATGGTAGTGTCCCTTGTCCTGAGAGTCCGAAGCGCTATTCGCTGTACTGTGATAAACACATTCCTAGTTGGCTCAAGCGTGCTAGAAATGGTAAAAGTAGGATAATATCAAAAGAAGTGTTTATAGATCTTTTGAAGGATTGTAGCTCCTCACAGCAGAAATTGCATTTACATCAAGCATGTGAGCTTTTCTACAAGCTTTTCAAAAGTATTTTCTCTCTAAGAAACCCAGTTCCTATGGAGGTTCAACTTCAGTGGGCCCTCTCTGAAGCTTCTAAAGATTTCAATGTTGGGGAACTCTTGTTGAAGTTGGTTTTCACTGAAAAGGAGAGACTCAGAAGGTTATGGGGCTTTGCTGTGGAGGAAGATTTACAAGTTTCGTCCCCTGTCTTGAATGAAGCAGCAAGTTTGCCATTGGCTATTGATGGTAACCATGATGATGAAAAATCTATTAGGTGCAAAATTTGCTCAAAGGAGTTTCTCGATGATAAAGAGCTTGGTGACCACTGGATGGACAATCATAAAAAGGAAGCACAGTGGCATTTCAGAGGTCATGCTTGTGCCATCTGCCTGGATTCTTTTACTAACAGAAAAGGTTTGGAAACCCATGTGCAGGAGAGACACCACGTGGAATTTGTTGAACAGTGCATGCTTCTCCGGTGCATTCCTTGTGGCAGCCACTTTGGGAATACTGAGCAGTTATGGTTGCATGTCCTCTCTGTTCACCCTGCTGATTTTAGGCTGCCAAAAGGGGCTCAGCAGCTTAATCCCTCTATGGTTGAGGAGAAAGAGGATTCTTTGCAGAAACTTGAGCTACAAAATGCAGCATCAATGGAAAATAACTCTGAGAATTTCAGTGGTGTAAGAAAGTACATTTGCAAGTTCTGTGGCCTGAAGTTTGATTTGCTACCTGATCTTGGCCGCCACCATCAGGCCGCTCATATGGGACCAAATCTATTCAGCTCTCGGCCCCCAAAGAGAGGTGTTCGATATTATGCTTATAGATTAAAATCTGGAAGACTTAGCCGTCCTAGATTTAAGAAAGGTCTGGGGGCAGCAACATATAGCAGCATCAGGAACAGGGTGACTGCTGGTCTGAAGAAACGTATCCAGGCATCAAAGTCACTTAGCAGTGAGGGACTAAGCATGCAGTCTAATTTAACTGAGGTAGGGACTCTTGGTAGATTAGCAGAATCTCAATGCTCAGCAGTTGCAAAGATATTGTTTTCTGAGGTTCAGAAAACAAAACCTCGGCCTAATAACCTTGATATCTTAGCTATTGCACGCTCTGCTTGCTGCAAGGTGAGCCTAAAAGCATCACTGGAGGGGAAATATGGAGTGTTGCCAGAACGCTTTTATTTGAAAGCAGCCAAGCTCTGCAGTGAGCATAACATTCAAGTACAGTGGCACCAGGAGGAATTTATTTGTTCCAGAGGATGTAAGAGTTTTAAGGACCCAGGATTATTCTCACCCTTGATGGCTCTTCCAAATGGTTTTATGGGGAAACAAATGATACATTCATCTGATCCTGTAAACAGTGAGTGGGAGGTTGATGAGTGCCACTATGTTATCGATGCGCATGATGTTAGCGAGGGGCCTAAGCAAAAGGCTACTGTGCTGTGTACTGACATAAGCTTTGGGAAGGAACCAATACCAGTGGCATGTGTTGTAGATGAAGATCTCCTGGATTCCATCCATGTCTTGGCAGATGGTTCTGATGGTCAAATCAGTAAATTCCCCAAGCCCTGGGAAAATTTTACCTATGTAACAGGGCCATTGCTTGATCAATCCGATAGTCTGGACATTGAGGTATCTTTTGGTTCATTATCTACTTTTTTCTAAAAAAAATTTAATTTGATTTCGATTATGACCAATTATAGCAATGTAGAATGCACTTGTTGATTGTCTCCCACCTTGGAGATGATTGAACCCTAGTTGGCTACTAAGGACACTGCAATTCAAAATATAAAACACATACATAGACACACATGCATTGAGATAGAGAGAGAGGAAGAAAAACACTAAGCAAATGCTCATGCATGTCATCAGCTTATCCATATAATTTGAGAAATGAATTTATGTATTAAACACACTGCTTTTTCTCTTCTCCCCTATCCCCTTCCCCATCCCTTTTTATGTAGAGTTTGCAACTGGGGTGTTCTTGCCAATATTCAGTGTGCTGTCCTGAAACATGTGATCATGTTTATCTCTTTGATAATGACTATGAAGATGCGAAAGACATATATGGGAATTCCATGCTTGGCAGATTCCCATATGACGATAAAGGGCGGATTGTGTTGGAGGTACTGTTATTTTCTTTTTGCCGTTGCAAATAGTTACTGATTACCACTCCAAAGTTGATGCTGTTTTGATAGCTGAGTATGCATGATTTACTGCTTATGGAGCAGCTTTCTCACTCCTTGAACTTTCTATTTTCCTGCAAGATTTTTTATTGGTCTGCTGCTTTCAAGAATGTCTATTATGGTGACTGATACATGCCATAGTTTCTCCCTTTTGTATCACTTGCCAATTTGATTCCATAAACTGTATTTAGGAATTCTCTTATGAAAAATAATGTAAAAAATTAACATCCTTTCACATCACCACCTTGCTCCATTTCCCCTTCATAAGGAATTTTACTTGGTCTGATGAAGGGGAGATGACATGAAAGCTAATTGAATTTCAAATAAGTTGAAAAGATTAGAAATTTTTTCATGTTATGAAACATCATTGAACTAATAATAATGCTCTCTCTCTCTCTCTCTCTCTCTCTCTCTTTTGTGAGGGAGGAAAGAGGTAACTGTATTGGAATGGGAAGAATTTATAGACATCCTCCCATAAATGTTAGAAGAAACAAAATGAAACACAAGATCATTAGAATTCTGTTGATTATCAGCTTAGTAAACATTACTAAAGGTTTCTAAAGCATTATACCATAAAGAAGGAACCCTCTCCTATCCCACTAAAGTTCCCTCAAAGTCAAGGATGATGCCACTTCTTTATTGACTCTACAGTATACTGAATACAGCATATTGCTTTCAACTGCTCGCAACACTGATTAAGCCTTCAAGTACAAATGTGATGACTGAAAAGGATTGGTTGACGATGCTTCCAAGTATCTAATATCAGACCTTTTGATTTGATTCTATATGATGAGAAAAACCGTGTTGCTTTTGGCCTACAAGATCACTAGGTCTTAATTTTTCTCCTAATAGAGGTAATTAGTTCATAAACATGTAAACTCTGTACCACATGTTTCATTTATATGTGCAAAATCTATTTGACAAGCGGATATAACTTTTTATTTTCACTAGGTCTTAATTTTCCTCCTAATAGAGGTAATTAGATCATAAACATGTAAACTCTGTACTGCATGTTTCATTTATATGCACAAAATCTATTTGACAAGCGGATATGGCTTTATATCTTGGTTCTCTCTCTTTGCCTCTGTGTGTGACGTTGCGGGAGGTTGGTTGGGAATGCAAGCTCGTTTTACTGTTGAGAGCATTTTAAACATTTCTTGCAAAATCGTGCAGGAGGGTTACCTTGTTTATGAGTGCAATAGCATGTGCAGCTGCAATAAAACTTGCCCAAATAGAGTTTTGCAGAATGGAATACGAGTGAAATTAGAAGTCTTCAAAACAGATAATAAGGTAACAAACCTTCCAATTAGAGTTTTGATTTCAATTGTTCACTCTTCATATAGCACCACATTAACTTCTGTATTTGCTGAAAAACAGGGTTGGGCGGTCAGGGCAGTTGAGCCAATCCTACGTGGTACATTTATATGCGAGTACATTGGGGAGGTTTTAGATGAACAGGAGGCAAACAATAGGCGTGAGAGGTTATAAACTTTGGAAGATGCAATTTTGGCTCTTTTTTATTTTTTATTCTGTGATGTTTTGAATGAGCTCTGTTTGATTTTTAGGTATGGTAATGAAAGTTGCAGCTATATGTATAAAATTGATGCTCATACCAATGATATGAGCAGAATGGTTGAGGGAGAGGCCCATTATTTTATTGATGCCACAAAGAATGGGAATGTTTCACGGTTCATCAACCACAGGTAGGGAATTTTGTTAGGTAGTATTCCTTGCATTAGTGTTCTGTATAGCTTGAGAAAATTGCTTCTTGGAGGCAAATATCTCAACTATTATTGTGAACCAAGCAACTCCAGAAGGTAGTTCACCTGACTGACTTTGGTGAAGGAGTCCCATCATGGCCTTTAACGCACAAAGTAGCTAACCGTCTGACCAGAACTGCAAATCAGTGAACATGATAATCTTGTTGATTTCTCCAATCAAAATTTCTGTTTGAACCTGGAAACAAATATTAAAAAGAATTTTTGTTTGAGGGTGCTTAATATATAGATATATGTGAGGATCTTGCTTCGAAGTATAAGTAGACAAATTTTGTTATATACTGTAGTTATATTTATATTTAAGTGATGGTTAGCAACATTCTTATGATTATTCATGGACATCTCTATAGCCTCTTTTTTCTAGCTTGATGGTGGGATGGTTTAGGACTTTGTAAGAAGGGAAAAAGGAGCTGATAATTTAATAATACCCTAAAGCATTACGATTCAACTGCTTCTCCTTTCTAAGGAGTGGGGTCTTTACAGCATGCTCCTCAAAATTAGAAGCTTTAGCTATTGGTGTGTAATTTTAACATATAAACTTTCAAATGCATCAACACTTGAAGTGACTGTACTAGCCTGTATTATAAGGGAAGAAACCTTGAGAGTGAGGTAGATGGTGGAACAGGTTTGGTTAACTGATTAGCTGCCTTCATTTTCTGGCCTGTTAATTTATCTGCTTTAAGCTGTGCTTGTTGATTTACACTGGACATTTTTTTATTTATTTTGGTAGCTGCATGCCAAACCTTGTGAGCCACCAAGTTCTGGTTAACAGCATGGATTCTCAGCGCACTCATATTGGCCTTTATGCAAGTCGGGATGTAAGTGCTCTCCCTATTCCTTCTTGAATATCAATTTTTGTATGCATGGAACTGGGGATGTTGAGGTGCATATATTTTTTCTAGAATCTTAAATGAAACTTTAAGAATATTGATTTTCTTATTAGTTCAATGGAAGGTATTTTGTGAGATACATTTTTGGGCTTTTTGCCCATTCATGGTGCATGATATGTGGGAGGGGTTCATCTTTACTTTATAGAATACTGCATCTATTTGTAATATCATTTATTGTCTCAGTACTGTGTCTGTATAGATTACTTGCACATTTCATTATTTGGTTAACCATATATCTGCAGATAGCTTTTGGTGAAGAACTGACTCACAACTATTGCTACGAGCTGCTGCCCGGAGAAGGCCATCCTTGCCATTGTGGAGCTTCAAAATGCCGAGGTCGCTTGTATTAAATCTAAAATAATATCTTGCCCTCTCCTGCCTAAAACAATGGGATGTAGAGATCCTGACATGACAACCAGATTCAGATCTGTTCAAGGATACTCTTGTTGGCATTTATTGGCTGATCAATAGTAAGTAGCTGACTGAGTGGATTTTTGGCATCAAGCTGACAAGATATTGGCCAAGTACCGAGCAACGGAGTCAGAGGCCTGTGATCCTAGGAGCTACAATCATCTTCGTGATGAACTTTTTTTTAATTGTCCCGGCAAGTAGCTAGTGTTTATTCTCATTTATTGATATACACTTTCATTCATAAAGAGGACATCCGTAATCGTTTCTTGGGTTCCTGGTTTAGTGCAAAGTGTAGAAGGCTTAATTCCCCCTCCCCTCCTTTTTCAAGATTGTAGGTATATGTGCTCTCTCCTGTTATGGCTATTCTTTTTATTCTAATACATAAATTGCTAGTTTTTAAATAATCCTCCATAGCCATGCTTGCCAAGTTAGCGTATAATTAAGACTCCATAGTTTTCTCAGCACATTTTGGTTTGCATGCTCTGCGGTGGCATCGCATTGAATTACTGTGCGAAAATGGATGAAAGTCATTGCTGCTTGTTGCAGGTGAAATCTGGGTTTCTCTGTTAGCCTTTTACGAATCAACAGGAGCTCTAGCAAAATCCTCTATATGATGTACAAGTTTACAGGGAACTGTCCAGTAACGATTTTGAGAGACATAATTTGTAATTTGCAATTTTATTTTAATTTTTTTTTATCTTCTTGCAAAAATTCTACTATGTGGAAGGTTCAATTTCACCTTTTCGTTTCATCTCCTTCCCTCTCCCTTATTTCTCTTGCATCTATAGTCATTCCTACATGATAGCATCAAACTTGCCAACTCTATTGGATGGTGGGAAGTTTAATAATTTGCTTGTTTTTATTGTTCCTGATGTGCTTGTAATAATATTAAATTTTATTTTATTTTTTTCTACCTGAGTCTTGATCTGGTTTTGTAGTTTAGACACTGAGTTGATTTGGATAGCTGTATAATTCCTTTAAATAGACTACAATTCCTTTTTGTCTAGGTTTTTGTTAAAAGCAATATAGGTATAGTGAATATTAGGGTGGAGAGGCCCAACCAATAATAGAAATGAACCAATTGCTGTAATCCCAAAGAGTTTCTGTTATAAAGATTTAGATTAATTTATCGTTATTTAGTTGAACGCATAAGCAAATATAGTTCTTTGTTTTATCGGACTCATATGATGAAAGCTGTTGTTCAAAGAGTTTTTGGCATATATAAAAACTAAAATTCGAGATTTTAAACAATTAGAGTTTTTTTCACTTAGACCAACTCTCTTAAACGTTATCTTTAGAATGTTATCAAAAGTATTATGTAATGTCTTGGAAAAAGCATCAAACCTCAAAATCCCATAAACAAGCATAACCAAATCAACCGTCCTCTCCTGTCACCACTACCGTTTAAATGGAACCAATCGCACAAATAGAGAATTTGTCTAGGAAGTTGGCAATTGACTCTGGTGGAAGTGATAAAAGGGTGGACTTGACAAATTAACAGCAAAATCCTACTCGAATCAGAAATGTCCCATTTTAAAAGGATTTCAGGTGGTTTTGTTCCTTGATATGATCAAACTTCATTTCTCCATCTTGAATCGCAAAGAAAACAAAAGGGAGTCCAAAACTGAAGATCACCAAGATTGCCATCCCTACATTGATAATTTCTTTAATTAGTGTCATAAAATCACAACAATCAATTTTGGTTAATGAACTAGAGTAGGTCTAATGCATTTACCATATTCAACAAATCTTGGAAATTCCCTTCTCTTTCTTGGTATCATGGGATGTTTTGGTTCTGATGATGCTTCCAAATGCAAAATCATGGAAATCACAACCAACCCACTTCCAGTTTTCTCCCTTACAACTCTCTCACTCAAATCTAATGACCAAAAGCCAACCGTTCCACTTACAAAATCTTCTATGAAAACCTTAAGAAACATGAATATACCAAACCACAATGTCACCTTTGCAATTTGCCTGATCGTTGTATTGGAGATTGCCCAGTTCAGCAGATTAACGACACAAGCACAAGCATAGAGAGGGAACCAAAAGTACCAATCTTTAAATTAAAAAAAAAAAAAATTTCAGAAAGAAGAACAAAAAATTGAAAAAGTTCAGTTTTTTTTTTTGGATACTCACAGGAATTACTGAAAACATGATAAAGGAAAGCAAAGTACCAGGGTCATTTAGCTGGACTGATGCAGAGTAACCAAAGAGTGCAGCCATTAGTAGAGAACACAAGCTGAATACTATAGTTGTTGCCATGTTTTTCTCTTTCAGAGCTCAGGCATCAAAGTGGTGGATCAAGGCAGGGGATTAAACCTTAATGGTCAACTTCTGATACATGAATTGAATTATACTTCTTATCTATATCTAGCTGACATTATTTATTTTCTTAGGGGGCAATTACCACAAGTTGCAACCAATTGAACAATTAATTTATTACGTTGACTATCCGCTCAGTCACTAACAGAGGTGGAGCTAGGGTTTGTAATTAAGGAGGGGCAAAAATAAAAATACCATTTCGATAGGTTTTATTATATAAATAGCATTACTTTACTATGTAATTAATGTTGGATTTAAACAAAATTATTACTTTAAAATTGAATTATAAAACACAAAATAGTTTTTTCATTTAAATGATAATCTCATGTACAATTACTCCACTATTTAGTAGATATGTCTGGGAGTAATGGGAAAGCTTCAAAAACTAACTATTGGGAGCAAATGTCTAGAAAAAAGGCAGACAAATTCAAAATCCTTAAACTATTAAGGACTATTATGCATTTTTTTGAAAAAATTAAGGAAGGCAATTGGTGTTACGTTGAGGAGATCGATATGGATGGAAGCCTATAGTATAAGACGCTATACGGATCCAGCACAACGGTCTCGGTAGCCGATTAACAAGCGGAGGTTAAGCGGGCAGCGCCCTTGCGAGGGCTCGGGAGTGTAGCCTTTGAAAGATCTATTAAATATTGAGCTAGATGTATAGGCTCATTAAACTTTTTTTTCTTTATAACTCTAGTCGTCCGCACTATAAATAGAGATAACATCACTTGTATTTATAACCGTCACTTGATAAAATCTAATAAGAAATACTAATGTAGTATTAGAGTAGATACTATTGTAGAACCACTTAAAATCCTTATATTGTATGATTGTATTTGTCTTTCTATCATATTTTTTTGCTTGATTCGTTTCCTAACACCCTTTTCTTAGGTGTAGCTCCGCCCTGGGTCACTGATCAATGCAAGGTAATAGCTTTTATTGCTTTAAATTTGCTAGGCTGCAAGCATTGCAGCTTGATGATCAAGTTGGTCTATTTAAGGGTAATTGCGAATCTGGATTTTGCTAGGTAATATCAAGAGGCATTTAGTCCAATGGTGCTGCTTTCTATTTCAAAGCATGAAGGAGGCAAGACTCAAATTCGAGTCCTACCCTAATTACCTTACAAATAATGCTTGTAAAAAGATAAGAGTAGGCCCTGAAAAATGAATAATTCAATCCAAGATAAATTCCAAAAAGAATTGAAAAAAAGAAAAAGGAAAAAGAAAAAGAAAAAGAAAAAGAAAAAGGCAGTGCTAGCCTATTCAGCCTTGCACAATTATTTGACTTTTGGCTGGACCTGTATACGTTAAGAAGTTGATGGGAATGATGATAAGAGCAAGAGCACATGGCTATCCTGGTTTTGGGTAGCAAAAGAAGGATTAAGACACAGGCATTGCAAGAAATTTTAGCGTCCTTGTCCAAGACATTGCTGTGCATGCTTGCTGGACTTTCTTACATGTAGTTCTTGTAAGCCAAAACATTCTACCTTCTTCTGTTGTTTTCATGGATAAAGTTGCTGTCTTTTTGTTACCTCAACTGAAGCTAACACTTCTGACAAAGTGTGTTTTTAGAGGAAAAAACACACACAAAAAAACGAAAAAAAGACGGATTCCAAACACAAGTTGGCAGCTTTTCTTTCCCAAATTAATCTCATCAATTGCAGTAATATTGACAAATTGATTTTTTTTTTTTGGAGCTAAAGAGGCCCCTCACAAGTTTTGGAGTGTATTACATAAATAATCGATTGATTAATTAATAGAGAATGATCCATAACCAGCATATATCAAGTGCAAATTAATATTGATGTGAAATTTTGGAGGAACAAAATCTATATAGATATATGAGAAGAAGAATTAATAGTTTATAATCATGAAAATCAAACGCAACCAAACCAAATTCAGGACCTGGAATGGTTTTGTCCGAAAAGCACAGCAACAACCATAATCAGTAAACAGTACTGACTGTCAACGCGGGAGGTACATAGATTCTGTTTGGAATCCATCTTTTTTCTTTTTTTGTGTGTTTTTCCCTGTGGTTTTGCTTTGCTGGAAAAACAGGGGAACACTGGAATGACAATCTACGGAGTTTTGTTTTGTTGTACCAATTACCGATGCGGGGTGGCTCATTTCAAGTCGTTTAGAGATGAAACTTCGTCTCAATTAACTCGTAACTGACTAGAGGATCCTTTACTGTCGGACAGAAAATTTAAAGGGTTTTGTCATGTTCATTGAGGTTCCTAAACTGCACCTAACATGGATTGATTTGATTTGGTTTTTGTCCAGAAGTAGTAGAAGGGGCTCTGTAGATATGAGCAGAGGAATGGTTTTGCAGACAATACAATGCGTGTGAGCCACTCGTTTGATAGACCTTCCAAAATCAGCCCATGAATGAACAGGTGACTGTCAACAGTATTTCTAAATGAGCAAAAAAAAAAAAAACGTAAAGTTGGCACGAAGATTAACAAAAATTCTCATAAATTTTCTATTTTGATCATGAATAGTTTCTTTTTGTTTATTGAAACAGAGAGGTGGACTTCCTCTTTTCTTTTTTTTGGGTGGAATAATTCTCAATGCATGAAAAGTTGGCTAGATATATTCTACTCAGATAGACTGAAAAAAACAGAAGGAAACTTTGGAGTTGTCTCTTGGGCTGTGTTTGTCCAGGGAAAATAAGTTTCATGAACTTAGTTTTTTTTATTTTTTCTCATTTTTTAATGTTTATTTCGCGTTTAAAAAATAAAATTAACAAAATTTGATTTTCAATCAATGAAAATTAATAGACTATATTTTGAAAAAGTGACTTCGAGCCAAAAAAAGAAAAGAAAAACATTTTCTCTTTTTTGCGAGTTGTCTCCCTCTCACGTTACTTCTCTTTCTCTTGATATATTTTAACAATTTTTTCTTTATTTCCTTTTTTTGTTTAAAACATATAAATTAATTTTTAATTAATTTTTATCAATTATTTAATTAATTTTTCTTTATTTCTACTAACATTTGATTTGTCGATTTATAAATACATTAAATATTTTTAAAAACTATTTTTACTCCTTAAAATTATTTTTATAATCAATATTTTAATAATTTATCTCTAATTGCTAAAAGTCAAAAAATATTTTTCAGAAAATAACTTTTTAAAAAATAATTTCTTCAAAATTGTTTCGGTTTTTTTATTGAAAGTTGTTTTCCGTGAAACGAATGGAGGCTTGAATAAAAATCATCCATCCTCATTGCTTGGCCTCTCATGATGAGCTTGCTTCCTGTTCAAACAAGACATGATTAGTCGGCATGTTGGTGATGTTTATGTGTGTAAAAGAGCTATGAATTAACCACTTGATTACAAGGTTCAACTTGCACGTGCCAAATAGTCAAAATTTGAAGTCAATGAAAGGAGGAATAGAATTATGAGTTAGGACATACAATTCCAAGACCTAACACATGAGGAGTGATGCGATGGTGGGCCAAAATTCCAGCAAGATCCATCTTGCCATGGTTCTCTTTTGGTGCTATTGATGATGAAAACGTGCTCTCTTTTTCTCAATGAAGCATCATCATTTGTAAACTCTAGCATTGCACTACAAGCCAGATGCCGACGTCCATGGCTAGCTTTATAAACAATGCAAAAGAAATCCTTTAAAGAAAGAATGAACAAAAGAAGTCGGTAAGTCAAAAGATTCAAAACTTCCCTCCAACATTTTTTTCACCTTAAGTATCAATTCTCTCTCTCTCTCTTTCTCAGATGCAATTTTGCCATTTGGAGGTGATGTTTTCTTCTGCTTTTTATAAAGCAAGATGGCAACTTAACAAGGAACAGAATGGAAGTATCAAATCCTTTGTGCAATGTGAATGATACTCCTTTCCTCTGCTTTTGTTACATGAATTGGACCCATTTATACTGTGGTGGAGATTTGAATTAGATTTTGCTGTGCCATATTAATCATTGACCAAAGATGCTGCTGCATGTATAAGCACTCTGCATTTTTTTTTTTAATCACAGGAAAGACTAAGCTCTAAGCAAAAAGTATTTTATTACAAAAAACGAGAGAAAGTAACTCCACAAACATCCTCTTGAGGTTACTACATTCTACTGGAGCATGCTCCAAATACAAAATGCCTAAAGAAAGAGAGTAAGCACACGATGCAAGCCGAGTTAGTCAAACGATTGGCTTCTCTAAAAGTGTGAGTAACCTGCACTTACCAAGGTTTATGAAGAAAATCGTAAATAGTGGATATCAACGGGAGATATTGACCACAATGACCTTTCGAAAACGAGTATTAAATTGACTACGAGTCAAAGAGTTCGATTTCAAAATAATATGTCGGTACTTAAGATTCCAAGCTATTTCCAATCCAACTACAATGCCCTAAAGTTTTGCATATAAGAAAGTATAATTCCCTATCCGAGTGAAAGAAACCTTGTAACCAAGTTCCTGTATCATCTCTAAAAACTCCCCTAACCGTAGCAATGCCAATTGACACTCGAAGAGCATAATTTGTATTGAGTTTTACCCATCCTATCCGTGGTTTGACCCACTTTGCATTTTTTTCAGCTATAACTTACTACACTAATATAATAGTAATAATTGTTAAGTATGACTTTTATTATCAAGTCTAAATATAGTATTGATCTATGTACAAGCTTAGTATCCATTAAAATTATGACATATTCTTTATAAATATGTGTTTAACTAGAGGTGACAATTTGCCATGTCCCGATAGAGCTTTACCCCACCCCCTCTCGGTATTAATTTTGAACGGGGATGGTATTTGCCTACCATGCCTCGTTTGCCTTGCTTAATCTTTAAAATTACAATTATATCATATATAAAATCTATAACTACTGATTCTTAATGTTTATTTTTTATATGAACTATTATTTTTTTTGCTATAATTTAAAATTTGATAATAGAATAGAATCGAGACGTGATAAAAAAAATAAAATTAAACAAGGCATTGATGTCTCAAGGGAATCCTTGTCCTCGTTTGGGACGGGAGTAGTATGAGAAATATTGCCCTATTGCCATTCCTATGTTTAACTGTATTTTGTACCATGAATGAGTGTGAAAAAAACATTTGAAGATAGTGTTGAGACATAACATTTACTACCGATATGTTTTTAGTTTCATTGATAATAAGGTTTTTATACCGGTATGAATTTCTTTTTTTCTCTATGTTCTGATTTGATCATACCAATTAGTCAATCACATTTCTTTAAGCTGAGCAAAACTTATCTACAACCTTAATATAATATCTTCCATGTATAGGCCGCAGCTGAATAAATCAAACTGATAAATACTCTTATAATTGCCAACCCAAAGAAACAAATAGGAATATCAAAACCATGGCCTATACAAACAGAAGACACACAAGTTGTTAGGACTCAGGACCATCCATCATTTTCACTTAGCCCTAACTTTATCCAAGACTTGTTATATTCAACTCTTTGGAGTCATCAAGATTCCTCTAATGCCCATCAAATCACCTTCGTTCTCGACCTCTCGTTTGGTAGTCCCATGAGGATATTCATGTCATTTGGTGAAGTCACAACCGCATGAATGATGAAACCCCCTATGGTCTCTTTCAGCTTAGAAAATCCAGCAACGGTCTATAAAAGCAACACAATAACATAAAGAAACCAAAAACAAAAGTATTAAAAATAGCAAAAGAGGAGGAGAGACAAGCATGTTTTGGTCACTGAGAAAGTGCTTTTTTAGAGATAGAAAAAAGAGAATATTTTTGGAGAGAGAAAGGGAAAGACATGCACAGGTTGAGTGTCTGAGACCCACATCGAATACAATCATAAAAAGCATGAGATAGACACTAACCAATGAGCCCATCACTACTTTAGTTTTCTTTTTCACTTTTATTAGAGTGGGAGTGGGAGTGCGAGTGAGTTTTTTTCGTTCTGTTTTTATTACAGTTAAAAAGAGACCTTACGCTCATTATTCCACCCTGCAACTCTCTGTTCATGGTTCCCTTGGTGCTTGACACCAGAGCTATCTTTCAATCATTTTAGGCACTTGTGGCCTTCAAAAACAAGAGATAAGAGATGGGGTTTCAAGGAAGTGTCTGAATTCCCAAATTTTGGTGAGTTTCTAGTGTTTTGGGGTTCCGAAGTTACTAACTTTCATACCTGTTTAAAGTTCTTCAACGTGTATTTCTTATGAATTTTTGTCGAGGACCTGATCTAGTTTAGATTTTGAGTAGATAGGAGAACCTGTTTAATTTTCTTTCTTTTTCTTTTCTTTTTTTTAATAGCTTTTTTGTGCTTTTGTGTAGTACAGATTTCGGCATGCACAAGTTTTTTCCAGTATTATTAGTACTCTTTGGACTGCGTTCTCATCTTTTTACTAACTTCAGATTATAATTCCTCTGTGTTTAGTTTTCTTGAAGTTTTAATTTGGAGTATATTGAATTTTATGTAGTTCATTTTCCAAGAAAGTCTTATCAATGCTACTAATGTTTTTGTTTTGTAGTGCTGTTTTGTTCTAGAGAAAATAAAAAGTTTTGACTTTGGGATTCCCGGTATTGACTTGAATTACAGCTTTTCAGTTTCAATATTTTGTTTCTTGAGTCTTTTTAAAGGAAAATCAGCTGGTTGTTTTAATCTTCTCATCATTGTAAAACTAACCATATTTTGATTTGAGTAAATGGTCTAAGTTGTTCTTAAACATGGCTGAAATTAGACTTACAAGGGTAGAACAAGGCCACACCAAGGTTAGAAATGTTCCAATTGCTGTAACTCCAGAGGGTTTTTGGTGTTGTCCCTCTCCTGTTGTCTTTCAAAGGACCATTAAAACTCAAAATCCTTTAAACAAAACCAAACCCTCTTCACCACCACCTAAGACTACTGTCCAAAAGAAACAAGCCCCATTTAATGAGAGAAAGCCACCGCCAAGTCCATTAAGATCATCAGTTGTTTCCGGTGATCAAAGAACTTGTGGCTCTGATACACCTGGTGTTAGTGCTTCTATTGTTAGCGAGAGGACTCCCAGGCCTAAAATAGAAAGTTTGCCAAGGAAGGTAGCAATTGAATTTGGGGAACCTGGAACCAGTGATATGAAGGTAGTCTTACTTGGAAAGCAGGGTTTTTGTGTGAAGTTGAGTGTCCACAAGAATGTTCTAGTGGAGAATAGCAGATTTTTTGCTGATAAGCTCTCTGAAGAGGAGTCTAATCTGTCCTGTCTTGAGATCGATGATTGTGAGGATGTTGAGATATATGTTGAAACTGTGGGACTGATGTATTGCAAGGAGATGAAGCAGAGGTTAGTCAAGCAAAGTGTATCACGTGTGCTACGAATTCTCAAGGTATTTTGCTGGCAATTCAGTCCTTCATTTCATTATGTCTTATTGCAATTTTTTGTATACATCTTGTTTTCATTAATGTAGCTTATGTCCAACCTGTAATGGTATTTGATTGTGAAATTGTTACATCATGGGTAGTTCAGAAGAAAGCTTTTTTTGTGGGATTATAGTGTACCATGTAATGAAAAACATACCTGTTGCCGTTGGAAGATTTGGCTAGACCATGCATCCCGCCCACTCCATCACCCCCCAAGTCTAGGAGCATCCATTTTCTGGGGGCCTGTGCTGAAGCTGTTAAAAGATGGGGTTAGTGAGGAAGGGTTTGGGATAAGCGTTGGATTTAACTTCCTCTGGTTCTACTCATTGAAAAAACAAATTTTTGTGTTTATTTAGTAGTTGAAAAGGTAATGCATAGAGTCTTTTCATTCTTGCCTATACTTTACTTCTTTGGAAAGGTGTATGACTTTTACATGTGGATAACAACTTGGCAGTTTTTTATGTGATCAATATGAATATTGAAACTGCAAGTTATTGTGTAGCCATTGGAGGATTTTCTGACAAAAAGTGATTAGAATGGTCAAGATGGGTGAATTGAATAGCTATGCATGTCGCAATTGTTAAAGTTTTGGATTTGCAAACGCTGTGGGTGCAAGCTCAAGTATTGATGGGAGCAACTTCATGCAGCAATGCTGAAGGATGAACTATCTTAAAGTTTACCTTCAAGAACGCCATCTTGTTGAGACCATAACTGGGTGCCTTTTTGCTGTAGTCTTTGACAGACCACAAAATTGATAGCCATAAATTCCATGGAAATTTAAGCATCATCGATAATTCTTAGGTGTATTTCTCTTGTCTATGGTAGCGAGGAATGTGGTTTATGTTTTACTGGAGTAACCTCAAAGAACAATCATTATTCAAACTGTAAGCCTGGAGCATGGTTTCTGAAGGATTGAAGAAAGGAGGGAGGATAGCAGAAAAGACTTATTGTGTGTCAGCATGATGTGAAAGCAGCTTTCTAATTTACACTATTTTTCACAATTACTTTAGAAGGTTTAATCCTTTCTAGTCATCACATTTCTCAGCTTCAAGATTTTACAGTTTTTGTTCATCACTACTTCCTAGAAATGTCCATAGCCACCACTGTGTTTTTAAGACACATCTAAGAAGAGAATTAGTTGTTTGTTTAACAGGGTTGAGATGCAGGGTATGTAATTCTAGAAAAGAAGTTGCAGTTACAGCCACTTCCAAGAAATTGCAAAACAAGAGTAGAACATAGAAACCTAAGATTATTGCTGCAAGTATGTTAAAATTAGGTAAGTGTGGAAGTTTTGTACTTTACAAATTGTAAGACGAGAAATCACATAGATTATAGTTAAAAATATAATCGATACGCCTTGAAGTGCTGTTGTAAGGAGTTCTTCTACAAATAGGCATCATCAGCCTTTTCACTTGTTTCACTATCAATACGAATGTTTCTTCTTTCTCCCACATTGAAACTTCTTTCTTGGTTGCTCCAACAATAAACTATTTTCTTCTACTAGACTATTTACTACTTTCAACTATCTACACATCGAGCATGAAGTCCTGCTTCCCCAAACCAAAAATAACATGGACAAATGTATATGGTAGACAGGTAGATGATGCATTCATTATTACATATTTATGTGTTTTTATGTGAGATATAAAAGGTTAACTTAATTACGTTTTTCTCTGAGCTAGCCGTAATCCACATTTTCTTCTTTCTCCTGTTTTCAGTTTGACTAGATCATTATTGTCATTAGGACCGTATATCTGTATCTTGCTACCTAAATTCCTCCTTTTATGAGTTAAAGCTTCATGTCATATGTTGAACATAAACATTTACCATTCCTGGCATTGACTTCATGATGTGCATAGCTTACCATGTGGTTTGACATTCTCCCATCTTTTCGATTCCTCTGCTGTCTCTCATAATTGCTTTTATTTCTTAAGCGACGGTGTCTTGATTTCTAACCATATAATTTGCTTAACAAAATGCTTCCAGTAGCACTCATTATATCTTATTCCTTATAATATAGAATGTGTCAAGGAAACTAAAATGTTTAGGGGCAACTTATAAATTGAGACATCAGTATATGTCCATTATTTAACTCAACAGAATTTTGGCTGATAATTTTTGTCGTATTTATGAATGATTCTCGATTGCCAAAGATGGGAAACTTGAGTTGCAAAATTGCTTCGATTTTGTGATTGAGAAAGATCAAAGGTGAAGGGGTTTTACAAAAAAGGTGAATATGTTGTTAACATTAACAAATGCACTATGCTTAGGCTGCCCTCTTCTTTACTTTTCTAATACTAGTTGAATAATATCATTTCTAACAGTGGCCACAGTGTTCCAGATCTTATCGATGACTAGAACTAAGCCTCGAAGGTACAAAGTTGTGGTTTGGTAGTGGTTATGTGGTCTTCTCTTGCCTTTCCACAACAAACTTCAGTTCCTTCAGATGTCTCTTCTGTTTCATCTCTTAGTGATCACTATGGCTGTATGCATCCTCACCATGCTTTAATGCATGATTTTATGGAGGAACAACACATTATTTAGACTCTGATTTTATGTTAGTTCCTTGCTTTTCAAACATTGAGATTATACTGGACAATAGGGCCTAATTTTCATGTATTGTCTCAACCTTTGTTGATCCCCTCCCATGCACCCTTTAGCATTTAATGCATGTCTGGAAATTTGTGAAACTGTTTTACAGCCATTAACGCCCACCATGAATGGAACTGTTTTGCAGGTTGCTGAACTTCTTAGCTTCAACACATGCATCCAGTCATGCTTGGAATATTTGGAAGCTGTTCCATGGGTTGGGGAAGAAGAGGAAGAGAAAGTGGTCTCCTCGGTTATACGGCTCCAGAATGAAGGTATTGGGGTCACACCAGTTTTGAAACGAGTCTCTTCTAATGTTGCTAATCCACCTAAAGATACAATTTCCCACATAGTGGAACTTGTTCTCAAAAGCAACGAGGAGAGAGGCCGGCGTGAAATGAAATCCATAGTACTGAAGCTCCTTCGTGAGAATAACAGTCTTCCAAGCTATGCAGGTTCATCTGATATCTGCAACGAAACTATATATAGCTCATGCAGGAGTTGCCTGAATTCATTACTATCTTTTTTTAAGCAAGCGGCTGAACCTGGCTTTGCTGATAAGCCTCTGGACAATAAGGAACCTGTGGTCAAGCAAATAGTTCTCGAGGCTGATAATCTCTCCTGGTTGCTTGAGATTTTAGCTGACAGACAAGCAGCAGATGAGTTTGCTCTAATGTGGGCTAGCCAGCAAGAGCTGGCATCCCTGCATGTGGAGCTACCTATAGTGTCTCGTTACCATGTTAGCTGCATTACATCAAGGCTATTTGTTGGAATTGGAAGAGGGGAGCTGCTACCTTCAAAAGACACCCGTCAATTGTTGTTACAAACCTGGTTGCAGCCATTGATCAATGACTACAGTTGGTTACAACATGGGTGCAGGTCGTTCGATAGGAAGGTAGTGGAGGAGGGGATCGGGAGGACGATTCTCACTCTACCCCTGGAGAACCAGCAGAGCATTTTGCTTGCTTGGTTGGGAACTTTTTAAAGGCTGGTGATAATTGCCCAAATCTTCAGAGAGCCTTTGAGGTCTGGTGGCGAAGGACTTTCATTAGACCTTACATGGAAACACAAGGTAATCCACAACAGTCAGATAGTTCAATGATATCAAAGCAGGAGACTTGAAAGGGTGCCAATATGAGTGAGAGCAACTTTTAAATGATAAGTTGTTCTGCAGAGTACTTGCATCAACTCGAAATTTAAAAGAAAAGCTAACACAGAAAATCCTTCTGGGGAAAACAATGGCGCAATATGGGTTGACTACTACTAGCGTTTTCGATGAGAGTGCTATAGGTGTGTAAAACTCCTTTTCAGTTGATGAATGCGGATTGGTTGCTTGAGCTGAAACTCATTAACAAAAATTGAATTGGAAGTTTCTTTCTTTATATATCTGTATGGGTAATATTGTAATGTGATTTTTCTCGTAAAGTGGAATATAATCTTATACATTTCATCGATGCGATTATGACTAATAATTCATGCTGTGGATCATTATCAGGGCAAAACCATATTGTCTTTCTATATCCTGCTGATGCTCTGTTTGTGCTTTAGTTACCTCTGTAAGTGGTTAGCAGATGGTCATTTCTGGACTTTCTACATTATGGAATTCCGTTCAACAAAATTGAATCTTATTAAACTATTTGCACTGATGAATTCTTGATGCTTGAAACTAATGTTTGCTCATTTTAATGCCACAGGTCACACTTGATCTTGTTTGTTTTTCTTATGTTTTATTATCAGGTTGTGGTCAGGTCATTTCTTTGTTTCCTGATGTATCTTTTACTCAATCCTTTGCTTACCATTGAGGATGTTTGCTCATTCGGCATGCATATGCATAAATTATATATATGACAGAAGAAAAAAGCTGCATGTATTTTCATAATAATCAAACTGTAATTTCTTTCTGTTTTACGAATAATCAAACCTTAGTTTCAAACTACACCTTGTGTATTTTAATGGTTTGGTTTGACGACAATTAAACTGTTGGTTTGGTTTAAAGAATTTTCACACCACTATTTTGTCGTTTGGCTTGCAAAGTTCCATCCCTGCATTTCTCACAAAAAAATAAAAAAATAAAAAGTTGGCCTTGAAATTTATGGATGCACTTACCCTAGAAATCATCTTAGCCGTTAAAAACCCTAAATGGGCCTCTCATTTCTCTCCATTTTACTACTCTTAGCTCATCTAAGCACATACTCTGTAGAGACTCAGACGTTGCCATTTTCAGAGAAGTGAACACTTTTTTTTTTTTTGGGTATTCCAGACCCAAAGATTAATCTCTCGCTGTTAGAGGACACTTTCTTTTTATTAACCGACAAAACAGCAAGTCATTAACTACCTGACTTGATTCCAATTTCTGTGGAAATTGAAACACAGAATGTCTTGTCAAAATAAGGTGCTTCATCGTCCCACATATGCTGTGGTACACGAGGATGCCTTACAAGTTCCCTGGAAAATTCTTGTCCATAATTTATGATTCCTACATCATTCATCATGTGACATTTGCCGCTCACAGCACCTTGTGGTGCAATATATATATATATATATATATAGGTCAAACAGGTCATGTTTAAAGAGACGGGAACTGCCCTGATGGGTGTCCTTTGGCTCCTCTTCCACCGAGTCCTTTTCATCGATCAATGAGCTCAAGCTATAGTAGCATGATGGTAATAGGCGATGATCGTGAGATGATTTAATGTGTCAGTGGGGTTTTCATACACAAACTATTGACAGTTTGACACCATCCTAAATTGTAATAAAAGTTTGAAAGCACCAGCCATTGATCTAATCAGGGAAGTTAAAATTTAATGAAAACAAGTTGAAAAAAAGAGGGGAAAAGTCTAAGATAGAGAAGAATCTATGAGACCAGACCAAACCAAACTAAACCAAACCAAAATAGGAGCATCATTATTTATTACAGTAATAGTACTGTGAGTGAGTCATGGTAATGGTTGATCCTATCCTAGCTCTAATAATATTGAGGTCTTACAATTATTTTGAACATATCTATCGATCCATCTATCTTCCTTCAAAGGTTTTGTCAGTATTGTTCGTTTCTTCTGGCCTCTCAGGATCGACGTTACTATTCAGAACTAAATACTGAGTATCTCAACCCCACCTGCACTGGCACGCACAAATGATGAGGCTGAGGATTGCACAAATACGCTTTGCTTGCTATGATTGTTTGCTAAGAGCTAAAACTGACATTGCCATCTACCTCTGTTGTTTTTTGTCTTTTGTTGTGTCTTTTTGCTGATGTTACTGTTTCTCTTGGTTTCTTCTGTGATTGTCCTTTCGAGTTCTGACAATTACAGTCGATTGCATGCAGTAATGTGTAAAATTGATAACAATTGGAGTCACAAATTCCTTAACCTTATTTTTTTTATGTTTTTGATTTCGTTAAAAAGTGAGTATCTTTTCGATTCTGGTTTGGTTAAAGACATTGATAACATGCTATTTAATTTTACAAATTAAATTCGGTACCAACCAGATTGGTATAAAAGCTTTCCTTTTCTAGGCTCATACTTATAAGCTGTGAATTATCCCCACAAGAGAAGGACGGTTTGCATTTCTTCATTACAAGGTTGGACGATAATATTATTTCTGCATTAAAAACCAAATTTGGAGTTCACCATTACCTTTTTCTACGACCTATACTCCTCCAACGTCCCTTAAAAAAAAAAAAAGTATTCATTACAAAAAATCACATCTTATGAACTACTTGCTAAATTTTGTTCATAACATTCATAATTTTAAATAACGACCGTTATGTTATATAACCATCGTTATATAATAATTTTAAAATATTTCGTTATTATTATTTTAGATCTACGATAATAATAATGATGACGATCATTTTTTCAAACATTTAAAACAACGATAACATTGGTTAGTTTTGTTTTCCTTTTCCCTTTCATTATAGAAATAAGAAGGAATAAGGCAGTGGGGTGGGGTGGGTAGGTTACGATGATTCATTGCACGATATGAGATGTAGAACAGAATTGAAAATTTCAATTTTGAGTGGTCCTTGAATTTGCAGATGAATGTGCTCTTAGTTAATCCACATCTCTTGCTGCCGGCCCATGTTGGGGATGTGGGGCACATGGAGCTTCCCTTGTCATTAAAATTAGATTGATACTAACACGATGTTGGGCCTCATTCTACTAAATATCACTATCATCCACTTGGCCCAACATATTAAGTTATAATTATTACTCTTTTTTTGTCCAAAAAGATATTCTCATTTGATTTTTTATATAGTTTTAAAAAATTATTAATTATTATGTAATAATATTATTTTTATTTATATTTTTTAAAATATTCTTGTTAATAAGTTTTTTTTGTATCAAATTTAATCACGTAATGCAGCCAATGTTAATTTAAACAAAAAAATCTATCCAAAATTAAAATGGTAAATAAAAAAAAATTAAGTTACTTAGCGATCAAGTTTAAAATAATTATATAAAAATAACATAATAATGAAACTATTTTACTCATAAAATTTTGGCATACAATGAAAATATTAGTATCTATAAGAAAAAGTATAAAAAAAAATGTTTATTTTTTATTAGTGAAGAATAGAAAATAGAAGAAAAATTTTAATTTTTTTTTAATTAAGTGTATTTATAAGAGTTTTGTTTATTTTGTTATGATCTTTTGAAAGTTTTTAAATTATTTTGATGCAATAGTATCTTTTCTTTTCAAAATTTACAAGAGAGGCTAATTCGACCAAACTTTAAACCCTATCCCAGGTTCTTATAGTTCTTTTTTTTTTTTTTTTTTTTTAAGTAACTCAAATTCTCAATCTACCGAATAAAGGTTAGATAAAGTTCCAATAAGTTTGTAGCTAGTTCAAAAAATTCCCATAGACCTTAGTTACTGACCGGTGGCACAAGAGAATGGTGGAAGGGAGTCCTTGTACATTTGTGGTAGATGGAATTTGAACCATATATATTCTCACAATTCTTATCCCATTGATTCATTTATTAATTAGGTTTTGAGTTGGATATGAGTATTCTAACAAGCAACAAATCATTCTTTGTTTGGTTTAAGTTATTGTCAATATTAATTTATTATATATCCGTTGAAAGATATTTATTAATTACTCATAAAAAGACATGCATGGCTAGAATGTGGAAAAGTTTAGGATCATAATACTAGTAGTTATGGATTATATTATCTTTTTTTTTTTTTTTATGATAAGTTTTCAAAGATGGCAACAAATTGATGTCAATTCATAAAAATACTTGGGAGCTTATTGAACCATATACATATATATATAGCTTAAATAAATTAAAGATTTGATGGATTTTCAATGAAAAAATATATCATGTAATAAACTAATATATAAAATACACTCCATATATTTCGATAAAAAAAAAAAAAAGATTGGATGGTTGTATTAAATAGAGATTCTAGTTCATTAATGAAACTATCCATTATTGCTGTCATCATAAAGTATTTTACCAGAAGTAATAGGTAGTCAAGCCATATTTTGGCACCTAAGGCCAAGATCCATACCCTATCCAAGCCCTAGCAGTCCTCAGTACACCCACATGGGCTGAATTAGAGGAGGCTATCTACACGAAACCCTATCCTACTTCTGCATCGAATCAGTTCAATTTATTTGTCACTGAAGTCTGTAAAACTGTCATTAGCTAACAAGAATGGGGCCATCTCATGCCATGACCAAGAAGAAAGAAAGAAAGAAAGAAAGAGAGAAAGAACCTCATCGTCATCATCATCTTGTGTCTGTTTCCATCTCCATTTCCCAAAGTGGACCCCTTTACAGGTATCTGGTTGGTAGACAATCCCTTGGATTGGATCCGACGAGTAGCTTTCAATCTAGCAATTTTTTTGAGCTACGGGTCCACTCCAAGTTGTTGTTCTCTATTGCACACATAAATGTTGTATTATTTTTGTTGGAGTGCCTTCTACCTCTTTGCCTTGTTTTAATTCAAATTGCTTTCGATTTTGTTTTTGCTTTTAAATATCATTTTATTGTCACTTTCTTGACATTGAATTTGTAATTTATGTGTTCAAACAAGACAAAGAAACCATTCTAGGGCACTTATCAACTAGTCTTATACATCCATCAGCAGCTAGCAGCAGCAGCAGCAGTTTAGAGCCTATCCTACCCCAGATGTTTAGGATCACTCTGCCCAGACCCACTTGAAAGTCACATTTATAACACATTTAATATATATATATATATATATATGCAGTTTTGTTGAATGATCAGACCTTAATTAATTGAACTCTCTAGCTATCTGTTTTAACTTTACAGTGAGAATGCTCTTACATCAAGGCATAGCACAGGGAAGTCAATGCTAGTCTAAAATGTGCATTTAACTTTCAGCTCTCAGTCTATAGAGGTTTTCTGGCCGTGTCCCCATTGGGTTTTAGAAAAATTTATTGTACTATGATAGATTCATGTTCCTGCAATAATTTTTGTTTTTTGTTTTTGTCGAAAGTGAAACACACTTGCTAAGTTCTAATTAGGTAGTAATTTTGAAGAAATTAAGATTTTTTTTTTATCGAAATCACTCTGAATGAATTAGCTACTCTCATTTATGGGTTCCAAAATCCAATAATTGAGATTCTTCTTGGGAAATGATTTCGGAAATATTAATCACTATAATTCAGCATTATTAATGTCAAATACTTTTGACTATAAGAATTTTAAAAATAAGAAATCTAGAACTTAATTCGTAGTTTATCCATTTATTGAAGCAATAGATTCTGTAGCTTAATTACTGTGATTGTTTGACTGACGAGTAGTAGTAAATTAATATTCTGACATTTTGAATATTAATAATCTCAGTCCTAATAGGGTCTAGTTATTTTTGCATTTTTTCCCTACTTTTTAAGCAACTTTCACAATCATAGAATGTTGTATAGAAGAAAATGACATTGCTACTTTGGTATTTACATCCATGAAAGTGAAACATTGAGCTCCACACAGGTTGTTTGTATTTTTCCTTTCAAGATAACGATTTAACCGCTGCTACATCATATCACACACGCCCCAAACTATATATATATAATTTTTTTCTCGTAGAATTTTCATCCATGAAGTTAGATACCATCGCAAATTCAAAAGGAACATGATGTTTGCAGAAGAAACACCTTCGCAAATACAAATGTGTAGGACATGTTGTTTTAGGTTAGTTCTGGTGTTCCCAATAAGTCAAGCAACATATTAGGTAAAGAGTTCTTGTTGCTTTACATATTATTGTTGTGCACTTTAAGGAACCTATATATGTTTCTAATCGGTGTTGGTTACCAGGTAACATAGCACAACCTACCAGTCTGCAGCTATATAATATTTAATTGAAATGATATGGTATGATTCATTACATGAATTGTATGTTTTACTTTTGCAATTCTTTGTCTTTTTTTTTTTCAATCAGAAGTATTTCGGTTAAAAATTTTATGAGTAATTGAAAAATTGATCACAATAACATATTGAAGTAGACTTAAACATTGTTCAAGAAAAATAAAGACAAAATAAAAATTCAAATTATTATATAAAAATATATTGAATTACTTACTCGTATATAAAATAATATTATATTATCATTAAAAATAAAATGAGACCTATTTAATGGGATAAGATTAAGTGATAATCTTTAATATTTCGTGCCCATCATAGGCATATCTCATCCATGATAGAACTAGAAAATTGCGTCATAAAAAATCTACTCATCAAGACATAAAATATTTTAATTAATTCTGAAACTCAACATTTACAACAATAAATATATAAGTAGCGCATACTCTTATATATCTTAAGTACACTCGGTGTTTGAATTCCAATTTTGAAAAGAAAGAGACCCCAAGTTCATTCATAACTAACATAACGTTGACAAATCGAAGTGCTTTAAATTCAAGTTTATCGTCCAACAACATGATTTTATAACAACTGTCAATCCCCAAATCAGTAGCTTTCACTGCTTAAATATCATAATACTTATCCCAAAGGTATATATATATATATGCCCATTTCTAGGTTTTGTCGTTTTTTTTTTTTTCCACGGGAAAAAAAGTCATTGGATCACTTTTCACGCAATTCAAGACTAATACTTTTCTAAATATTACTAAAAAGCACTCTCCAATCTACAACTTTAAGTATTCTGACAATATATTTTTTTTCAATAATAAAGGTGTCATCTGATCAGTTTTCACATAATTTATGATTAATTTCTCTCTGAATGCGGTTAAAATACTCTTCAATGCATAAATTCGAATATTTTGAGAATAATTTATTTATTTATTTTTTAACAATAAGAGTGTCATTGGACTAGTTTTCATGTGACTCTCCAATTTAGGACTAATTCCTCTTTGAAACGTGGCCAAATAACACTCTCTAATACACGGCTATGAGTATTCTGAGTATAAATTTTTAAGAATACTGATCACAAAAAATTAAATTTTGAACCTGACTTATAAGTTAATATTTGCTTACTAATGGACTACTAAATTGTGGTTTAGGTTTTGTCACTATTAAAAATGTAATATATGTATGCGTATTTTTGGAAGTGGTATTGACATTGAAAAGAGGGATAGAAATTGCAAATTATGTATGTCGAAGGAGAAAGGAAAGGCATCATTCAACCGAAAAAGAACAGAATTCTCTGCAGATTGCCATGCAGCTTCCTGAATAATGAAAATATATATAAGAGCTGATTATCATCATGTTATTCTAGTAAAAGATATTAAGGGTACAAAACCCTAAATTAAATAGGTACATAATTTAAAAGAGGGAAAAATGCAAAACAATCTACTATACAATTACAATATAATCCGTACAGCTAGCTAACTTTAATACTCTACGTGTTTTGATCTCATTATGTATTCCTTTCTTCATTAATGAAAGTAAGAAAATAATAAAGAAAAAGAAGAAGAAGAAGAAGACAGAAAATAAGATTAAATTTTTCTCTGGAAGGCACCATATAAAAGTTTATAATCAACAGCCCCCAAAATCTCTAACGGAGAAAGAAGGACTCGTCTCAGGCATGTTCCCAGCATGGCGTAGCCCTAGAGTGAGAGACACATCGCCAGCAGTAGTGGTCCCAAACCTTATAAGTGCAGACCCAATGTGGTCAGCACCAGCATTGGCATTGCCGGAAGTGGTCCCATAATCGGCTGTAACAATGCCGCCGCGGCGACATGTGTCATCGGCAAAGTCATGGAAAGGCTGTCCAGCATGAGTTGGTGGTGGTGGTGGTGCCACTTCTGTGTTGGGGGTGATGTTGGTGGGCGCAATAATGGCGGTGGCAGTGGTGGAGGAGGAGGTGGAGAGTTTTGCTTGGTTTTCCGAGAAACATTGTCTATTGATTGCGAGAAGTGAAGGGTCGTTTTCGTTGGCATTGATTTCGGATCTTTTGGCTGATGGTATGGTTGTTGTAGTGGGGGCTGTTGTTGTGGCAGCTGGTGCTGATGATCCTGTCGTTGTCGTAGTTGGCGTTGGTGTTTGTGCGAGCCCGCTATTGTTGTTGCTGTTGCTGTTGCTTTGCTTCCTTTCTCTATCTTCTGCTCCTCCTGTTTCCTCATCTTTGGATTCTTGTTGGTACATCTCCTCAACCATGGGTTTCCACAACCGAACCCTGGCATTGATGAACCAGTTTGAAACCTAAACAAAGATGCAGCAACCTCCATTTCATTAAACATGCAACGATCAATGTTAATAGTTACAAATACCAACCATTTTTTTTTATATGATCACAACAGTTTCTTCTGTTTGTAAGCTCACAACTCCACTGCAATTTTTTTTTTCGTTATAGCATGATTGGTGTGAGAAAATTAAAACGTCATGAATGTTTTCACAAAAACAAACAAACAAATAAATAAAATTCCCACAAGCTTCAACCCACTGTAGTAATTCAATATTTTTTTCTGAAAAATGAAGTTTAAAGAACCTTGGACTCTGCATATATAATAAGAGTTGAAATTCTTTCATTTTGGCAATGAGTTTGTAGGTCAAGTGATATTTGTGTATCTTCTTTCTTTTAAAAAATCTCCAGTTGGAGCCCTTTTCTATGACCAAAAAAAAAAAAAAAAAAGTCTTCTATTTCAAAACTTCTATCCACATATTCCATAATCCATTTATTTTTACCAAAAACTAATTCAAATTTGAAATATTTAAATTGAAAATTTTTATTTTCCTTACTAACTTAGATACATTTTCAAAATAATTATGTACAATAATAATTATAATAGCACAATGCTCATAAAAGAGGAAAAAAAAAAAAAAGCAGGCTTCCATTTAAAAACTCCTATCCACATATTCCATAAATAGATTTCTTTTACCAAACACTAATTCAAATATGAAATATTCTTTAAATTGAATATTGCAATTTCAGTTACTAATATAGATACTTTTTTTTGGAAATAATCATAGAAATAATACATAATTAATAATAATTATAGTGCAATGCTCATTAAAAAAAAAAAAAAACCTAACAGTAGAATTCAATATAATCTGTTTGATCATTTGGCAGTATATATATATATATACCTGCGTGAATAATTCAAGAATCCTTGTAATAAAAGCACTCCATTTATGATCAGCTCATATACCTTACTTTGTAGGATAGACTATGAGTTATTTATTGTATATACAACATAAAGACATAGACATATAGATGTTTCTTTCTTTTTATTCTCTTTCCAATTAGAGCAGCTTTGGGTTTTTGCTTTTCATGCAAATAATAAAACACGTACTTAAGGACAAAAAGGTGAACGTACACTTGATGATTAAATATACATGTTGGTGATAATGATAATAGTATATAATAATAGCTATGCATACTTTTCTTTATCTACTATGCTATTTTTAAAATGTCATTAAAATTATTTTTTCAAAAAAAATAAAAATGTTAAAGGTTTAGAAATGCTTTTTATGCAGGACAAGAAGAAGAAGAAGAAGAAGAAGAAATTACTCAAGTTTGAAATCCATCTTTAGTTTACCATTATTAATTAGTTTCTTGTTGAGCAAAAGAAAAAAAGGGGAAAAAAAAACGGAAATAAAACTATAGGGTTTAATCAGATGAGAAAGAAGGAGATGCAGGTGCAAGAATACGTGATGGACATAAAAACAGTAACAGAGGTTAAAATCCAGCTTGCCGTGGGTAAGGGATAACATGCAAGTAAAAATCCAGACAATTTTATGAATTATGAACCTTGGTACAAAAATTTTGTTCACTGTCTTTAATGGATCTTCGTCGAATGGGTGGATGGTGTGTCATTTATTGAGAGAGAGAGAGAGAGAGAGAGAGAGAGAGAGAGAGAGAGAGAGAGAGAATCAAAGCTGCAAACTCTCATGTCTCATCTCTTCTGTACTTGTCTCTGCTCTTAAATAATACTATCTTCCTTGAGTTTCTTCACTGAAACGGTATTTATGTCTATTTGAGAATCTATGTCTCTTAACGTATAAAAGAATCCAAAGAAAGCAAAAATGAAAGGAAAAAATAAATAATAATAAAAAAAAACAGGTGTTAAAACCCTTATGGTAGCATATCATTCTCTAACAGAAAGACAAAAAAATGAACCAGAGAAGGTAAATCGAAAACCATGCAAATCTACTGAACCTACTCATGGTCCCTTCTTGTTTTTTTCCCTCTAGAATAGAACCCCATTTTCATGTTAAATGAACAGTACCCTAAACAGTGAAAACTCTTTTTCTCTCTTTCTCAGGTATAATATTTACTGTTTTGTTTAAGGAGAGACCAAAAAGGTATATAGAAAAAGAGATGGAGAGAGGGACGAACCTGATTTCTCGATAAACCAGTCTGTCTAGCTAACAGATGCTTATCAGCATCGCTTGGATACCTGAGAAAGAGACCAGAAAATGACATCAGAGTCAATACCTAAACCATATAAAGAGACACCAACATTGCTAGCTCGTATTTGTGTACCATATTACATGGGCGTGAGAATCTAAGAGAAGAGCAAAAGATTACAGTATTTTGTAGCAGACAGGAGTAGGGACATCAGAGAAGTTTAGACTCAGAAGGGTACAACTGCACTCGCTTACATCTCTTACTATTGTGTACATTATAGTGATTTTCACAGAGAGAGAGAGAGAGAAAGGTAGTCAGTTAAATTATACTTTAATAAAGTTTGATTTTTTCAGGCACTAACTAATTTCTGAGGTCTGCAAATGGAGGAGGGGGCTTATGTATAAGGGGAAAAAGCAGTGCGCAAATGGAAACCCTTTGACAGCTTTTTGCTGACGAGACAACATCCAAGGACACTGCATTACTGTTCCTTTAATCACATTTTGGACAAAAAGCTGGAGAAAAAAACAAGGGAACTTGGATCTCGCGCTAGTATCTATCTACTTAACTAATTAGAAAGTATCATTATATATTATATAAACTTTTACTACTACCCCGATTGTCTTCTACTAATAATAAGTGCATACACTTCGATTTTTCAACTTTCTTAGATTTTGATCATTTTCCTAGATTAGTGTGACATGAGTAGCTAGCTAGTATTGTGAACAGCGAAGTTTAGGTAAAAGTAACGTACGGGTGGAGAAAATGCTCGAAAAGCCAGGCTCTTAAAATGTTGACAGATCGTTCAGGCAAGCCTCTTTGGGGTCTCCATGCTTCTTGTTCCATCATACCCATTTGGTGAAAGGCTCTTTGTTGTCTTAGACTCTGCTCTAATAACTTAAGCCTGGGAGTCTCTCCTTTTGTTATGCCTGAGGTCCCGGCACCGTCTTTCTCACCAAGTAACTCACAGCTATGCTTCAACTGTGCTGCTATTGCATCTTTTAGGCACCGAAAATGCCTTGACATCGCCTTCTGGGCAAGGGCAGTGTAAGGGACCGCCGCCCCGAAACCCATTACTAGATCAAATGAGTTCACTACCATCTGCATTTGCTCACAATAATGGTTGTACCTTCGATCCACCTGAAATATTATTGCAGGGCAAATGGACTCACAAATTAAATATTAAAAAAATGATTAAATACAATCAATCCCCGATGTTACTTTGTACAAATATTGATCACGAGGATTTATTGATACTCCTATAAAGAAAACGGAAAAAAAAAAAAAAACAATTAAGGCTTGCATTAAATAAGAAAAGAATACTATCTTTAGTCCCATAAAGTAACCCCTAAAACAAAACTCAAAGGTTGTTTTCACTACTTCCCTATATTGCAAATATGTAAGAAAAGAGAAAAAGAAATCAGGTGACATGATTTGATATTCATGACACTGAAGAGGAGAGGGATTAGAATAGATAAAGAAAAATATTTGATAAGACTTTTTTATGGTCGTTAAAGAAAACCCAAAATAGCAGAGAAGGAGAAGGAAAAGAAGAATAATTGCGTTAATCAAAGGATGGTACAGTGCTGAAATGATTGTTAATAGGAGCATAGAATATCCCTTGGTGTTTCTTTCGTTACTGTCTTTCCTCAATACAGCCAATTGACAGGCTTGCTTGTGTAATGCGTAAACAAAACAAAAACAAAAGGAGAAAAGAAAAAGGAAAACTACCCCTGATGCCAAGGTCAACTAAGATATAATATCAATGGCTTTCGTTCTCTGCAATATTACTATGATGGGTACCAATCTTTTTAGCAGCAGCAGCAGGTTCATAGCAACTTCCCTTACGTAATATGGTGGCTTAACAGTCATCTTCCCAGACAGGAGGAACGTCGCTTCTTGCTGGACGCACAGATAGGTATCTCTAATCATAGTAGACTTTCATCAATTTTTTACCAAACCAAGAACCTTAACACAAAACCCACCAATCCCATTCAATGTAGAAATACAAATTTAAAAATTCAATTTTAGGAAAGAATAAAATGATGACTAATCGAGCTCCACCAACTAGATCTTATGTAACCCTATTGCACCAGCCGGCTTTTCTCTATTTGGGATTTTTAAATCTTTTATAATATTGTTGAAAAACTTGCCGGAATTTTCTGTTTGTCCGTGTGATTTGGAAAATCATTGATGCACTAAAATAAGCCAACCCAAGGAGGAAAATAATAATAATAATAAAGGGTCTTGACTCTTGAGGGAGAGAGAAGGTGGGGAAAGAGATAGAGAGAGGGAGAAAGAGAGAGAGAGAGAGAGATTACATGCCTCATCAAGCATGGACAAGAGTTTGACCTTCCTTCTTTGATGCTCAATTCTATCAGCAGCTGACAAGGGAGGAAGATCTTTTGTTGATGAAGAAGAACCACCACCACTGCCACCACCACCACCACCACCGAGATTGTTATTGGAACTAGGGTTTGTGTTTTGTCTACCAAATTTGCTTTTCTTGAACTGACCTCTTCCAACACTACAAAACTCTTCTAACAACTCTTGTGCTGCTTTCACATACTTCGAATTCCTTAAAACATTCACCATTCCTAATGATGACCCAAAGCCAACATGAACTTGGTGGTGGTTTTGTCCCACTCCACCTTGTAAATGTAATGCTTGATGGTGCTGTTGACCTCCCAAATTCTTGTAATATTGACTAGAAGATGATCCTCCAGCTCCTTCGTTATAATACAATAAGCCACCATCTCCCATCCTCAATTCTTCTGCTTTAGCTGCCTCTAAATGTTGCAAAGATGATGACAATGATAAAGAAAGTCCTTGTCCTTCAACAACACCACTAATCTCGCTTGGATTATTCAGTGGAGCACCAGTATTTCCTCCTTCATGAGAACTATCAGGAACCCATGTGAATTGTGGTGGAGATATAACACTTGTAGCACCATAACCCCCTCCTGATACAGTACTAAACCCTTGAAGAGAACTTGAAGGATTTGGTAACAACATGTGAAGTGTGGAGGAAGTTGAAGGAGGGTGATGATGATGAGAAGGAGAAGGAGATTGTGGTGATCTTGGTTGTGACGGGTTCATTAAAAAAAGCTGCATGGCTGCAGCTGAATCTGCATTAATGCCTGAAATTTGATGCTGATGTTGAGCCAAACTGTCACGGTTATTGTTATTATTATTATGATTCTTTGAATCACCTATCCCCAAACCTCCTACTACCATACCTTGCCTGTTGCTGCTGCTATACCAATCGTTGGTTGCCACCGGTTGTTGTTGTCGTGGCTGCGTCCGGTAATTAGACTGTATAGGTTGATCCAACAAATCAACAGCCGCAGCTGGTCCACCAGCAGGAGGGAAATTGAACATTTCTGATAACATACCGGCTGTTTCGTAGACCGGAAGGCCACTTGATTCTTCTTCTTCAATACCTACTAATGCCGATGGAGGCGGTTCATAGCCTGATTGAACTCTAAGCTTATCCCTGCGGATCTGTTGAGCTATATGGTGCTGCTGCTGCTGATGTTGTTGCTGCTGATTATGTTCTTGGTGAGAAACTGAGGATCTCTCGAAACCGCCATTCGAGAAGGAAAAGATACCTTGATGGTAATCTTGGGACATAGAATTATGATTTGAAGGATTAGACTTAGCGTTTTGGAGTATTGGAGGGATTAACTGGTGGGTCTTTGAGTGAGAGAGAATTGGAGGGAATGGAGGTGTTGTAGCTATTCCCATATCAATATCTTGAAGATGATCATCATCATCTCTTTCAAATTATCTTCTTTGTAGCACCCCCCAACTTATTTCCTTTCTCTTGTCAATCAAAAAATCTGCTACATACGGATCAGTTAGAGACAAACAAAAAACAAGAAATTAACACTATCTTAGACTTAGCATATCAAGAAACATACTAAAAACCAAGAAAGAGTCTGAGAGAGAGGGAAAGATGGAGCAAGAAGTATCAAATGGGTCTTTGTTGGAGGTTAAATTTTATATATTTTTTTATATATGTATATATCTGACTTTTATCATACTAATATATATTTATATATATGTATATATATATAGACACACAAGTAAGTACCTCTTGGAGTTTCAGAGTATGAAAGGATAGAAAGCTCTCAGACATCGTTTTCTCTTCTGTGGTTTTGAAAGCTTGGTGAATTCCTTAGTTTCTCTCTCTTTCTATCTATCTCTATATGCGTTGTTCTCTGTGATCTCTCGTCTCTTTCTTTCTCTTTCTCTCCTTTTCTTTCTCTTCGTTGCTACTACTTTGCAGCACTTGGAGCTACTGAGTGTCAAGAGAGAGTTACAGAGAGAGAGGTGAAGCCCAACAATAAAATAAAGGGAAAGAATGGAGGCTTAAGCGACTGATATCTCTCTCAAACTAAGCCCCAAAGAGAGAGGAGAGCAAGAGAGATCAAGAGGTCGCTATTCTTTCTTGCTTTTCTTTCTTCTTCTTCACCTCCTCTTTTTACTCACCAATAATATTTATTCTTTTTTCTTTCTTTCTTGCAACAACATTTATTTTTTTTGCTCTACATTTTGACAACAACAAATTAAAATTAAAATTGAAAAAAACAGAAAGAAAGAAAAAAATTCAAAATGAAATATATATGAAAACAACATTTATTAGGTTTATTACAACTTGACTAATATGACCTCTTGTGGACCCTCCAAAATTCGAGGGTATTTGAGTCCTTAAGGTTTTACGAGTCAGGGGTATCTAAACTGACATTTTCAAGCAAAAATATTTATCGGAAGCAAACAGTCAATTTCCTCGTTCATATATAATATATATTTTTTGTCAATTTAATGGTATTATTTCATATAAAATGACCAAAATGTAGTAGGTTATTAGTGTCATTTTGTACGTATTCCTTTGGAAACCAACGCAAACTAGGGAATAAAATAAAGATAAGGTCAGTACAAAGTCATCTCAATGATCCAAACTACCACCATCCTCTGATTTGATTTCTATGACCGCAATGCCCTAGCTACATCATTATTTGGAACCCACAATAATACAAGTTGGTAAGGTCATATTGGTCCTTTTAGGATGCATTTTTGTGCATTAATAACACAACCAAAGCTAGATATATAGATGTATAGGCAGCCATAACAGGTAGAGCTAAAACATATGTACAATGACAAGCAAATAAAATAAAAAGGGTTGGTCCGGAAGCAACGGTTTTTAATCACTTAAATAAATGATATTGTGGTAATGAGTTTGAATTTTTTTATATATAAATTTTTTTTTAAATAATTATTTTCGTTTTGTATATCCGATAAAATAACGAAAAATTAACCTAAACGTTTAGAACTGGATACTGTAAAAAATGCAACATATATATATATATATATATATATATATATATATATATATATATATATATGAGCAAATTAAAGGGAGATTTTATTTAACCTTAATTATTATTATTATTAATTTTTTTTTTTGGATAATAGGAAAGGCTACACGCAAGTGAGATGGTTGGCACGTGCTATGGGTTGGGCTCAAGGCAAGTTAGGTTTGTGTGTGGGGAGTATATGAAAAGCACATATAACCGCTTTAAGGTTTGGCAATGCCAAGATTGGCATGCTTGATTACCCTTTTCATTTCCTCAGATATAGGATTTTATGTGTCTACTCTTTTCGGTTCTCTTTTGTTTGTGATGCTTTTCCCATGTTTAATTGTTTTCAATGTAATTTTTTTCATTTTTTTGAAGACGAGTACCACATTTAATTGGAAATCTTCAATTGTGAGATCAAGTTTTGATAATTACCTTTGCATGCTAAACCTATTCAAGCAAGTATGCAAATTATTAGATTCACGTGCGAGTGAGAACTATTCTATATTGAAAAAACAATGATAAGTTTGAAGTGTGTTATATAAAAAGAATTTTGTGTGTAAATTTTCATGTGCAAGTTCAAGTGTCTTCTTAATGCAATATCTCTTCTACCACAAGTGGTATTAGAGTTAATGATTTGGTTTGAGATAAGTGATAATTGTGGTTAAGCTTAATTTGGGTTATCACACTCGAATTGAGAGAGAAAAATGTGTTTGAATCGGCTGAACTCACATGTGAGAGAGAGATTTATTCAGTTCACATATAAATAAATAGTAACTATCCCACACCGGAAAAAAAAAAAAAAAAAAGGAAGAAGAAGAGAAATCCAAGTATTAATTTACAAAATGAACTTATAATCAATTAGTCTAGATTTTTAAATTAAGATGATGTCTATTTTTGTATGTAAACTCTCATGTATGCAGACCTACGTGTGGATCCAATTGTCTCCCTTATGCAAGGTCGAATGCAAATCATTTTCCATTCTTTAATCGATTTACAGAGAAATATATACATTTCTATTCCATTGAGGGGATAAATTTGGAAGAATAAAGAAAAAGATTAAATCCTTTTGTGATTAAGTTTTCAATATATAATTCACATCTAAACTGATACATTTATACATTATTTGTTTTCTTACGGTTTCTCATAACTCTATTGCGAAGTATTATAAGAGATAAGGGGATACAGTAATAAGAAAAAAATTCTAATATTTTTTTTCGATCATTCTAAATTTGATATTTTAAAAAGGGAGAGAGATGTGGAATTTCAAAACTCTATTTACAGTAATAGATATAAGGAAAGTAGTAATAGGAAAGAAGCTAACATATTCGCTGAAATTACGAGATAATTAAGGGATGTACGAATTTGAATTTTCTTTCTTTCTTTTCTTTTCTTTTTTTTTTTTTTTTGTGTCTAACTATAAAATTGATTTTTTTTCCCTTAAAATAACGTTATTTATATATAAACATTTTAAACTTGTTATCAGCCAGTTTCGTCTAATCATTCCTCCTCGTTATCTAAGAAAAATATAGCTTAATCCCGTGTCATAAATCAATGATTGATTATGACAATATCAAATATGCATGGTGTGCTTGTCTAGAATATCTCGATTACCAAAGTGGATTATCTCGCAGAAATTTTAATCATGACAAGCTAGCGACTGATTTTTGGAGAAAGACACTTGTTTCCATCAACTCCAATCTATTTTGGTTAGTTCATTATAAATCACAAAGAAATGAGAAAGACATACTGCTAACTTGAAACTTAATTAGACAATCCATAGAAAACTAGTTTTTCATGGCACAAATAGTTTTCAAGACGCTATTTCAAATTATGTTTACACATCTGTCTCCAATGCCTCCTTTGAGATTGTGGGGCATTTTCATTTCATATTTAAAATTTGTGGATGTAGGTAGTGAATCTTTTTCAATTTTGTTTCCTAGACACATGTAGTTATCTATCTAAAAAGAGAAAAACACAGGTTGGCTAGCATGCCGCTTTGCCATGTGAGATTGCTTTTGATTGATATGTTGCCACATCCAAGATTTCTGCTTTTGCATCATGCAAAACTCACGTTGCAGAGTATATTGTATAAAAAGAATATAAAGTCCATATGTTTCTTTGCATATTTGTTCTATTATGTGATGGGAAGTTTTTTTTTATAGTAAATTCATGAGTTTTTTTAATGGGAAAAGAGAAACTAGGTGTGTTTAAAGTGACTACTTAACAGTCTATTAATTGAAATAAATAGAACTATCTTATTGAAAAACCATTTACATGTTGAAAACTTAATCGAGACAATAAAAAGATTGGAGACTTAATCATATTGCCACTATAGGTTGGAGACTCTTCCTAGGGTTGTCCAAATATTTATCATGCCTTTCTAATTATAATTCAAGTATAAAAGCTGTAAAATAATTATCTCAACCTAAAAATTTAAAATGTTTTGTGAAATCTTATAAATGGTTTTATATTATTTTCTAACACTCATCCTTAAGTGAAAGTCTTTTGGATTTAAAACTTATACATATTCTTGCTATCTTGTGCTTAATTAATTAGAAGAAAAATAGGGACGATAAGATTCAATCGAATTCATAAATGTTTGATTATCAAAACTCGATACTATATCAAAGAACCATCTCTTTGAATTGTCAAGTGACTTGCTTTGAGCACTCTAATTTATTCAATGTAATAGCACCGGAGGCACGATTTGACCGATTAAGGCTAGGAGTGCATTGCCGATAGAAGGGACGAGGCGATAGATGGGATTTAATTCTTTATGTTTTAAATTCCAATCAATTTTTATGTAATCTTTAAGCTTAATTATAAAATCTTTACATCTTGATCATTACTTTTGATGTTTTTTTTGTCTATTTGGATATATGTACTTTAAAATATAATTATGCATAAAGAATAATAACCCTAAAAAAATAAAAAAAATTGAATCTCTTAACTTAAGGCAAAGAAAAATAAGTTATTGAACTTATAGCTTATGTACGAATTAGAGATATAAGAAAATTATATAGGGATATTACTTTTTTATCTCTTCCTTGAGTTCCCTCTAGCGTCTTTGAACTAGTGTGTTTTTCTTCTTTTTCCATACTAAAAGAATATCGAAATCCTTGATTTGGTCCAATCTTTCTCTCTTAAGATCAATATTTTCTCTTTAGAAAAGGAATGTAACCTAGTGGAAAGCGTTTCAAGCTTATTTTTTTATGCAATTGCATCCTTAAGAACTTTATCCTTATACAATTGAATCCTTGAAAAATATTATTGGCTCATTAGTTAAAAAAACAACTTAATGAAATCAAAATTAATTTTTACCCAATAAATTTAAAAAGGGCGTTCACATCATCTTATTTAACGTGCAATCTCATAATATAGATCTACTATTTAGGACTATGATTGTAGTAATTGCTTGAATCAAACACACATCTTATTAATTATATATTTAATTTTCTATGTTGTAAGTTTCAAATAATTTTATGTTTAGGCCATGCTTGTAATTTTGTTCTAGTTTTACTTCGTTTATGAGAATAGAAAGATGTTAGAAAACGAATCAAGTAAAATAATAAAATAGAAAGACTAGAACAGTCACATAGCAAAATAAAGATTTTCAACAATTCGGTAATAGTTGTCTACTTCATGATCGTAGGATTTCTTGTTAGATTTTATCAAATGACGAGCTACAGATAAAAGTGATGCCTCTAGTTATATGTGGACAACTAGAATTATAGGGAAAAAGGCTTAATAGATTTATATGTACACTCACCAATATTCTATAGATTTTTTGGGAGGTTCGGTCTTTGAGCCCCCTCAAGGGATGTTGCCCCCTTATCCCTCACTTGATAAATAGCTAGCGAGACCATCATGCAACCTCCACATAGCGCCTTATATTATAAGCTCTCATCCACATCGGTCTCAACAACTTAACGAGATGGTTTAATTGCATGTACTTGAGGAATTATTCGAACCAAATAGTTCAAATGCCCTTCTTATTTTTGGAAATGAAAGTGGGGGATTAAAATCAATGCTTGTGAATTTGAAGTAAAACATATCTTTTTCATAAGAAAAAGGTATATATATTCTTCTATGAGATATTTGAATGACTAACATATTTACAGGATATAACAAAGCCATTAATTCAGAGAATAAAAAATTACGATTTTCTCTCGAAGCTTAAAAAATGAAGATGTTTTTATAGAGAAAAATTGCAAGAAAAATAATGCAAAGTTAATTCTGTTTTTGACGTAACCTTTTGCACTTAAATATGTATGTTTTGGATGGTATATACCTTTTGGAACATCCCTTGGAATTTATTTTTTCAAAACCGTTGATTGCATTCGGGAAAAAAAAAAGAAAAAAAGAAAAAAAAGGCAAATATGAAACAAACCACCAAATTATTAGGAGGTTTTTGCAATCCTCCTATTTTTTATTTATTAATTTTATCATTAAACTATTTTAATTTCTTAATTAAAAAAGTCTATTAGAATAACTTAAAAAAATGTTAAGTTCTTTGCAACATAACATAGTTTTTTACTAAAAAAAAAAATTACAGTTTGAATGAAAATATAAATAAAAATCTTAAAAATGAGTGAAAGTTTTTAATTCAGATTTAAAAAAAAAATTGAGTGCAGAATTAATATGAAAATTTATTTGATCGTAATATTCAGACTACCTATATTATTTGATAATATTTTTTAGTTAGGCTTTCCTATTAAAAAAAAAAACACACACACACACAATTTGTAGGCATAACCTCCAAGCTTCAGCTAGTGCTTAAACCTTCAATATCTACAATTTCCTTTGTTCCTTTTTTCTCTTATTCTTCACATTCGATTTTCCTTTGCACTTTAACCTTATAATGTTTTAGGATTAAAAAAAAAAAAAAAAATCCTTCTACATGTTTCAACATTCTTAAAAAAAAAAAAAAATCAAGGTACTTTCGATTTAAGCCTCTCTCTCTCTCTCTCTCTCTTTTAAAAAAAAAGAACGTTCAAACATGGAGTAAATTATAAACGAGTCTTTCTATTTTTAAAAAATAAATAAATTAGTTCTCCTTGCTTAAACAATTAATTGTTTAGTCCCTATCTTTTAAAATTTTCTAACTTAATCCTTTTCATTCATTTTCAATTTATTTTGATTTTTTGTTCTTCAGAAATAGAAAAAAACATAAAAAAAAGGAAAAAAATAGTGAAGGATTGATGAGAATTTTTTTTTTTTGAAAAAAAGTAATATTAAATTAAGGATGATCAA